TAGGAAGGAACCTACTAATAACTCTAGCTGTTGGGAAGGAACCTACCAATAACTCTAGCTGGTGGGAAGGAACCTACCAATAACTCCAGCTGGTGGGAGGTAACCTACCAATAACTCTAGCCGGTGGTAAGGAACCTACCAATAACTCCAGCTGGTGGGAAGGAACCTACCAATAATTCTAGCTGGTGGGAGATAACCTACCAATAACTCCAGCTGGTGGGAGGTAACCTACCAATAACTCTAGCTGGTGGGAAGGAACCTACAAATAACTCTAGCTGGTGGGAAGGAACCTACCAATAACTCTAGCTGGTGGGAAGGAACCTACCAATAACTGTAGCTGGTGGGAAGGAACCTACCAATAACTAGCTGGTGGGAGGTAACCTACTAATAACTCTAGCTGGTGGGAAGGAACCTACCAATAACTCTAGTTGGTGGGAAGGAACCTACCAATAACTCTAGCTGGTGGGAAGGAGCTTGAAACATCGAACATTTTCGCAAGCATACTTTCAGGGTTCGAGGTCAGGGTCATCCTAAATTCAACAAACTAAGGTAAGTAAAACACATTAAACTAAATTAATTAACCCCTCTCTCCCATCCCTTATCATTATTTCTTTAATGAAAAATGTTTTACTCTTTTACGTGACAAAATTAAAGAAGTGTGCAGTCAACATACGATGTAAAGGGGGAGGGAGGGGGGAGGGATTTAACAGGTTTCCAGGAAATCGCTAGTGCAGAGTTAATTCTTGGATAAAGCTATGAGAACATTATTCCACCTGGAGTGTTTATATGTGAAGGGAAATCCCAGTGATTGTTTAAACGATGAATACAAGGAGCTAAAAATGTTTTCCATATTATGAACTTTTAAAACCTAGTAATATTCATCATATTGTAAACGTTTTAATATTAATTAGGTGGGGATAATACCCAAAACAGCAAAAGCTAATCTCCACCTAATTACTATAATACATACATAAAGTAAACAATATAAAAATTGTTGCAGATTTTTTGCCTGTAGCATTTTAACTTGTATGTGTATTTTTAGCAATAAACTATATCTTATCTTATCCATCAGATCTGACCTGGTCGTAGTAAACACTTTCCCTCCGACATTTAGAGCTATAATGTCTAAACAGGACATTCTTATAAATATCTAAGAGAAAATTAAAACAACATTAAATGGGGATCTTTATCTGAAGGTTGCCATGGGATTTGGATTTTAGCAAATTGCTTAAAATCTGTCCCTGCAGTGCTGGCCCCTTACCGGCCTACCCACATAAACCCTTCACGAGGAAATTACCGTCCAAGAGGCGTCCTCTAGGACCCAACAAATACTAGTAATAACTATGTTAAAAACAGGGGTGGGGGTTGTGTGATCGGACGCCAAGCCGCGGGACCCCAATCATGAGTAGTTAAAAATCCATTGTGAATCAGTACACATATACGGATACAATTTTTTCGTGTTCCTTTTTTCTCCTATTTTTTTCGTCAATGCATATACGTTAATTTCTCTAACGTTATCTGACTTAGTACAATAACTTGACGACAAATTCTTTTCTTTCTCAGTTTCGAAATCCAAAACTTCTTGAGGCTTTTAAGTTTGGATTTAGACGCGGCACTTGATCACTTCTTCAGTCGTCTTCGTAGCAAAAATTAAATACTGGGTGTCCCACGAAACATGAAAATTAATTAATCGTTATTTTAAGTTAAACAAATCTTTTGTTTCATTATCCTTTACTTTGAAAGTAATTTTAATATAGCATGACTCCCATATAATATTTTTATTGATCTTTGGTATCAAACAACTTAACAAATTATGGAAAAAGACATTCTAAACTATTCACCAAAGCTGTCATGTTTCGCGGGACACCCTGTATCAAGAAATAGCTGATGATGTATTTTTCGACCTACGTGAATCCGCTATAATCCACTTCTGACCTACGCCAAATCCGCTTTACTACATATCCGACCTACTAGCACCTGTCCTAGCCCCCTAGCCTGTCCTAGCCGCAGAAATTGTCTTAACCTAACCTAACCCTCAAATAATACAAAAATAAACAGCTGTCATAGGTCCGATGATATTGCCGGAAAGTTAGTCTAGGTCAAAAGATCAGTAGGGGGATGTTGCGTTTGACGACTTAACGTATTGGCCGCGAATTAGCGAGAGCACATTTAGATTTTTTTTAATGCACGCGTCGCCACTTTTTCACTCAAAATTAATTGATTTTCCATAAAAATATAAATCTTGCTAGCACACTTTCCACCCACCATGCCATGCTGGGCGAGCTGGGCACAGGGTTTCACATAAAATTGACCAAATTCCATGTAAAAAAATCCAGGGAAGGAGAGGGTATAAATTCTTTGCTAGGGGGGGGGGAGAAATTAAATCTCCCCCCCCTCACTGGAAAATATCATAAGCCACCCCTGGAGAATGGAGATAAGTTGAAGGAGGGAGATAGATCGATCTAATGATCGTTCATGAACGATCATTCATAGAAAAAAATATATAGTTTACTCAATTATCTGAAGGATCCAACCAAGTCGTTCATCTGCATGCGTTCGTTTGGTTCATGAAAATTTCGTATGAATTCTCAAAAATTTTGTTTGTTCACAAAAACGATGCCTTTCTCATATGTCTACGAAGTTCTAGGTTTAACTGTAATGTGGAATGTTTAAATCCAGTTTTTAGTCTTGACACTGAAAAGAGTTACTACTTTCAACCTTTTTTGCGGTTTTTAGGTCAAACAAATTGTTTCGTATTAGCACTTTACTGATGCAAAATTTAATTTTGAAAACATAAAACTATAACACAGATAACATTTTTTATCATAGAGAATAGAATATATAGAGAGGAATTTACTAGAAAAAAGTGTAAAACGGCCATTTTGTTGTACTGTTTCCATACTGCAGGTGTACTTCACATATTTATGCTATATAACCTGTTGGGCCCTACTTTTAATAGTACATCTTCCTCGGGGAATCTACATTCTACATTGCATTGCATTGCACACACCCAAACTAAAAGATTAAGAAAAGAATTAAATTAAATTAACTTCGGACCAACCACTCAAAACAACCAACTCTGGTTAGACGGGTCCAAACTGCATAGTAAATTGTGATTGCTTATTTGTAATATCTCATGCTTTGTAGTTGAATAAATATATGAATGAAATATATGAATATTCTGATTCACAACAATACCCTTCAAAGCTTTGTCTGATCAAGTATTGCATTAAAAATCCATGTTTCCCATTTTGAAAACTGAACATATTTATTTATGGTTTCTCTACATAAGTGACTCGCGCATTTCTTGCTTCACAAACGATGGAGAAATGAAGGTTTTCAAGGTACATCAGACATATGCCACTCTACAAATGGAGGGTCACATGAAATTACGCATGTATTCAATTTAAGTATAATTACTTGGTATAGAAAAAAAATACTTTAAAATCTCACTTTTGACCATTAAATTAAAAATTTTCATTAAAAAAGCTTTAATCAATACTGCCTTCAGTGTAAACATATATTTGATATCATAATTTATTATACAATATGTATCAATCCTATGAAAATATGGATATTTTTTTTTATGTTTCCATCTATATTTTTCTATTTTTCATTCCTTGAAGTTTACACCACAGTATTAAAAGGGATTGCCTGGTTTTGTGCCCCCCCCCCCTTAAGAAAATTACATAATTAACATAGTTAAAAAAGAAATCAATATTTTTTCAAAAAGGGGTTTTTTAAGGAGGGGGGGCACAATGTTGCCAAGGGGGGGCCAATGTTGCCAAGGGGGGGGGGCACAATTTTTTTGCCCCGCCCCCCCCCCTACACAAATGCTCTCGTACGCCCTGAAACTTGTTTCGTACTTTCGCATCCTTCAGGATACAATATTTTTGTACATATCTATCATTAATTTAAAGTTATAAATGGTTTTGATCTTTACTCAACGATATTAAGTTTTAAACATAAAATTCAACTATAAAATTAAACTTTGTTAAATGTTTCATTATGTCTTATCTCACAGGGCCATACCTGGGCCTGTACTATATAATAGTATACTAGACAGATATCCGAATACTGAATTCTCAGTGGTTCTAAACCTTCATCCTGATCTACATGATCTACATTCTCTTGGAACCTAAAATCTGGATTTAGTGAGAATAAAGATCAATTTCTAGTGGAATAGTTTTCATGGCGAGAAACCCAAAGCTCGTATTATTCAAAACAGCGAAGAGAAGCTATTTTCAATCATAAAGGAGGAATCAGTGCCTTTAGCTTAAAAATGAATATGGTTTGAACTTAATGGACACCGATGCTGAAAAGATTTCTTGCATTTTCGAACTATAGATTGTAAAGCAACCACAAAATAACGTAAACATGGGTATGATGAAACTCTTAAATATAACTTGAATATTTTTTTTTTGGTTTTCTGGAAAGTAAATGTATCAAGCAACTTAGCGAAGAAAAAACAAGCTTACTGCATGGCAGCATTATAGGAAGCCTTGAAAGAAAAGAACGAACACTGAACAAATACCCAATATCTGCATCCATCCGGTCTCCTTCTTTGTGGGTAACCCTGCATCTTAAATGCGTACAGTCTCATCCTGTATTTTAAATGAGAGAACAACTATAGGTCCACCTACAATGAGAACCAGAAAACACAGCAATAGAAAAATGACTTTTAGAATAAGGTCAAAACTTTAAAAAGCCCAATATGAGCATTAGACACAGCAATTGGGAAGTTTAAACAGACCCATTTATTAAATTCGTGATTTAATAAGTGTCTAGTAACAACATCAAACAAACTTAAGTATTGCTTTTATGTTGTCTTCCTATTCCATTGAATTATTAGCTGGTTATTACAGTACATTTGTTAAGTATCTCATTACAGAAATGTAATTAAATTCACGAATAGATTAGTAAAAATAGAGCACATTTCTTGTTCATGTACGACTATAATTAAATAATACTTATATCAGGTTCAGATAATAAAGGAGGAAAAAATATTTGTAATTTATATTATCATGTGTGAGAAATACTTTACAAGGATTTGTTCAGGCTGCATCTTCTATTTTATTTGAACGTATTTTTTGGATAAAATCAGGAATTTTTAATTTTCTAGATTCTGTCACTGTATCCATCCAAATCTAAAAGAAAGAAATAATTTGTTTATAATCTGAACTTATAAAACCATTTTATAAAACGAAACTATGTATAACAATTTTTTAAACAAAAATATAACGTTTTCAATTTTTTTTGTGTTATTAAATAAAATTTTTTCCAAGAAATACAATGCCGAGTTAGCTTTTTAGAAATAATGAAATTTGGCAGACATTTTTTAAAATAATACTATTCATTAATAACCGAAGCATTATCATGCGTTTCTAAAAGAAAAGTTTCCTATAAGTTTTGATATGATAATTGTTATGTTTCAGAAATTAGGAATGAAATTCTTGTAAAGATTGAAGAAAAATTGCAATAAAAATTAAATCTTTTTTATCTCTCTCAGGTCACTTCTTTCCTCTCAGAAAGGAGGTTACATCACATTTTTATATTTTCATTTACAAAAATAGTTATATTTTTGGTGAAAAATTATTTTATTCATTGCATGCCAAAAGGGTTCATTATTGGTCAAAAATGATAAGGTTTTTTGTCAAAAGGATGTGTTGTTAGTAAAAAAAAACATTAGATTTTTGGTTGTCAATATTTTTGGTCCGATACTTTTTTATCTATTACATTTTTAAACGTTATATTTTAGTATGAATTCATAGCATTAAAGTTATATTTCCTCCACGGGCAGCCGTAGTACATTTGAATTTCCGAGCCGGGTCAACCTTTCCGGTCTTAGTTTGTACTGTACCTAGCTCTATGGACAGGACTAGCCGGTGCAACATAGGTTGGCGTGGTCAGATTTTACGCTACATATAGGCCAAATTTACTTTTACTAAAGGGGCAGATTTACGTGCCCCGTCCATCTAAACAAATTACCTTTATATTTCTCTCTGGAACAGTCGGGTTGTCAGTCCTAAAAAAATATTAAAATTTATTATTTCCATTTTTATATGTTTGCTTAGTCACATATATATCAGATTGTTCAGAAAATACGGAATTTACTTTTTAAAAGCTAAAGCAGAAAACAAGATGCTTTATAGCTTTAAAGTGTACTTTGATACAAAAAAGTATAAGCGAGTTGATGAGGTTAAATTAAGGACACTTTAAAGTCGTCCTATTATTGATAAAAATATGTATGTGGGACAAGGGTAGTACGATCCCGAAATTTTCTGTTTAGAAATACTGTTATGAGCATGATGAAAAGTACACCTTAATGTTAATTTTCATAGGTTATTAAAACCATATTAATTAAAGATAATTAAATACGTTTACAATTTTATTTGAAGATTTTATTTAATTTTGTGAGAAACCACTTAAGTTTACAATTTATGCAAACTTTTTAACCCCATCCCAATTGAGCTTTTTTGTCTGATATAAATGAGTTGAAGAGGGATGTTTTCAACCCCCCCCCCCCCCCCATTTTTTGTCCTCAGAGTTAAAATCTGCTTAAATTTACCTGTATAGAACACCATTATCTGTAGTTACCAGCAAGAAGACCCAGCTAGTCAGAACAAAGGGAAAAGTGAACACAGGCAAACCTCCAATCTTCATATTCAAATCATAAATATTTTGTAACAATTAGAAATAAGTCTCTATTTGTTTTAAGAAAAGAAAAATAATTGTCCATTAACGACAACGATTCTACACAAATTTTGGTAAAAAGAATCATTTAGCAAACAATACTTAAGAGAACAGGTTTCAAATTCATATGTGCCAATGTAATTGCACAATTCTTAATATAAAAGGCATATATTAATAACAATACAGATAGAACACTAGAAAGGAGTTACGCGCATGCCACATTGAATGACAATACAGTAAGAGAGCATGCGCTTAACTCATTTGGGCTTCTGCCCCAGGGTATTGTAAACGAAAAACACCCAAATCTAGTGTTTACTCTGTATTGTTATTAATCTATGATAAAAGGCAGCAGGTATTTTTTAGTTTTCATCGAACCTGTAGAAAGGGTTGAATAGTCTTCTGAAGAGCTGCAGTTGTTGATATTGCAAGGATAACTGCAAAAGAACATTTATTGCCCTACTAATTTTTATACGTAAAACAGTTAAACCCATATAAAAATAGACAACGGAGGAATTAAAAAATTTCGCCTTAAATATTATTTATTAAGAGTTCACTAATCACTTTTTATGTTTCGGAATAAAAATGTATACAAGATTTTTTTTGTGAAGATAAATAATTAGCCCTGAACTACGAGGGAGGGGGTTCAGAGGCGCCATGAGTCCCGCAAAAATGACCTTCAAGCCTCCAGATTTACAGAATGATCTCCACTTGCTGTTCTTATTTTTTGTTTACCTTAACCAATCAAAAATCAAATATATATCTTTACAGTAGACTCCGCAATAGTTTAAAGAATCGTTTAATCGACTAATTTTAAATTTTAATTCATTCAATTGATCCTAAGTTGTTTTATTGTAAAAAGTGTACATAAAACTAGTATGTGTACTGTAAAAGATGACCTTTAAAAACGACTTTAATATCTTTGAACACATCAAGATTTGAAGATTATATTAACTCTATTGAGCCCTTAGAATTAAATTTAATTATAAAAATGCTTTAATATACAAGTTTTTGCGCCCCCCCCCCATGTATCAATTTTTATTTACATGGCCCTAATTCCCCTGATTTTAACTATTTTTCAGCCCAATTTAATAGTATGTAAAACTTAAGAGCAGAACATGACGCTGCCCTGGATGCCCAGTCCTGTTAGTATAGCATGTTATAGATATTTAGACTATTTTTAAGCTTGTTCTCAACTTTTAAAAAATAATTCTTCAATGTTTTCTAAAGCATACAATAAAAGCAAAAATTCAAGTATTTCGCATATTTTCTTTTGTGAATTGCCCCTGATATAGTTTGATTCGACTGCAATAAATCTTCACAATTAAAGGAATTTGAGAAATTTAGAAAAACATATTAAAACCTTTAATCTCAATTAAAATGGATTTTTTAATACAAATTGTTTATGTATCATTATAAACTATTTTAGTATGTTGAGATTTTTCGAAGAAAAGGTTTTTAGAGGATGGAAAAGCCAAATATTTTTTATTGGAGACCAAAATGCGGGGCGTGGAGAGGTAGCAAGCTGCACGGAGACGGTTTAGCGGGACCTGGAAGTCATTTTGTAAATCTGGGGGCTCGGAGGTCATTTTTGCAGGGCTCATGGCGCCTCTACACCTCCTCCCTCAAACTACGCAGAACAGTCATCAAACAGCCTAGCTTCACCGATTAAGTCGCTGATTTGGTTTTAAGAAAAAATACATACTCGATTTATTTTCCACGGTATTTGATCATTTATAAGCTTGGAAATTAACATTTTACAAAGTATTCAGTCATCTTCTTCTAAATATAGGGTTTTACACTATTTAGAGAACTCTTTGTTAATTTGTTTACAAAGTCGAACTTATGACGCACATAGTAAAACTTATTTTCAATTAATTCATTTAAAACAAAAGCTACAACTATTTAGAGGGTTGTCTTTGAAAGCAAATATTTTTATAGAATAATTGTTGATGCCGAAACAAATTATTTCGGTCAAAATGTTCACAATCTCCCCAATAATTTTTTATTAAAGTGTTGGGAATAATACATAACTGGCATTTTAAGGTTTCCAATCGGAATTCCGTTGCGTGGAATTGTGCAGAATTGCTCGGAATTGCGGGGAATTAAGTAGCTCGCAAATGCGCGCAAGATAAAATCCAAGTAAAATAATAAATAGTTAAAGATAGAGGTAACACCTAAAGGCACAGCTCTAGGAGTAAGTATAGCAAAGAACCCCCCAGTTGCTCCAGCAGTTAGAAGAGCACAGTATCCCCAGATACCAGCATATACATCACCAGGATAACCAGGGTTCAGGTACAATCCTTAACAAATAAGTTTGTGGTTGGCTTCAAATCTTTTTACGATCAATTGCACGGAACAAGAGTTGTGTAATTCTTTTTTTTTCAGATAGCATCGAATTCTGTATAGTTTCTGTGAGATGAGCATCATGTTTGTGGACGAGTGCAATTTTTGTAAACAAATGAAATTTTTCGTGAACGATGGAGGCATTCAGAAAAATTAACAAACAATTAACGTACGACGCATGGACCATTTAAAGAAATAAAAAAGATAGTTTTTCAAAAACGAAGGAAAAAATAAACAGTTTAAAATGGTTACCGATCACAATTTGCATTTTATGGACCAGTCAGACCGCTATTAATTGAACTTTTGAAGAAAAAAAAATGATAGTTTTTTACTGAACAAATTATTATTTTGAGCAAACTTTTTGAAAAAACGAAAGTTTTTGTTTTTGAACAAACTATTTAAAGAACAATTTTTCTAAATGAACGATCTCACTGAACAAAAGAAAACTAAAATATGAAACTGAACGATAATTCTGTAGTAAAGACAAAAAAACGAATGAAATAGGTCATTTACAAATGATAAAAGAAGAAATTAAAAAGAAAGCTGAACATGCTCATCTCTATCTGTACTGTCTATATTTATTAGCAGTTGGATAAGAAAGTTAACACCCTTAATTGTAACGAGTTTTAAAAGTTAAAAATTTTAGTAAGAAATTTACAGTTGATAGTTGGAAATCAGTTAAAGTTCACCGTTTGAAAACATTAACTTTCTTACTTATTATAATGTATATATAAGCCTTTATTGAAAATAATAAAAACTGAATACTGTTTTGCCATAGCATTTTTGTTATGTAAATATGATAATAAAGTTCCCAGTTTTTGAACTGATATAGTTAAAGTAAATATGAAAATAATCTAACTGAATTTTGTAACTTCTTACTCTATTTTAATAAAGAAATTAAGTCTTAATCACAAACTCAAATTTTAAAACTTTTGAATCCCTTTATCTTTATTCAACCTGAGCTGAAAACTTAAGAATGATGGATATCAAGATTAATGCTTGAACTCCTGGTTTTACTAAACCCAAGATTATTTTAATGCACATTTGATATCCAAGAAAGAAGTTTTAAATTCAACCAATCAATGTGTCATGGTTTTATTTCTGGTGTCATATCAATTGAACTAAACATCGTTTAACAGAATTTTTTTTATTTGATTTTTCTTCTTATCTTCGTTTCTCTCATTCCTTTTTCTTTTTCTTCTGGTGACTGTCCCTGATTCTGATAATTTTGAAAGAAAATTAAATTTGTCAAAACTAGTTTTGTTGGGACTCTCTCCTCCATTGTAGTTTTCATTTTCTGTTTTATTGCCTAACTCAAAAATGCCTGACTCAACAAGCTGATTGAAGGTTAATGCAGTGCTTGCTGATTCAGCTTCATCAAACACATATTCCTGGATATTTTTTGTTCAGAGTGAAGTTTAGGTAAAGTGTAGGTGAAATGGAGGGGGGGGGGGGGATGGACATCTCACAGCGCTCTCTCAAATGATGTCTCCTTTCGCCAACGGGAAAATAAAAATTTATGGTGTAGAGCTTATCATCAGAGAGTTCCCTACCATCTTTCCTGTTCAATTTTCTTTTTTCTCTTTTTTCTTTTTTTGTAGGTTTTTGAAATTTTACTTTGAGTTCCAAGTATCAAAGAGGTTTAAAAGGTTTAAACATAGGAAGATTATAAAGAAAATTAATTCTTTAACTAAATTTTATTGAAAACTTGGCAACTATATTTAGTGATACAGGAGTTGCATCTGCATAGTAAAAGTTTAAACTGTGTTACAAAAATTGGGTTTAATTTATTTCAGATAAGAAAATTACATCTTTCTATAAAATTTATATATTAAGTAGGTATACTCTCTTTATAGAATTTGCAGAATCTAGAAGATACAAATTAAAAATTCTGTCTAAGAGAGAATTAAAAACCTTGATCATATATAATTTGCTAAATCATTTGGGCTGCATCTTTAAACAGACTTGAACTATTCTCTTAATCATATCAAATACAAAGTCAAAGATTTCTAAAGCAGAGAATCCAAGCCAAAGACCAAGAGCACTACCAATTTCAACTGTCAAGGCCCATTCATCATATTCAGATACACTTTCTGTTACTTTGACAGTCGGATGAAATCTAATTTGAATTTGAGATGAATCTCCAAGAACAGATTTATCATAGCTAAGTTTCCTTACATTTATCTTCGTGCTCAAACAAGGAACTTTACAGACATCACCAACAGGATCAAGATTTATCAAGAGTTCCAGTCTAAACTTATTCAGCATTTCCAATGTGGTTGGTGTGTAAAACTTGTCAATGATTCCAATGCAACTGTTAGTAGCCGACATCCAAGGTATATTGCAGCCTATCTCAGTCTGTATTTGTTTATTTAGAGTCATCTCAAGGCAGTGTGATAAGGATTCATACTTCTTTCCTTCTCCATAATTAGTGCAATCCTGACCAGGCTTAGAAGAATCTAGTAATACTTGTTCCATTTCTACAAAAAAGTCAAAGAAAGTATTGACAGTGTTATTGCCATCTTGAAACAGTTTCAATTCATCTCCAGTCATTGATAATGTGGAAACTTTGTAATTTAAAGTTTTGGCAGGATCAGTAATTAAGATGTGAACATTGGCACTTTTACTTTTCACTGTTAAAAGACTTAAGTTGCCATGTCTAACTTCTTTACAATTTCCATTGGGAAGAATGAATCGGTCGATTGTTAACCCTGAATCGACACTAATCAAATCAAAGTTTGCAATATAAACCCTTCTCTTCACAACATCAAATTCTAGAGTTTCAGTACCTCCCCAGGATAAATATTTATCAGTTGAATCAGGTCTTCCAAGAAAAAAGTCAGATCTGGATGAGTAGCCAATGCTGCGAGCTGCAGACCAATCAGCTTGATCAAGCGGACAAATCATGATAGTTGGAGATGTCACATTTTCTATATTTTTCACAGAAGTTGTAACTACAGTAGGATTTGAATTGTATTTGATAAATGCTACCATCAACTGGTAAATGAGAAGTCCTGAAGAAATTAATTGAAAAGACATACGACATAGCTGTTGAATGTTCATTATTGAAGTGCAGTAACCCCTTTTTAATCCAATTTCAACGGGTTGACTGGTTGTTAAGTAAATATCTATAAAAAGAAAGTCATTATCTTTCACCTTACAAGAAGACACCAAAAATATTCTTGCAAAATGATCTATATGAATTTAAATTTTTTAAAGACTTTCCCTCTTCTAGTTTTCATATTTTTAAAACTAATAACACAACTATTTTTAAAAACATTCATTAAAACTAACTGGGAATTTCTTTTTCCATTAAAAGTTTTTATGATAATTTTGAAAACATATTTTCCACTTTTTAAATTTGATTTTAGATGCATACAATTTAAATGTTGAGTTATTTTTATTTTAAATTGATGCATGGTAATGAATAAAATATTAATATATTTAACACATTCTTAATAATTAGAATTGTTCCTGTTCTACACCAATATTTATAATTGTATTTATCATAAAATACATTTAAGAAACCATGTAATCAGCCAACTATTCTTGTAACAATAACAATAAATACTTGAATACTAAAAAGTTAATAATTGATTTCTTTCCAGCAACTGAAGGTTGAATTTTCTTTTATCATTCTGATATCCTTGGTTCCATATAAACTCTTTCAAATTTTGGCATGTATCTTCTTGATTTTTTGCATTTAACATCTTCATATTTTGGACTGTAATGTTTTCATATTTTGGCATGCATCTTCTTGATATTTTAGCATTTAACACCTTCATATTTTGGCACATGTAACTTCTTGATATTTTGGTATGCAACTCCTTGATATTTTACAACATGTAACTCCTTGATATTTTATTATGTAACTCCTAGATATTTTGCAACATGTAACCCCTTGATATTTTGGTGTGCAACTCCTTGATATTTTGGTATGTAACTCCTTTATATTTTACAACATGTAACTCCTTGATATTTTATTATGTAACTCCTTGATATTTTGCAACATTTAACTCCTTGATATTTTGGTATGTAACTCCTTTATATTTTACAACATGTAACTCCTTGATATTTTATTATGTAACTCCTTGATATTTTGCAACATGTAACTCCTTGATATTTTGGTATGTAACTCCTTGATATTTTGGTGTGTAACTCCTTGATATTTTGCTATGTAACTCCTTAATATTTTGGTAAGTAACTCCTTGATATTTTGCAACATGTAACTCCTTGATATTTTGCTGTGTAACTCCTTGATATTTTGCTGTGTAACTCCTTGATATTTTGGTATGTAACTCCTTGATATTTTGGTATGCAACTTCTTGATATTTTGCAACATGTAACTCCTTGATATTTTGGTATGTTACTCCTTGATATATGTAACTCCTTGATATTTGGGCATGTAAATTCTTGATATTTCGGTATGTAACTCCTTAATATTTGGGTTAAAACTCCTTGATATTTTGGTATATAACTTCTCGATATTTGAGGTAAAACTCCTAGATATTTTGGACTATAACTCTTTGATATTTGGGGATGTAACTTCTTGATACTTGGATATGTAACTCCCATGGTTTTTGATAGTTGGGAAGTAATTTAATTTGATATTTGGGTTTTAGTATATTCGTCTTTATTTGTATATGTATATTTGTCTATGTAAGCTTGTGTTCATGTTCTAATTAAGGTTTCCATTTTAATCTTTATTTGTATTGGTAATCCAGTTTAAAATTAGCAATGATTAAATGTATGTGTAAAGAATTATTGATATTTTGAATAAAGCGTCCTACCTAGTAAAGTTCCAAGACAGGCTCCTGAAAGCTCTATAAATGCCAAAAGAGGTGAATAGATGAAGACTCCTAACAACATTAACAGGGAACCTGGCAGAGTATTGACAGCATACACCTACACATTTATATTTTGGTACTAAGCCGCTGATAAGATATTCATATTTTTCTTAATATTTTTACTTAAACACAAAGCACATGATAATATAAACAAATAATCACAATTCACTTTGTTTCTGCAAACTTGGCCCATTGACTTAAACACTCCAATACAAACCTGGCCCACTGACTTAACAACTCCAATACAAACCTGGTCCATTGACTTAAACACTCCAATACAAACCTGACCCACTGACTTAGCAACTTCAACACAAACTTGGCCCATGGACTTAAATACGTTAATACAAACCTGGCCCAAGGACTTAACAACTCTAAACAAAATTGGCCCATTGTCTTAACCACTCCAATACAAAATTGGCCCATTGACTTAAACACTCAAAAATAAACCTGGCTAATTAACTGAACAACTTCAATACAACCTGGCCAATTGACTCAACACCTCTATACAAACCTGGCCCATCGACTTAACAACTCCAATACTAACCTGCCCCATTGACTTAACAACTCCAATACAAACCTGGCCCAATGACTTAACAACTCTATAGAAACCTGACCCATTGAATTAACAACTCCATCACAAACCTGGGACATTAACTTAAACACTTCAATACAAACCTGGCCCAATGACTTAACAACTCTATAGAAACCTGGCCCATTGAATTAACAACTCCATCACAAACCTGGTATAATAACTTAAACACTTCAATACAAACCCGGCCCAATGACTTTACAACTCTATAGAAACCTGGCCCATTGAATTAACAACTCCATCACAAACCCGGGACATTAACTTAAACACTTCAATACGAACCTGGCCCAATGACTTTACAACTCTATAGAAACCTGGCCCATTGAATTAACAACTCCATCACAAACCTGGTATAATAACTTAAACACTTCAATACAAACCCGGCCATCAAATGACTTTACAACTCTATAGAAACCTGGCCCATTGAATTAACAACTCCATCACAAACCTGGCACATTAACTTAACCACTTCAATACAAACCTGGCCCATTGACTTTACAACTCCCACTATTACATCTGATGCAAGAAGGGAGTCCTCACTAGAAGGAACAATTTCAGCTGTGGAGTTTTTATTAGGATTTTGTGAGCTTGTGTCTAAAGAATCCTGAAAAATTTGTTGATTAGAAAATCATGGGTTTAAAGAGGTGCTGTTTCTCCGGACATGGTATTTTGATTCACTAATTGCTTTCATAGACTGTTTTTGCATTTAATGGGCAGGTTTTGTACCGAAATAGATTCAAGGGGCAAAAAAACTTATAATGTTTTAAATTGAAAAAAAAAGATTTTTACATTGAAAATGGGTGTAAAATTCGACAAGCATTAAACAAAAATATATTAATGGCAATCACTAAAGAATTTCCCCTTGTCATCACTTATATTTTAACAATGAGAATAACTTTTAAATTAGCTTTCTTCCTTATAACATTAATTGGCGTAAACATTTAATTCGCACACATCAAAGAAATCCAAGGAAATACAAAAACTAGATTTCGTTGTACTGTGGAGTGTGGATTTTGAATACAATTAAAAAGTAAGTAAACTGAGAACTTTCAAAAGATATTTTATCAATTTTGCAATGAAATTCTTTACTACAACAACTTTGCTACCAGTTTCATGGCATTTGTATGCTCTTTGTTTATAATCTCAATGATTGCTCCTCTTATTCATTTTTGGGGCTATTTTTCAGAAAATATAAACATTTTTTTCCGATGTCATGCTTTTTTCACATTCATAATTCAAACTCTCGTCTTTGATAAAACCTTAAAATTAAAAGTCTACTATCACAAGTCTAAAATAACAAAATCATATTTTTTGTTTGAAAATAATTAAAAATAAATATGTTTTAATTGTAATATTAAATATTTACAGTTTTCAAAACTCTAGAATGAAAATTTTAGCCCCACATAAAAAAAACTTATTTGACACCGCTGGCTACCATTCAAAGTACAACTTCAGTCAAGGAAAAAAATACAAAAATGTCGGGCCAAAGAGACATCTTTTCTATTTTGTAAATTTTCCCCTCATAGAAATATAAGATAACTAATTTGTATCTTGTTTTTCAGTTAAAAAGTTATTTATGAGAAATTTTTTTTTGAAGAATTCATTGAACATCTTTATGTTTTTTGTTTGATAAAGTTTTTTTCTGTGCTAGATAATTGGTTTTTATATCAAAACAAACATTTAATATTATTAAGGAATCAAAAAAGAATGTTTAAATAATCTTTAAAAAAAGGTACTTACTACTTATATAAAATTGTATAAAACAGTGAAATTAGCCCCCCCCCCCACATTATTTCAAAATTAAAACTGACTTAACTGTATTGTCCAATCATGAACGTTCATTTACCTGATGTGTGGCAAGTAGAAGGGACATCACCATACAAGCTGTTAAATTGAATGGTAAGGTGAACCCAGGTACTCCATACTCCTTCCTCTCCTCCTAAATAATATTAGAAGCTGATATATTGGATGTTAAAGAGAACCCGGGTACTCCATACTCCTTTATTTCCTCTTATACATTAACAGACGCTGATATTTTCAAGGGTAGGGTGGACCCAGGTACTCCATACTATTTTCTTTCCTCCTAAATATTATCAGACGCTGATATTTTCAATGGTAGGGTGGACCCAGGTACTCCATAGTCCTTCCTTTCCTCCTAAATACTATCAGACGCTGATAAATTGAAGGGTAGGGTGAACTCAGGTACTCCATACTACTTCCTTTCCTCCTAAACTTATCAGAAGCTAATATATTAAATGGTAGGGTAAACCCAGGTACTCCATACTACTTCTTTTCCTCCTAAACTTATCAGAAGCTGATATATTAAATGGTAAGGTGAATCCAGGCACTACATACTCCTTCCTTTCCTCCTAACCATTATCAGAAGCTGATATATTTAAGGGTTAGGTAAACCCAGGTACTCCATACTCCTTACTTTCCTTCTAAACATTATAAGAAGCTGATATATTTAAGGGTAAGGTGAACCCAGGTACTCCATACTCCTTCCTTCTAAACATCACCAGAAGCTGATATATTTAAGGTTAAGGTGAACCCAGGTACTCCATACTCCTTACTTTCCTTCTAAATATTATCAGAAGCTGATAATTTAAGGGTTAGGTGAACCCAGGTACTCCATACTCCTTACTTTCCTTCTAAATATTATCAGAAGCTGATAATTTAAGGTTAAGGTGAACTTAGGTACTCCATACTCTGAAACAAAACAGTTACAGAAGTGGGAAGTAAGTACCTAAAAGCTGCACTAGGATAACTAAGGATACTATTACTATTGCACATTTTATTATAAATGATAAAATTAAACATGGCCATTTGTAAAGAAGTGTGACCCCCTACCCTACGAGATGTTAGATAGGACTGCTTGTATGTTCTTCAACCCCTTCTGTAAATATTTATTCAGATGATTCTTCTGGGGTTACACTCAGTTTCTGTTTGAGGATGTTCTTGATGGACTTGGTAATTCTTCCTTTACTCCTAAGCATTATCAGAACCCTAGACGAACAACTACTCATTCGCTTTACAAAAAATTGAGAAAATCGTTAGTATTTTAATTCTGTAAATAAAGATTTTTTTAAGCAAATGCCCCACTATTGGGTGGGGAGGGGGGGGCAAACTGCATGTCATCCCCCCACCTAGAGATTAAAATAAAATCAAAGTTTTAAAATCGTCTGGAAAAATTATGCCCAATTAATAAAATTACCTTCTCTAGGAGATTCTTGAAGGATGCTTTTACTCCTTGCAGAAGCCCGACTAGTGCAACCTGTATAGGAACAGATATCACTGAACCCAACACAGTTATTGACCAACTTCTAAATAATAGCATTCTTTATCAAGATATGGAAAACTAAATATTATAAATCTTGATTATTTTTTTATTCTTAAGATAAAAGTTTCAATTTTGACTATATAAAAACTAATGGTAGCTTGGCATTAAGAAAACAAAACTGAGCTTTGCAGTAATAGTTAAAGCCTATCTATAGATTTAAAAATTAACTATGGAAAGCAATTTGTCGAGTGATTCAGTACACTGTACAATTTACTTATTGTGCCTCATAGCATCGCATGCAAAATACTTTCTTTACGTTTCTTTTTTCTTTGAAGTATATTATAAAGTTCGCTTTTATCGGATTTGTATCCTTAAATATTTTACTTTGTCATTTTTCATTAAATATACTTTTTTCATATTTATACTTCTATAGTAATTTATTACTTAGCATGTACATTGCACATCTTCTATATAATAAAACTCTTTGCTTATTTGTTTGTATTTATATCTTGTATGTGTTAGCTATAGCTGGCTAAACGGCTGGACCGAATTGGCCTACATTTTTTGAGAGAATTGTTGAGTACTCTAGTACGTATGTTTTTTTTTCTTTCAAAAACAAAAATTTTTCTTTCAAAATTCGATTTTTTAATTGTTCCACAGACTACACCGGGCACTTCAGATACTAATTAATAATCTTTAAAAAGCTAGTAAACTTAAAGTTTTTGCCAACATCTTAGCATTATTATAAGAAATATTACATTTATGAAAGAAAAATAAAGAAAAACTAGTTTCAAATTGTTTCTGTATTTACCTAAGATCAAGAACTCCTCCAAATATTGCCGGGTAAAGTGAAAAAGTAACTGAACCAACCAGTACACCATTAAACTGGGTCAACCCATCCTACGCAGGGGATTTAGGGGATTTAAGAGACGATTCAAATGTGAATAGATCATAAATGACAAGACGTGAATAACAAAAATGATTTTCAAGATATAAACTTCTTTCAGGGAAGTGCAATTTCAAGTGACCCTGAGTAGTAGACATATGGACCCGCATGTATATCTCCTTTAATTTTGAAGGACCGGTGGCAGACCACATTTTTTAAATATAGATGTTTCAACTGGATTACTGTAACAATTTTCTTTAGATATTTCAGTTTGACGTAGAGATCAAAGAATAGATACATAATCTCATATTTACATGAAAACTCATTATCATCTAGTATCTACTATGTAAATAATGACAATAATTTTAATGTTAATCATTAACTGTTATTGTAATAGTAATCTCTATTTTGGTGCTTGTTTGTTTGTATGTCCATCATAGAATGCGAAGCGAACATCTAGACCGATTTGGCTAAAACTAATAAGGGGAAACTCGGTAGAACCATGGGAATGTTCTGAGCTTTCTGTCTTTGTTTGCTGTTTATTATTTTCCACGGGCTGAGGGTGGAGAGTTTTTTATTGATTCCTTTAAATCACATTATTTTCATGAACTGAACCCTTGTCACAAACTCTAATTTTTCAACCTAATGGTGTAAACCTTCAATATTTGAAAGTTTGGTTTTAAATACATGCCAGAATTTATGGTTTCAAATCAGAAAGGACATCTGGTTTCAAAGATATATATTTTGAAATAACAATGGGTATCAGGTTGCGAAAGATAAAAAGATGAAAAAATTAAAGTGTGTCGGCAAGTGTTCAATATAATTCCTTTATAATAAATGCAATCTAATTTTTTTCCCCTCAGACTTTGACCTTTTTTCCTTCTTCATTATACCTGTATTGCATCTAAAACAAACAAATTCAATTTAAATATTTCTGGATCAGTATTTACTTGAAAGTACACTGCATCTACGATAACACATTTTTCAAGGTTATTTTAAATTGTTAACAAATGTTCCGTTAAAAAAAACCATATGAAAAGTATAAGTAAAGACATGTGAAGTTAAGGAATTTGTCCTTTAAGCAGAATTTATCAATTATTTATCTTTGTTTTTTAACTAAAATGTATCGATTCTATCCTTTTTTAAACGAAATTTACCGAAAATGTTTCAAAATATCAGTAAAAAGAGCAGCAGAGCCCAATAGATAAAACAGAGTATTGTTTTGAAACCCGGGTTTCATTTCCATGGAGCAAGAAATTTTATTTCAGAAAGCTAGTTCTGTATTCTTCCATAGTTTTCTAACTTTTACTTTAAAATCTAAACAAAAAGATTTTTGAGAGTTTCATGCTCAACAATATTATGCTTGAACTGACATTAAAAACTGTATCCGGNGGGGAGAGGTTCTTAAAATAAAATTGAATAATTTTCCTGATGGTTGTTTGAAATATAAAGCGGATAGAAGAGCACCAACTGTACAGGCAAGAGTACCATGCCCAATTACGATTCCTCCCAAATAGATTCCTTAAACAAAATTTAAATTGAAAGAAAAAATCGAAACAAGTGAAATAAACGAATTTGATATTTCTTACTGAAAATTCATCAACTATAGCTTGGATTTAGAGTTATGCTTAATTTTTCATATTTTCTTTGAATGACATGCCTTAAAATTTAAAGATTAACCAAAATGTTTCCAAAACTGTTGAATGTGCACATATATTTTAATCGTAATTTCTGTTAAGTACTCTTTTAGCTAAAACAATTGGGATAAAAAGTCCGGCCAGAGGTATGGGTGTCATAAGTGAAATCATTAAAATTATTTCTAGTACAGAGAAATTGCAAAGATTACAATAATTCCACTAATATATAATAATATATATTAGAGTGGAATTTACTAGAAAAAGTGTAAAACGGCCATTTTGTTGTACTGTTTCCATACTGCAGAGCCCAAAACTTAAGACAGGGTATCATTATGAAAACCAGTTTTGGAACCCGGGTTTCACAAATGGGTTTACCCAGTTTTGTAGATATCAATATTTTTGTTTTGAAATATCATTTTATTTAGTTTCTTCATATTTTACCATTTTTTCGAATCTCTTAAATAAAAATCTACACAAATGATAAGACTCCAAAAAGGAAACTCTGGAGTTTCGTTCAACGATACTCTTTTAATTTTCGGGCTCTGGCGTACTCCACATTTTTGCGCTATATAACCTTTTGGGCCCTGGAACATCATTTTATAGAAAATCTAAAATTAATATTAAAAGAAAACCAAATTATGAAATAGGCTGGTTTCATAATTGACTAATGATCATTTCACAAAGACTCTATGCCTTTCACTTTACAAACAATGATTTTCCGTTATAACTATAAATCAAATGATGTTTTTTATTCACCTAATTCATTTTATAAAGTTTATTTAAAAGCTGTAAAAAATTCGAAATTGAAATGGATAGTCTATGGAAAATACTGTATTAATGTACTCTACTGCATATAATTTGTGAACATTTACATGATTTGTACACTTTGAACTTCCTTTCAGGCTGAAAGGGACTGAAAAAATTCATACCGAGAGATTCTCTAAATTCCCCTCTAATATATATTCTATTCTCTTTGCTATAAGTATCGTGTACATAGACTGTGAAACACCTATGAAACAACATGGATTATTAGAATTAATTAATGAAAGAAAATATAGTTTTGATTGTTTGTTAATTTAGATTTGGTAATTTGGTAAGAAAGGAAAAATATTATAATTGTTAACCTGATAGAATTAATGCTCCTGATATAGGATTTGAAACGAAAACAACTTGTGAGATCCCCCGTAGTATTGCATCAACAAACCTTGACAAAAGTTTTAAAAACAAAGTTGTTTTTATTAAATGAGAACGATCGCTATTCGTTTTCTAAAAGTTCAAAACGGTGGGTCTTTTTTAAAAACGATCGTTTTTTTCCGAAAACGAAACGATCGTTTTTGAAAACGAAACAAAAAACGATCGTTTAACGATCGTTTACAAAAACGATTAACAACCCTAATCATATGCGATATTTTCCATAGCATCAAGAATGTAAGGCAAGGAAAGTTTATTGCGGTCGTGTATACTCTGCGTACATATTGAAACCAGTTCTCTTTGGGCGGAATTTGTAAACAAGAATAGATGTATCAGTGTTCGTTTAGTATCCGAGGATGTTAAAAGCATTAAATTTTGAAAATTTTGATAATTCACATAATAGTTTCCTATGACCAGAATATTTCATCGATTTTTTTATGTGAAAGATGGATCCCATTTCAGGCTTCGACATCCGTCTTGTGTTTACATTACCGCCCAGAGACAGTACACTGCAGTACAAAAGACAAAAGATGTGTACACTTCTGAAATAACTTTCCTTGCATTATTACATCCTTGCATTATTACATCCTTGCATAGCATTTTCTATTGTGTACAATTACTGTACACACCAATCAGCAAACATCTGTATTCAGGGATATTTATTGATCCTTTGAATACGAAACACAAAATCTTCAAAAATAGACTGAATTCAAAAATGTTTTGTTATATGTTTAAAATTGCAGTATTTTGTAGTTGTAAAACTTAACCCCTGAATGGGTATTACATGCAACAAGTGGCCATGAGATGGCACTCTAAACGTAGCATGTCGTGCTGGGTCAACTATAGGCTTTATGCTCATTCCTTATAACTTAAAATAATCATAATGAAATTAAAATCACAATGTCTATAGGATGTTAGGACTACATCCTTAAAAAAATTATTGAATTTGGTCAACACTGCATTAAATAAATGCTCTATATCTCTTAGGGTTAAAACTGATCAGCCTACCTGCAAAAAAGAATGCATTGACAAAGCTGAAGGAGGTTCAGAACTTGCTTAAATGACAAAAATCTATTTAAAGGTGTTCTGTATAAGCCTAAAACTCTTTAAAGCTTTGTTAGTTAACAGATTACAAGTTGAGGGTGGAGCTAATATGACCAAATACCAATTTGGAGCCTTGGAGGATACTGTAACCCACCATTTACAGGCAAATGCAGAGCCAGTTCCTTCACTTCTCCATTAAAAAGGAGAACAGCTGCCGGGGAACATTACTGTAAGCTGATTGAACCATATTTTATTGCAAAGATGAATATACCTAATTCAATCCTAAAGCTTTTCCTTGTGTAAATCAAATCTAACTTGGTCCGCGAGGGCCCAGCTTGTAACTTGTAACTTGTAAACTTGTAAACAGCTACCACAACCAGCCTCTTTTGCTGTCATCAAAAGATTAAATTAAAGTTTGGGTTAAGATACACCTGACAATAACCACGAAGTAATGTCTGGCCTGTAATTGAGAATATTTGGGCCATGGCAAAAAACAAGGTTGCAAGGAAGAAATGTGAAAATCTCTATCATCTAAACCAGTGTGGTGAGAATATGAAATAACAGCCGGGTTGGGTAGGCTGCTCAAATCTTTTCCCAAGAGATAAAAAGCATTCAATCAGAGCTGTGCACCTCGGACTTACCAGAGTTAGAAGCAATCGGTTTCTTCTATTTGAAATCATACGCGTTTTGGTTTTTATTTTAATAATCTTTAAACTTCTGGATTTGTTTGTAAAATACTTTTTATTCAAAACGTATATGCCGGCAAAAAAGTATTTAAGAAAGAAGGCTGAAAAATTATGTTTAATAGGAGAAATTGTGATCGAAAGTCACAGCTTTCTGGAATATTGACAGAACCATTAAATCCACGTGAGTGTTGACCCAATCCGATAATTTTTTAACCATGTAATGATGTAGTCCTAACGTCGCCTTAGAGATATTGTGATATAAATTTTATTATGATCACATAACAATTTTAAGCCTGTGAGAGAAAAAAGTGTTAAGTGTTTTTTTTAACACCGTTAAGTCTTAAATCAATTTATTTAGTTGGGGGGTGGTAGGATGGGAGGGGTTGGAGGGAGAATATTACAGTTGAAACTGTACCTAAATGGTATCCAGTAAATTGAGTTTTTATTTCTTCGTATTAAATTCTTAGATAGTTCGCACTCTCCAAAAATACTCATGAAACGTTGACCTAAATGGAATTCGTTAAAACAAAAAATCCAACTTTTTTAATTAAAAAAAACTTTTATCAATCAAGATTCTTAAAATTTACCACATCCTTTCTCCTCTGTTGGTTTTAATTCTTCCGCAGCATTTTCTTTTGATTTTGAAGCCATAATTCTGAAGATTAATATTTTTATAAATCAATTCTTATTTCTTGGAAAGTTTTTTTTGTAAATATCAACATAGAGATGAAAAACTTAGGAACCGATTTGCCTCAAATTTAGGAACTCGATAATCACGGAAATGTTCTTACTCATGTAGATTCAGTATGATATGAAAAGTTGCATCAATTTACAAGACAGGGTCGACTTTGAAGTGTCGCAACGCCTTTGGCTTTGATTTTACCGCTCCAAATCAATTAACTATTGTGTAGCCCTAAACATGACCACTTCAAAACTTTTTAGCTTTAGTTTTTAAGAAATAATTGGCAAAATTCTCATAACTTTTGGCATGAGAGCTTGCAAACTTTAAATCATAGTGTATTTAGACTGGTTTAAAAATTCTAAAGTGAGTGGGTTGACTTTTAAAGACTCCATACAAAGCTGGGTTTCCATATAGCGTTATGAAATATATGTATACGAAAAATATTGAAATCTTGTCAATGTCATTGAAAATAAGAAATTAAATTTTTTTTTTTTTTTACATTCTTTAGATAAAAAACATTTTCCGAAAGATTTTTTGGATTATGTAACAACCTGCAATCTGCAATCACATTTAAGAATTTAAGAATGAACTATTTGAATATTAATACGATATGAAAATTACTTTAAAAAAGTTAAAGATAAAGAATGTTATCATACATGAAGGGTGACCCAGAATTTAATAATTTAATTCATAATTTAAGAATCAGAATACATAGAAACATGCAGGATTACTCTCATAGTACAGTGAAACCCTTAATAACGAATACATCGAAAAAATTCATCAAATGTCGTATTCTTCACTTTCTGATAATGGAATGTTGCAGATATTTAGTTTTTTAATTAAATGATTATATGGAACTCTTTAAAACTGTTCCCGCATATTCTTGGCTATTTATTTATTTTCGCAAATACTGAAATTTACGTAATATAGTATAAAAAAAACTCTTTGAAAAATTGCCAAGACGACATTTGATAAATTCTTCCGCTGAATTAGTTATTAAGGGTTTCACTGAATGAATTTTAGTCCCTTTAAGTCTGAATTAGTTATTAAGGGTTTCACTGAATGAGACTTCAGAGACGACTGTATGGAATTTATACTGCCTTGAATAATTTCCTGCAACTGTAAACTTGTTTCTTTCTGTGTCAAATGATTATCTTAGCAATTTAATGGATTAAATATAGTTATTTAAAAACAAAACAAGGAAACAACTTTAGTGTTTTCTATCTTGAAATATTTAATTTGACCGTAGTCCATAAAAGTGATTAGTGGAAAGACAATGAGCATAATTTACAGAATTAATCACTTTTTAAGTTAAAATAACGACAATATCTTCCTCATTGTTACCCAGATAAATGTTCAGATAGTACAGTTGTTGATAGGACTTTAATGGGTTGATAAATTGAAATTACATCTATCTGTCCCTTAGAACATTTACTGTTGGTTTGAAGTATATATAAAGTGTTTATAAGAAGAAAATTAATGTCTCATATCTTTTATGCTAGTAACCTCGTACTTTTTAACAGTAATCAATTATCTCATTACTGTTTCCTTCAAGATTGAATTCTCTCCCTACCTGATTTAAATGAATTATTGAAAAATATAAATATTTAAAAATAAAAATATTAAAATGAATTATTGAAAAATATAATATTTATTTAACAATGTAAAAGTTTTTACACAGTAGGGATCTTTAAGCGTAAGGAATTCATATAATCCAATTAAAGAGCCTTCAATAAGATCGATGAAAAAAAAATCGACACAAACGAGTTTGAAGGTTTATATAGTGATGTGATACAGCTGTACAAGGTAAGAAAACAGCGCAGGTTAACAAAAAAATCCTCGACAATTAAAGTAGAATTGTTATATTTGTTGGAGGATGAATTTGAGATCGAACCTTGAACCTCGACTTCAGCACTTTTAGCAGTACATGCACATGAACACTGTTTTGGTCTATAATTCAACAATCTTTTAACTTACGGATTTGTTTATTCTATACTTTTTCATTTAAAATACATATGCCGACAAAAAAGTATTTTGGAAAAAAGCTAAAAATTATGTTTAATGGGTCAAATTGAGATCGAAAGTCACAGCTTCCTGGAATATTGGCAGAACTGTTAAATCCACATGCAACGAACTATGCAACAGGTAAGACAAGTGTTTTATTGGCTCATGGATGGAGAAAGGACACAAGCATTTTTGTCTTACAGTTTGCAGGTTGTCTTCATAGAGAAGAAATCAATTTTAAAAATGTTGAACCTTTCGAAAATCTAGCAAAAAATGTTGACATTGATGTCTTGTGCATGTCTTGTCTCCAGAGAAAAATAAATATATTCTTACATTGATGTGTTAATTTTCTAGGTTCGTCTCAGCTGTAGCGATCCCTGATAAGTCTGCTAAAACATTTTCTTCAGTGATCATGAAACACTGGGTCGGCCTCTATATGGTGCTTCATCCTCAATTAGGACCGACTCGGGCTGCAAGTTTAGAAACTCTGTAATTGTAACAATATGAAAGCATTAAATGTAAGAGTAAAAGTGGGGACGCCATAATCACACAATTCCTATCCCTTCGAAAGATTTCACAGAACTTTAAAAAGCAACACTAGAAAATGGGGAATGCAATTGGGAGAAAAGTTTAACCCTTTGATTTTAGCTTATAATGCCACCCAACAGCAGCCCTGCCCATGTTTTCTTAGACAGAGAGACGTATATGAGTACAGCTGTACAAAAGAGAATGTTGAATTAATGGAAAAAAGCTATGTTATACAGATATTCCAAAAGAAAATTATAAACACCATAATTTCCTATGCACATCCAATAGGATGCTGTTAACCTCCTCCTCCCTAGAGCCTTGCACTCCAAATTTCGCAAGAGCAATACAGGGAGTTGATGGATAGATTAGAATCCGACCAGGATTAAGTCCTGCAAGTTCTCCACTATGTAGTATCAACTGGTTGTTTCATTACCGCCTGCTAGTGGGTATTCTGGACCCTGTGCATAGTAAAGAGAATTCTAGCTGCCTTGCCCTTTTGTAAGCCGCCTATGCCTGTGCAAACAGATAACAAAGCCAGGGCGGAAGTTTTACTTGAGTTGTTAGGCTATGTCCACCCTGAACCATACCGTAAATCCTCCGCCGCACACAGAAGAGGTCTACCATAATGTTGGGATCCGGTTCACAAGCGAGGCGAATGTAGAATGAATTATGTGAGATCTTGGAACCCATGCAGTGTGCATAGGTTCCAAGATCAGGTAGAGGATGTAAGCATGAAGAGACAGCTTTCTTGTACACATAAACTGTAGGAAACGATAACAGTGAGCCGGGTGACAAGTCTCCTCATCTGTATCATGTAGAGATATTTATCCGTTGAGAAATGCCAGCTCTCCGTGGAAAAAGATGCCATTGTTTAAACTGAGAATTAGAGAGTTAGGTTCATCCAACGGACTAAAGACGGATTATCAATATCAAGGGTGATCTTGATCAGGACGAATGAATAGGCGGAAGATCCGCCAAATAGAGCTCCGGTTTTCATGAGTCTAGTATACAGTAGTATCATTTTTAAGTGTTAATTTTTTACTTGTAAATACATTTTTTCCTATACTCTGTAGATTTACTTACGTCGGGTTTAAGACTATTTATTTGATTTACTCTGACCACTTTTAAATGGTAACATTATGGGAACTGAATTTTCAACTGATGTCCTATATCTTTGACTTATAAATTCAGTTAGATCAAAGGCTTTCCCTATTAGGTTGCAAAGAGGGATTTATATTTTTGGTAAGGTTGAAAAAATACAAAATAAGACCTTTTAAACCTTTCTTTTAATATTTTCCATCCCACAAAACGCTTTTTCTCCCATAAAAAGTTTTCACTTCTTTTATCTGAAATAAAGCTGAAAAATTCTTCAAATGTTTACAGGTGTTGTTTTCAATAAACAAATAAAGAGAGTTGGGTTTCGTTATTATCTATTTTTTAGATATTCTAAGATTTGTTGCTCTTGATCTATCTTCTATAAATACTTCGCTTGTCTGGGTGGGGGTTTGTTTGTTTGTATCTAATAAACGTCAAAACGGCTGGATCAATCGGCCCCAAATTATTTGTGGGACCTCACGGGACCCAAGAAAGGTTTAAGAATTTGCCTCTTACAAAATTCCATTTTAAAAATTTTGGAAAATCCACGAAATTTTTTTTATTAAACCCGCGAATTGTTTTGTTGTTTTTGTTTTACAATGTTTACAAAGAAAGTATGTTTATTATTGAAATAAAAGATTTGTTACCTTCACGTACCTTAAAACTAGTTTCTAAAACCCATAAGACAAATTTTTTTAATGAAAACCCTGTATAACCTTATCCTGAAGGCTGAAATTTTCTTTAGCAATATGTTAAAGTTTATATTTACGTATAAACCAATTTCAGAACCAAACTTTGTTTAAAAGTTTTTTTTTGTTTTAGTATAATTATGTCTTAATTCCTTTAAGAAACCGTTTTTTTACAAAATTCTAATGATATATTTTAAACTAGGCTTTCATGGTGCTTTGCTAAGTTACCACTCTCATATATTTTCTGAAATTGGTCAGTGTACGCCTTAATGTCCATGCATAATATAAAAATATAAGAAAGGGCTTCAAAGCGCTTGACCGACCATCTTCTTATAGGTCAGTCCTAGGAAACAATTTTGCCTGTTCGATTAAACTCATTCAACTGTTTCGACGTTTTTTTGTTGTAAACAAACAAATCAATATAATTTCCAACTTATCGGTCAAGAAGCAAATTCAATTTTAGATTTAGTCTTTTTTATCAGTAATTGTTTTATCAAAGAGATTAGACCAAGGGGGATGATAGTTTCCTACCTGTGTGCTCAGTTAGCTGTGCTGTACACTTACATTTGTTTACTAATAATGATATATGTACTATAGGTTAGGCCAGAATCTCTTTATATTAAACACATATGCAGTACGCTCTCGGTATAGTTCATGGCCTATATAGTTAGTAAAGGATTAGCGTACATCATCACCCTATACACTATAACCTCATTGGATTAGACAGTAATATTAATAATTAATAATTAATAATAATATTTAATTTACGTAAAACTAGCAACAATGAAGCACATTGCATCCTGTTTATATTGGATATTTTCAGTCATATATTGATATCCTAATCAAAATCTGTCTAAAATAGCGTACCAAGAAAGTATAAAATAGGAAATACAAAAAAACAATATCTAATTAAAAGCTTAACATCACAACGTAATAACGAAGGATTGGTTTTCGGGTTTAAAAATCATTCTTTAAAAAAAAACTTTATAATTCTATCAATATGTTGAAATAAAAAATAATCACCGGGACGAATTGAAGAGCTTTCATTTCTATAGAGTATCCCCTGCGTAACTTGAGATAAACGTACACTGACGCATTCTACGCAAATAACCTAAAAGAGAAGGAAGATTAAACTTGAAACCAATGAACTGGTTTTAGCCGTTATTCTTATTCCTTAAATATAATAAGGAATAACGGATAAATTGTTGCCATTTTAGTGCACAAATTTATTTGCACTAGTCTTATAGGGGTGCAAACGCCCATTTTCAATTTCTTTTGTGAACATGTTTTCTTTGTGTACACTGTAAAACAAAAACAACAAAAAATTTCGCGGATTTTATAAAAAAAAAATTCGTGGATTTTCAGAATTCAGCCGTTTTGACGTTGAATGGATACAAACGGACAGACAAGACAGACAAGCAAATTATATATAAAGAATAGATAGAATAGCTCATGTTTTCCCATTGATTTTGAAATAATTTGAAATAATTCAAGAAATACATGTTTAAAAAAATGGACGCCTCCATGTAAGAAAATAGAATATCTTTAAAATTCGTTTTAAAATGAATATCCACGGCGAAAACTTTTTTTTGAATAAAAGTTTGGACTTTTATATCTTATATATCTTATATCTTATATCTAAACAGGCGATTTCTCGTAGTGAAAGCAATACTAAACAACAAACCCCTTTACAACATTTCTGAAGTAAAACATTAGATAGAACTCTTATGTTGCGATCAACTCATAAGATACGTAGGTTTCAGCCTATACCCCATTTCACTTTTCCTTTACAATCCCTTAACGTATAAAACATGCAGCTTTAAAAACTTTATAACCATTAATAAAAAAATTGGTCGATACTTCAAAGTTATATTTTCAAAAAAGAAATTTGTCAATAAATCAATGCTAAAATCGATTATTTCGTTTTCATTATAATATTGAATTTCTTATTTTCTTTGAATTTATTGGCAGATATCTTCAAATTCTTCAAATGCCGTCTTTTTAATAATAATTCTAGAAAATCTGGAGAAAATCTTTGTGAATAATGAGAAACCAGAATAATGAGAAAATAGAAACTAATAATTGAACAAGATTACTTCTTTCCGATAATAAGATTATTTTTTTTTTGAATATGTTCCTATACATGACGTCTGTAGTTTATTGTAGAACCTTTTTACCCTTTATGTCGTCGTTATTTAATAATTAAAAAAACTAATTCTGAAAACGTATCCACCCCCAAAGTAGGAGTTTTGAACGTCGAATTTGCGCTCAAACTCAGGATTTACAAATCTTTAAAAAGTTTAATATGTCTCAAATGAATACGAAAGTAGTTTTCCAAAACACTGCTTACTCAGTTCAACTACCTTTAAATAATTGGATCATCATCTAATAAGAATTTCAGTTCGTCTTTACAGTCTCATTCTGTACGTGGGTAACCCTGAATAATCCCCAAAAAAAGAGTAATTCAACATCCTACCCAGTTTATTAAAATATAAAAATATGAGACATTCTTTTTTCTTACCTAGCGTTTTATGTTAAAGAAAAATTAAGATAATTTCAAATTTATTATGCATTCATATATAAAGAATTATAATTTATAAAGAAAATAGCATTTGTTACAAGATTAAACGGAAATCATAATAGTACGAATTAGTGCATGTTTAAGTAATGTAGGGGGAGATTTATTCATACAAATGCATGATTATTAAGAAATAATTGTACATTTTTTAAAACTACTAACTTTTCTTGAATTCAATGACCCAGAGGAAAAATAAGACGACATATAAGTATTCTTAGGTGTAGTTTTATGTTGTTATTACGGCTCAGCTACATTTTGCCTAGTCACAATTTGCCTAGTCACATTTTGCTTAGTCACATTTTGCCTAGTTCACATTTGCCTAGGTAACATTTTGCCGAGGTAACTTTTTGCCTAGTTCAAGTTTGCCTAGTAACATTTTGCCTAGGGTAACATTTTGCCTAGGTAACGCAAGAGCATGTTTTTTGCCTATTGCTTTTTTTATAACAAATTTTGTCCAAAATTAAATATTTTTTTTTAACTTAACCAGTTCAATTTTAATAAATTAAATGTTATAGGACAATTGAATTGTATCTTGTACAGGTTATATCTTTATTTATCATTATTTATCTTATTTCTCAATCTTTTCTGTGGCTTTAATTTTCAGCAGCTTGTTGGTAAGGCCATGGTTATTCTTATCCCTGTAGTTGGGCTTACCCCACATGGTAAGCCCTGCAGTTATCATAGGAGCCATTTTCAATGTGTCTCTCGATCTGATTGGTTATAGAAAATTGAATTATCAAAAAAAAAATTGCGTAATTTTTGCAAAAAACTTTGCGGATTTTTAAAAAATATTATCGGATTGTTGAAAATTTCTTTGTGAAAAAATTATAGTCTAGGCGAAAAATGCGCTCTTTTGTTACTCTAGGCAAAATGTTACCCTAGGCAAAATAATATTAGGCAAAATGTTATTAGGCAAAATGTTACCTAGGCAAACTGTTACCTAGGCAAAATGTGACTAGGCAAGTTGTAACTAGGCAAAATGTGACTAGGCAAATTGTGACTAGGCAAAATGTAGCTGAGCCTTTGTGTGGAATACTTAAAATGTGTGATTCTTCATCACATGAGTAGGAAACTATGCCAACTGGCATTTTAGACTTACAACGTTCAGGATACCATGGAATAGTTAATTTCAATAATGATATTTTTTTGAGAACAGGATTTTCTTGAAACAATTACTTTTGCCATTTTTTATGTTTTTATGTGTTTGTGTTTTGGGCCCCATCCAGAGTTTTAGACAAGTGGAGAGTGGGAGGGGGGGGAGGGTGGCACCTACACCACGTGACCATACTTCTGTTCCTACCAGGGGCGTACTCAGAAATTGGACCAGGGGAGCTCAGGGTCTGAAAACCCCCTTAAAAACCCCTAGGATGGGACTGAGCCCCCTTACACCACCCTGTGTACGCCTCTAATTCCTAAACCATAGAATAGTTGATACAGCCTACAAGATAAAAGTGTGTAAAAAGTACAAGAGAAAAACTGAAAATGGGGGCTTGGCAGCTTCGAGTTCCGTTTGCCTACGCTACTAAGAGCTGGAATTTCACAAGGATTTTTAAGTCTGTTCTTATAGAGTTGATATAATTGAATTTTAAAAAAATATATATTAAATAAGTTATTTTTTTGCGCCCAATATAAGAAAAGGAGAACCTAAAGTTCCGTTTTGAAATTCATATTTATATTTCTTTATGTAAAGAACGTCATTGCTGGTTTCAATAATATTCAATCATTACATATTATTTTAATATAACATTTTTTTTAATTTTTATATATCTATATAGATATTTACTGATGATCTGAAGTTGATTATTGCATGTGATTTAAATGCGCATTTTCCTATTACAATTGCAATTTGCAACCCACAAAACTGTCTCACATTTTAAACCGGTTCAAACCAATTACATGTCATTGTTTTGATCTCTCTCGCACAGAAAACATGTTTTTTTCACCATTTTACGACAACTCAATCCTATGTTTGTTTACAACATGTTTTTTCTCTTTTGTCCATGATTTCTAGTCAAAACTCAATTTTCTTCAGTTAATTTCCTTTTTAGGAAATTTAATTATCGATCATGATTCATGGCATGAGAAGAGTTCAATTAAGGTTTTTTAAAACTAATTCTATAAATTTGTATAAGCACTGCCAAAAAAGTTATACTTTTTGTTAAATCAAAATATGACAGGCAAAATGTTTTTGGCAAACATAACAAACTGTATTCCCCGACCCCTCCCCCCTTCCATCTTCCAATCTGAAGAATAATTTTAAATGTTAAATGTCACGAGTCGATTTTGCTGCTTTATTGGTTTTACTTAAAACCACATTAGCAATCCCTTTAAACTTGCAATTTTACAAATATATAAATTATAAATTTAATTTTTCATTCTGAAAACTTTGTGTTCAAACTTATAACATTCTATGAAGTGTTGAACGTTTACATTTGAACTGGTGGAATTTCAATATGTTTCATGTTTAGATATCCTGATATTAACTAATTTACATAGATAATCAAATAATTCAAAAATTTTTGTTATTTTGGTTTTTTTAAATATAACTTTAATTATATCTATAGCATGGGCAGAATAAAGAAAATCTTTCAGTTCCAATCCCCCCCCCAAAAAATAAAAGATAAAAAATTAAAAATAAACGTTTCATTATGAAAACGACGACGAAAAAACGTTTTTTAAAAAAGTTCGTTTTTTAAAAATGGTCGTTTTAAAACGATCGTTTTCAAAAATCGTCGTTTCGTTAACGATCGTTAATGAAGAGAGGAAACCGACATGAAGGGCATCTGTACTTATCTTTGAGTAGTTTTTAAGAAAATATCAAGAAATTTTAGCTCCCCACAACTTTTAACTTCATGTAAAACGACATTCAATAAAGTTGCATGTTGCAATAAAGTTTCAAAAGCGATCGTTTTTCCAAAAACGGCTGTTTTTATAAAGTTCTTCGTTTCGTTAACGATCGTTAACGACAACCCTTCGTTTTTAAAAACGATAGTTTTTTTCCGAAAACGAAACGATAATTTTTGAAAACGATTGAAAAACGAAACAAAAAAACTATTAGAAACCCTATTCATAACCAAGTTTTCTAAACGTAAAATAGTTATGTGACAAGTTCGACCCTCCCTTCTTTTTAGAAATGTTAGTTTAGTTTTCGCTCAAAGGGACTGTAAAGGAAAAATGAAAGGGGGTATAGAATGAAAGGAAGTATAGAATGAAACCTGAGAATATCAGGCATTGGATGATACATATAAGACATCTATCTGATGTTCCTGTCTCGAGAAATTGATGTAAAACTGTGTCAAATTAATTACGAAAATTCAAATATATGCAATTTTGTATAAAAGTTGTAGTATTAAATAGATCATATTCAACAATTACGCAACCAATCTGGAAAAGATTATATCCCACAGGAGCCTGAAAATCTAAGATTTGCTCATATTATAAATTTTTATTTTGCATTTTTAATAGATATAATTGATAATATTATTACATATAGTCCGTATAGTCCGTATTACGTCACCAAAACTTCAGCCAATGGCAGTGCAGTATACTGGTCACGAGATTTCCGTCTGTATCAAGTGACAACGATACTGCACTGCTATTGGCTGAAGTTTTGGTGACGTAATAATATTATCAATTATATCTATTAGAAATGCAAAATAAAAATTAAAAAATTATAACCTGAGCAAACCTGAGCTTCTCAGGCTCCTATTGGATAAATCGTTTTTTATATTTGCTGAATATGATCTATTTAAACTTACTACTTAATACTAAATTGTATATATATATATATATATATATATATATATATATATGTAGTTTCCCGTAAAGGAATTGAGTCTTTGCCACAAACTCTGATTTTCAAATCCCAATATCTTTTTGACCCAATGTCGTAGATCTTAGATATTTCAAACTTTGAATTGTCTTAGATTAAATTATTAAAGTTTGAAATACCAAAGGCTTATGCCAATATTTTGCAAAGTTATATGGATTAGAAAGTTTGTGGTAAAGACTCAATTCCTTTGACACAGTACTATATCAATTTCTCGAGACAGGAACATCAGATAAATGTCTTATATGTATCGTTGAACGCCTGAGCTGAGATTCTCAGGTTTCATTCTATACCCCCTTTAATTTTTCCTTTACAGTCTCTTTAATGTAATTTACTAATTGATTTCTGGTTCCACCTAGCTCCCAATTATTGCAAGTTCATGTTTATAGAAAGCCCTAAATATCGTTTATCTATAATTCGACCTCTTAATCACAAATTTTCTGTTTAATACTTTTATATTCCCTGACTTTCAGTGCGCTTCTCGCCCCATTGCTTATAAAAATTTTATCTTTTATCTTTTACACTCATTCTCAAATTTTGGCGCACTGAAAAAATGATGATCATCGATATTTTTTTCCGTGCAAAATTTGACTACCCATAAACTTTCCCTGGGTCTCTGTCGTCTGGGTTCATTTGAGTTGACATAAAAGATTTGGGCCTGATCGGTTGTTCAAACTGAGGCTTATACAGGGTGAATTTCAGGCCCCTGCAACGGAGTCCCACTTGAAAGATTCTTTAAAAAGCTACCGGATCCTGTATACGCCCCCGGCTGTGAACTATTCACATTCTTATTACTACAAAATGATAATTTCAACCCTACGCCAAGTTAGGACGACTGCACTTCAAAGTTATGTTTGTTGAAGTTTTCATAATTATGTAAATCTCTTAACGATGGGGGTAGGAAAAATATGACCTAAACAATTGCAATTAGTTACCGCTTGTTTATCTTAGAACCAATTCGGAAGAATTTCTTCAAATGATGAAATTTTATTTAAATAAGAGCTCCATCTTGTCAATCAGGATATCTTAACTAATGTTGACAGATATTGAGTGTCATACAGGGTGTCCCAATAAACATGGGAATTCAGTGACGAATTCGATATCGTCTTTTTTAATAATACTTTGATTTAGTATAGTGATACCTAAGGAGAAAGTTTTATTTCGTAAGAGTTTTGTCTGCTGTGTTCACATTTTGTTTGTTTATGTTTTGACTGCAAACGGTTGTACTTAGTAAAACAAAAAAATTGCAGAATACAAACAGAGCAAACTTGTCTGTCTTCACTGTTAATCTTGCGGAGACATTATAGACACATCTTTACAGTCTTTTACCCTTTCCATATAATAAACTCTAGCAGACATAATTATACTATGGCTTTTGAAATTAGGTATTACAATGCTAATTCATAACAATGACGATATCCAATTCGTCACTGAATTCCCATGTTTTTTGGGACACCCTGTACAATTCTCTAATCCTAATAAGAAAGTTTGAGATCAAAAATTTTACAGTTAAACCGATCGGTTAAAGATAAATACCTAATTACGCGTCAAAATTCAAAAACAAAAAATTTCCCCAATTTATTTTAAACCCAACTTTCAGTCTGGTTATAAACAGTCTCATCATTTTTAAGACAGGGTAGACTTTGAAGAGTCGTAACGCCTTGATCTTTTATTTTATCGGTCTAACCATAGAGAATAGAATATATATTAGAGAGGAATTAAAAGAATCTCTCGGTATGAATTTTTTCAGTCCCTTTTAGCCTGAAAGGGAGTTCAAAGTGTACAAATCATGTAAATGTTCACAAATTATATGCAGTAGAGTACATTAATACAATATGTTCCCTAGAAAATTAATTTCAATTTCGAATTTTTTAAACTGCTTAATAAACTTGATAATGAATTAGGTGAATAAAAAACATCATTTGATTTATTGGAAGGCATAGAGTCTATGTGAAATGATCATTGGTCAATTATAAAACCAGCCTATTTCATAATTTGGTTTTCTTTTAACAATAATTTTAGATTTTCTATAAAATGATATTCCAGGGCCCAAAAGGTTAAAAAGCATAAATATGTGAAGTACACCTGCAGTATGGAAACAGTACAACAAAATGGCCGTTTTACACTTTTTCAAGTAAATTCCACTCTAATATATATTCTATTCTCTATGGGTCTAACTCACTTTATGCTTTTCTGTAGCTTTTTACTTTTATATTTTAGCACTAGACAGCACTTATTGTCAGCTTTGGTTTTAGGAAAATGTTTATCGAAATGTGCTTGAGAGCGTGAAACAAAGAGAATAGAATATATATTAGAGGGGAATTTACTAGAAAAAAGTGTAAAACGGCCATTTTGTTGTACTGTTTCCATACTGCAGGTGTACTTCAAATATTTATGCTATATAACCTTTTGGGCCCTGGAATATCATTTTATAAAAAATCTAAAATTAATGTTAAAAGAAAACCAAATTATGAAATATTCTGGTTTAATAATTGACCAATGATCATTTCACTTTACAAACGATGATTTTCCGTTATAACTGTAAATCAAATGATGTTTTTTATTCATTATAAAGTTTATTTAACAGCTTTAAAAATTCGAAATTGAAATGAATAGTCTAGGGAACAAACTGTATTAATGTACTCTACTGCATATAATTTGTGAACATTCACATGATTTGTACACTTTAAACTCCCTTTCAGACTGAAAGGGACTGAAAAAATCATACCGAGAGATTCTCTAAATTCCTCTCTAATATATATTCTATTCTCTATGCCTTTAAATCACGGTGGTTTGTACCTCTAATTCAGTCGTTGAAGCTATAGCGCTCCCATGCAAAAATTTTGCCCTCCCCCTGGTTCAATAAGATGAAATTGCGTTACAATCCACCTCATGTTTTAACGCATGCCAATAAACAAGTTCCTACGCATGCGAGGATGTAGATTAAGAATTGATATTTTGTTTTATTATAGTTTCTTTATATGCATAATATTTATCTCATCAAACTTTATATGCGGTTGTTAATAGAAGAAAAACACATTAAACTGTTGCGTAAATTATAGAATTGATCTTTAAATTTTTTTTTTTTGAGAAAATAATGTTTCTTTTATCGTTTTTCAGAGTTGTTTATCCGGTTGATTCTGTCTGTATCGTCTGTACAGGTTTGACGTAATTATCTATTTTCATTGTTATAAAATGTTGTTAGTCCTTAAATAAGGAATTATCAGAAAATTTTAAACTGAAAATTTAGTGACAAATGAACAGGATAGAGAAAACCTAAATTAGCTCAAAATCTAAGACAAATTTTGCTTCCATGAATTCATATCAATATAAATCTAAAAGTTTGCACCTCCTTACCTTGACTCTTTGAATTTTTTTGACCCCCCTCCCCCACACCGCACAGCTATGTTTATCTCAATACTCCCCCCTCACCTCCCCTCTCTCATGGATAAAAGGTAAAATTTGAATGAAACGTACCACAACCCCAAAATCACAATGTTGAGAGAAACTTATTAAATCTACTGACTTGACAGACTGATGACGTGACAATGAGACAGCAAACAATTTTCTACTCCTTATATCTTTACAACCTGTTGTCATAGACCTTTGATTTTTTAAACTATGAATTAAAAGAAAGACGACGTTGCTCCCATATGTTTAGGTTCGTCTAAAGATCTGATTGAACTGTTCAGATTTAAATGTCAATGTATCGGATGAATAAAATATAAACCGAAGCAGAAACCATCTCAGGAGAAATTATACTCTATGTAAAAGTGAGTTTCAGCAAAATAATCAGGGTTCTGTTAAACAATTCAGAGGTGGTATGAAATGTATTTGCAGTAAATAAAATGGAGATATATTAAGTTTTTTTTTACTGAAAATTGAGGAAGTTTAAATATAAACATTCTTGTTATGAAAGGCTTTAGATTGGGAACACAGTGTTGCCTGGATACTAACTATTGTGTCATCTATCCTCCTTGTCCTACCTGTAACATCTGTCCTCCTTGCCCCACCTGTTTCATCTGTCCTCCTTGTCCTACCTGTAACATCTGTCCTTTTTTTCCTACCTGTTTCATCTGGCCTCCTTGTCCTACCTTTAACATCTGTCCTCCTTGTCCTACCTTTGTCATCTGTCCTCCTTGTCCCCCTTGTGTTATCTGTTCTCCTTGCCCTACCTGTGTCATCTGTCCTCCTTGTTCTTCCTGTGTCATCTGTTCTCCTTGTCCTACCTGTGTTATCTGTCCTCCTTGTCCTACCTTTAACATCTTTCCTCTTTGTCCTACCTGTGTCATCTGTCCTCCTTGTTCTAGCTGTGTCATCTTGGCTCCTTGTTCTACCTGTGTCATCTGTCCTCCTTGTTTTACCTTTGTCATCTGTCCTCCTTGCCCTACCTGTGTCATCTGTCCTCCTTGTCCTACCTTTGTCATCTGTCCTCCGGCCTACCTGTGTCATCTGTCCTCCTTGCCCTACCAGTGTCATCTGTTCTCCTTGTTCTACCTGTGTCATCTGTCCTCCTTGCCCTACCTGTGTCATCTGTTCTCCTTGCCCAACCTGTGTCATCTGTCCTCCTTGTCCTACCTGTGTCATCTGTCTTCCTTGCCCTAACAGTGTCATCTGTTCTCCTTGCCCTACCTGTGTCATCTGTCCTCCTTGTCCTACCTTTGTCATCTGTCTTCCTTGCCCTACCTGTGTCATCTGTCCTCCTTGTCCTCCCTGTGTTATCTGTCCTTCTTGTTCTACCTGTGTCATCTGTCCTCCTTGTCCCAACTATCTGTCCTTATTATCTTATCTGTATGATCTGTCTTTCTTGTCGAATATATGTGTGAACTGTCCTTCTTGTACTATTTATGTGATCTGTGCAAGACTGTGTTCTCTGCATAATGTCATCTGTATAATCTGTCCTCTTGTCCTAATTGTGTCAACGATATTCCTTGTCCCATCGAGCACAACAATATACTAAAAACAATAATTTTCTTACGTCATCTTAAAAATCAAGTTTTTATGTAAATGTATTATGTATCTGATAAACTTTTACATGAGATGCCAAAACTTTATTTAATCAGCAGAAAATAAGCCTTGTCATTTTATAAAAAAGCTAGTAAAGCTGAATTCAATAAAGAACAAGAAAAGCCTAAACGTTTTTATGATATTTTTTTGTGGTAATTAAAAACAGTTTATATACAAACTTTTTACATAAGCATTGGACGGAAAAAATTGATAAGGTTGAATTTGATTCTAATCCATCAATTACAAAAAATGCATTGACGAAACTCATTTGGCTTTTTTCTCTCCTGGACCAAATCTTCTACCATTCCACTTAATTACTCAGTGGCTCATATTATTTTCATGCACTCCTCCCTCCATGATGCACCCTCAATACCTTCCTTCTCCTCTCCCCCCTCTCAACATTCATATTCTAAGTTACATAATGTACAGCCTTTGCTGGTTACTGCACCCCATTGTCCTGGGAATTTTGAGCAATTTAATTCCTAGGTTTATATTATTCAAGGTTGTATATCTCTCTTCTCTTCCTTCCTCCTTCCTCTTCAAAATACTACCAGTTCAGTCAGATTCATCCAGTTATTCACCTATATCCATATACACCATACTATAGGACATCTATTCACATATGTAAATATAGACTATGTCTATTTATAGATTCATCTAACAATACAGCTGTTTAAATTCTTATTTGTATGACTGTCTGTTTCTTCCTATAGTCTTTTTGTTAAATTGAACTGATTTAAAGTTTTAGTTTAATTATGTATACATTATTGCACAAATGTGTCGACTAGCTAAAGATGTTACCATTCATCTTAATTCATTTTTTTAATGATCTCCTATAATTATACTATCTACATGTTAATTAATTAAGAATCTTGGCAAATTATTCCTAAATTGAGAATCCTAACAAGTCTTCCTAAATTAAGAAGCCTGACAAATCTTTCCTAAGTTAAGAATACAACATAAGTCATCCTTAATAAAGAATCATCAAAAAATCTTCCTAAATTCAGAATCTTGGCAAATTCTTCCTAAATTAAAAATAAGTAATAACTCATATAAGGTGTTTTTTAACCCGTAAATTAGAATTAAATTTTTTTTAAACTTTTTTCAGGATCTTCAAAAAGCAAAATGCGTCTGCGAAGTGAACTCCTGTGTTTGGGGCTTTTACCGGTAATACATGCTATGGGAAGCTTTTTAATGGTAAGCTGAGGTTTCATTACCAATTGTTACCCCCCCCCCCTCTCCCTACAAAACACAACAATTTTATTGTTTTTCGACTCAAGGTCCCCTAAGACGGTAGCGCAAATAAAGTGATTGATATTTTAAAATACGGTGTTGGTGATTTCATAGATGGAAAATTCATAGATGACACAATCATAGATAGGACATTTCCTTTGGGTATTTCACAGAGGACATTACAGAGATAGAATATTTTTTCATAAATAAACATAGAATGTAATAAAAATTTATCTGTGCGCCTTAAATAAACTACCAAATGGCGGTTACAGGATAAAAATTCAGGGGGGGGGGAGTTATTGAGGTCTTCATGAGGATTATCTAACATGTGGTTATTGAGGTCTTTATGAGGATCATCTAACATGTGGTTATTGAGGTCTTCATGAGGATCATCTAATATGTGGTTATTGAGGTCTTAATGAGGATCATCTAACATGTGGTTATTGAGGTCTTCATGAGGATCATCTAACATGTGATTATGCGAGTTATTTTCTCACTTTGTACAATTATTATTTTGTAAACAAGGAGGAAAAAAATGTTTAAAGGAATTGAGTCATTGTAACAAACTCTGATTTTTTAATCTCTTTATCTCTATAACCCAATGTTGTAGACCCTAGATATTTCAAACTATAAATGCTGATGGATCAAACAATCAAAGTTTGAAATATCAAAGGTTTATGCCATCTGGTTTTAGAGATATAGGTATTAGAAAATTGGGATTTGTGGCAAAGACTCAATTCCTTTTCATAAGCCAAAAGTCATTTTCTAACCCATTGGACCAAAATTCAAACCTCTAACTCATTTGAACCACCCTTTACATTCTTAGAAATGGATTTAAAGGAGTCAGAATATACCCCTCTTCCTTGAATAAACCCAATTCCCCCAATTCTCTTTGAAGAGGGACGTCCCCCTAACTCCAGGGGAAGATATTTCCCTTTCCACCACCCTCTCTTTTCTGTATTCATAATACTACTTCAATGTAAAAAAACCCTCAAAAATTACCCATCTATTGCAAAATAAAAGTATTAAATTCAACCATAAAAAATGAATAGAAACCTCGGAGAGCTAGATTTGACATGTACAGATCGTAAAGAGTTTTTATGAGCAAATTAATTATGGCTTAAATAAAGATATGTTTTATTTATAAATTGCAAAGATATAAAGGGGCTGATAAGCCTATGAAAAAATAAAAAAACTGAAAATTTAGGGGGGGGGGTATACCCCTCCCTGATTTTTCTCAGGGGGGGGGGGGTAACATAAATAAATGATCACTTTATTACAAAGAATAGTATAGAATAATGCAATTTGGGCCGTTACTCTTTTATATTTTATACCTGAAAGAAACTATATCTATTGGGTGGATGAAAAGAGTTGGCGGGTTAAAAAAACTATCCAGTTTCTTAAAAAAATTATTTTCATAGTTAAAAAACAGGAAAGTGGCCTTTGGCCTTTATTCCAGCCTGTATCAGACTGGAATAGGGGGGGGGGTATACCCCTCCCTGATTTTTCTCAGGGGGGGGGGGGATGGTCTGCTGCCCCCCCCCCCCCCCCCCCCGCCAGAAAAAGAACCAGAACCCAGGGATAACCTATATATTTAATGTTACCCACGGGGCAAGTGTAACATTACTTTATGTTAAGGTTTGCCGGCTATAAGTAACATACATACTCTCATTTATTCACACATGATGAATATGTAATTTGACTTTCTTCTTGTTGCATATTAAATACTAGCTGAAGAGCCCGGCGTTGCACGTGAAAAAAAACGAATTTGGAAAAAAGATTAAAAAAAAATTTGAGGAAAAAATCGATTTTTCTAGCCGAAGACACCGGCTCCCCATGAGTGTCCACATAAAAATTCAGCCGATTCGGTCGAGCCGTTTGGCCGGCTATAGGCAACATATCTAAGGTAGGTTTAAAGTTGTAATTCACTAATATTTCAGCGGGCATCACTTCATCCTCCCCATCATATTAAGCAACCTTCAGCACATTCTTCTTCTGGAATACATCCTCCTTACTCACTAGGAATACATCAACCTGGAATACATAAACCTGGAATACATCAACCTGGAACACAAAAACCAGGAATACACCAACCTGGAATACATCAACCTGGAATACATCAACCTGGAATACATCAACCTGGAACACATAAACCAGGAATACACCAACCTGGAATACATCAACCTGGAATACATAAACCTGGAATACATCAACCTGGAACACATAAACCAGGAATACACCAACCTGGAATACATCAACCTGGAATACATCAACCTGGAGAACAAAGCCATTTTGTCCATCCTATTCGACCTCCAGTGCCTGGAATCAGACAACCTGGCGAAATTAAAAAGGCAATTTACGCAAATTCGTGATTTTCAGTTTATCCAACTTTAAAATAAGATAAACATCTAAGTTTTAACCTTATTTATGCATTTCTTACTTTTCTGTTCTGTCAGGATTTAGAATTTGATTTCTTCAGCTCAGCTATACATTTGCCGAATTTTTTAGCTTTTTCTAAAATCATTTACATTGAGATATAAAAGATAAAAATTATATGAATAATAAAATTATATAAACAAAAATGTTAAGATGTTTGAGGATGGGCCTTTATCCTTTAATCTGGGTCCTCTACGAATCAGGTTAAAAACAATATAATTTGAAATTTCCCACACTCCCTCATTTTTTCTTTTTTCTTCAGGCATATTCCAGACAGAGAGATCTTAAGCAAACCTCCATTTGTAGAGGTAACATTTTTCATATTCCCAGAACCTGATTCATATTCCAGACAGAGAAATCTTAAGCAAACCTCCCTTTGTAGAGGTAACATTTTTCATATTCCCAGAACCTGATTCCGTGTGCTAGCCAGAATAGCATTATGGTTCAATCGGAATTCCGTTGCGCGGAGTTGCACACAATGGTTGCATCCGCTTGCTCTATTTTATTGCGCACAATTGCACTATAATTGCGAAAATGGAAGCAATTAAATATTCGCGGAATTGCGTGCATCGAAATAGCTTTTCTATCTAAAAATCAATAATTTTACCTGTTCGACTAATAAATTCATGCAGCAGATATAAGAAATGAATTAAAAATCTCTGTTGATTTTTTAAAAAACCGAGGCCCGAGTGTCACTAAAGTTTCAACAGTTTTCAAATTTTAAAGTTTCTTGTGGTTAAGCTACTAATTAACAATTTAATATGATACATTTTTCATTTGTTTACATTGGATAAACATTAAAATTGAAACTTTTTTGAGTAAAATTGTTTAATTCAAAATTAGATTTTTTTGCTACAGTGAGAACCAGAAAACTATGGAACAGAAAGACAACATCACAGTGTATTTGATGTCGTTACAAGTCAAACAAAATTTACTAGTAACTCATTAAATCACTTATCCAGTTACATGGGTCTGCTTGAATCTAAACTGTCGTCTTCCTATGACAGAGTTTTCTGGTTATCATGCTGCAAATGAAGATTATAAAACAAAACATTAAATTTTAATTCAATATTCTCAGCATTTGACTGACAAGCTAATGAAGTTCAGTTTATGGAATGCCATTACCAGAGTTTAAATTTATTTTTTTGTTGTTTAAATGAATTGCGCAACAATTAATTGCATTTATTGCGTGCCATAAGTTTTAAATTGAATTTTATCAAAAAATTGAAAGGCAAACGCAAAAAAATTGTACGGAATTGCGCGCAAGTAAAATCCACTTGCGTTGGAAACCCTAAGACCAGGGGTTAGTCCGTGTGCCAGCCAGAATAGCATAGACACATGTGATATGGAGACATGGAGAGGGAATCGAGTCAGTCCGGGGAATCGCGTGATACAAAAGTGATTGATTTACAGAAATTCTGGGGATGTAAAAATTGTCCGCATAAATTTTTTTTCTGAATCAATGAAAAGTTTTTTTTTTTTATGTGGTGAAGTAAAACCCTGCTTAAAAGACCTTTGGAGCTCACCTTTAAAAGATGGAAAAAGCATGCATTATCCGATCTAAAGAAAACTGACCTGACTGTTTTCCGACCTTAAATTGTGTTATATCTTTGAAAGAGTTAGACTTGGTAGGTAAAGAAAGATAGCTGAAGTTGGATACATAAAGTTAAAACGATAAGTCAAATTTAATCTGTAAAAACTATATCGATATTTATTTAAAAGCGACAAACTAGATAATTAGTTTGGAAATGCTTTAAGTCGATAACAAAGTTACAAACGTAGTAATATTCACTCCACGTCATCCCATTTCGTGTCAGCAAAAAAAAAGTTTTTCTTTTTTTAATTTTTATTCGATGCTTTATATATTTTTTTTTAATTGTTTAGCCTTCGTCAGAACCAGGACCGCTCTCTTTCAGGATTGGACCCATCTTTTTCAAACAAAATAAGGTAAAACTGTTTTCTAAGATATAATATGTAAGATATTGGAGAAAGTTTTGGATCCCGAAAAAATCCTTCATTTTAAGATTGCCTTATATTTTTCACTAATGTTCGATAAACAATTAGATATTCACTGAGTCTCAAACCCTGATTTAAGTATTTATTATTTAAATGTCTAGAATTTTCTGTCATATCTGATAAATTAATTAAATTAAAGGATTAAGAATAAAAAATGTCATAGGAAAATATCAAGATTATTATTTTCAATTTACTTTCATGTTTTTGTATTGTTACAATCTCAACATTACGATGATATTTGCGATTTAATAATTTCGTGCAATAAGCATTATCTTACACGGCGCAATATTCTGCGGAGTTCCGAATATTTGTACAAAATTCCGTAAAATTCAAACGGAAATCCTTATCAAATATATAATTTTTCAATTTTTTTTGAGGATCCTGGATTTGATCCTGTGACCTGCTGTACAAGATTGGAAGCTAGATGTGAATTCATGTTTGATTGTACAGACTTCATTTAGTGCTCTAGTAAAGAGGTCATTCATAATCTTTTAAAAAAAGTCAAGTTACTGTAAATTATTCATGTTAAACACATATTACAGTACACACTTTATATGAATAGTTCATATTACTGTAAGTACTTCATATGAAGTTCATGTTACTATACAAACTTCATGTGAGGTTCATGTCATCGTAAATACTTCATAAGGAGTTCATGTTATTAAAAGACAGGCTTCATTTATAGTTCATTTTACCGTAAATATTGCATTAAGAGTTTATGTTGCTTTTAAAACCTTATGCAAGGTTCATGTTACTGCAAAGAATTATCTAGCGTTCATGTTACTGTAAAGTGCTCATAAAGCGTTCATGTTACCATAAAAAAATTATTTAGAGTTCATGTTACTGAAAAGAATTAATTTAGAGTTTATGTTACTTTAAAGTTTTCATAAAATGTTCATGTTACTGTAAAGTTTTTATGATGGGTTCATGTTACTGTAAACACTTCATGTAGAGTTTTAAAAGAGTAAAAACAGAGACATTTTTTTCTTTATTTAAACGAATAAGACTTTATTGTTAATATAAAAATTACAAAATTATTCAACTTTTAAATAATTTATCTATTAAAAATTAAAAGAGAAATAAAAAGTATAAAAGCTGCCCAAGCTAGCTGCTGGAGCAGATTAATATTGTTTGCTGTTCGAGAGTCTCCAGTACAACAACTTTCTTCAAATCTGGAATATTGTTCAAAATCTTGTTCTTGATTTTCAGCCTCGTTTAAGATCTTCTCAACATCAATCTTGGAGTCAAGAAATGTTTCAATTTGCTCAATGATGTCTTTAACATTATTAGCATCAGTAGCATATTCTATATATTCTTCTTCTTCTTCTTCTTCTTCTGTATTCTCATTCTTTTCCAAATTGGTTTCTGAAAGCTTATCGATGTTATGATCATCATTGTCTTCCGAGTTTACTCCTCCTACGTCATCTTTTCTAGAAAGTGAAATACAAGGATTTACATTCATATCCAATGGAAGAATCAAAGGTGTAAGATAATTAACACCTTGACTCGATTCTTGTTCTATTTCTCCAGAAGCTTCCTTTGGCTCAGACCACTTGTTGTAATAATCAATATCCTCTTCTTTCTCATAATTCATTAAAGATTCTTTTACGCTTTCTTCGCGGTTATTTTCCATTTCTTCTACATTATCTTTTTTTACATCCTCTACAATTTTTATTTCTTCTATCTCTTCTTCTCCTTGATATTCTTTGATGCTGCCCTCAGTTTTATTTTCATCTACTTGCAACATTTGCTGGTCTGAATACTCTGGTTGGTAAAATTCGAGATTATTTTTAGTTTCTTCTTGATACGAAGCATTTTTAGGGGAGTTGATATCCTCAATATGAATTTCTTCCTGATCAAATACAGGTTCATTAGCATCAACAGAAGCTGCTGCCTCATGTGTTACAGTATCATACTGAATTGGATCTTTATGAGAAATTTCAAAAACTTCGCCTTCATTTTCCATTTTTTCATTTGCATGTAGCAGAACCGCTGGTTTATTCTCAATAGCTTCTTTTTCAATACTTTTGCCTTTATCCTCTATCTGTTCTTCAATTTTATCAAGAATATTTTCAGAAATTCGTTTATTATCATCTTCTTCCTCATTTTCCTCATATTCTTCATATTCTTCATATTCTTCATATTCCTCGTATTCATAATCATCCTCATTATTCATGGTATCCTTAAGGTTCTCCTCAGTATGCTTAAGGATGTCAGCTACCGTCTCCTCGCTTGCTAGAAAAGGAGCGTCAGATGATTTGCATTCCTCATTTTCAAGATCGTCTTCACTCTCCATCAGTTCTGTTAAGAACGTTGATCTGCGTCTTTCTCCTGGAAAGTTTTCTTTCATCCTAAAACAATTTATTTTCTTGCTAATTATTTATTTTATGAGAATAATCTAGATTTCTTTTCTGGGTTAATGATTGAATATCAATAGACTCGAAGGCAGGCCAGGAATTAAAATCTATCTACACTTGTTCAGAAAAATAGGAATTTAGGTTTATATTCTTTTTTAAAAATTAATTCTTAAAATTGTATTAAAAACTTAACATTTAGAGTAAAAAGTGAAGGTAGACGTATTTTTAAAGGACCCTCATTAAAAAAAAAGAGTGGCATGTCCGATTCACAATGGAGCCATTTTAACTTGAATTTAAGTCCCATATTGGGAAGCTATTGTTATTTTATGATTTTTGTCATTTTAGAGTGACCACAATTGAAAATAATCAATTTCCAGAGAGATGCAGAAGCATAGCTCATTCATCCTTGATAAGACAAATATTTAAAGGGTAACATTGTGAATTAGACATGGCTATTCAAAATCACAGTCCTATAGAGTAGTTATCCAACCTGAGGTTGATATGACAGAAAACTTGAGGTTCGTCCTGCAGCAGACTTTTCTTCAAGTTCTCATCCTTGTCACAGAACTCTTTTAGAACCATGTCTACCTAGAGAACAAGGTTCGAGGATACAAATTCAAACAGCTGGGTACCCTCACAGAATACATTGAGGTTTCCCACATATTTAAATAAAATTTAATAAATTTAGTAAAGTTTAAAAGTAGTATGATCCGGACCGGAAGATATCGTTTATAGTTCCTACCGTAACGGACCGGAAGATATCGTTTATAGTTCCTACCGTAACGGCTCGTCTAGTGTACTACATAATAAGGTGGCCTAAACTATAGTAATGTTCATCATTCCAATATGAATTTTCTAACCTTGTCTGAAACATTTTGAACCATTTTTTCAAGTTCTACTTCCACACTGTCTCCTCTGGATCTTTAAAACATTTATTAGATATTGTTTTGAATAAGTTTTAATCAATACAATACACATTTCCTATGACCAGAATATTTCTTTGATTATTTTTGTGAAAATGGATTCCATGTCAGGCTGTGGAATCCGTCATGTGTTTACTTTTCCGCCCAAAGACAGTACATTGCAGTACAAAAAATGCTTATACTTCTGAAATAACTTTCCTTGCATTACATCCTTGATGTGATTTTATTATTCGTGAACTATTCCTTTAAGTTATATAGTTAAGATGTACACTGTAAGTACAGGGTATCCCAGTAAACAAGAGCAGATTTTATTATTTTTTGTGGCATTCATTCGTCATCTGCAGTGCTTTTAGAATAACCAGAAACAGAGATTATTTCCGTTCAGATTTACATTTTTCAATAAAATCAAAATTGTCTCAATCATTAAAAAAAAGAAAAAAGATGCATTTAGAGCCAGAAATATACACCTCATTTAAACTAAAAAAAAAGCAATAACAGTATTTATTTACTTTGTACACCCTGTATATTAATCTAACCTGCTTTCTTCAACCTGAAGAGTTCTTGACTTGTTGTAAAGCATGTGAGATCCTTCATCATCTTCGACGTCATCTTCACCGTGTTCAGGTTTCTCTGTTTTGGAAGGATTAATGAAAATTGTGATTTTTTCATGAATCTCATTCTCAGTTGTTACGTCATTAAGTCCCTCCTCTTGCTAAAAATAATAAAACAATAATGTTTACGATCGTTGGTCTTGATTTGATTAATGACAAAGCCAATTTATAAGATAATCATAAAACGTCCTGCATAACACTAGTAAAAGGATCCTTAAAGCCTGACTTGGATCGTCATTTAGAGTAGCTTTCCAATTGAAATGATTAACCGATTTCTTGCAAAAATTTGAGGAATTTGTGAAAATTATTCACTTTTCAACTAGAAAAATGACGATATCTTCCAAAACGTTGATAAAAAGGGTATGGTTGTGAATCTGGCGTTTTCATTTGACGTAGTAAAGATTAACGTCGTCGTCAATCGTTAATGAATGTCTAAATTTGTTCAAAGAACAGAGTTATAGAACTCAAGTTGTGTCTGCTAGTTGTATAGTATTTTAGAAAATTATCGCTTTTATACTAAATACCTAGATACAGGGAGGACTATCCACTAAGCATGACACTATAATGACGATCTAAGTTTATTAAAACATAATGATCTAAAGATAGAATTTTGTTGTGTATGGCTTTTAAATATTGATGTACTTAATGATGTAGAAAAGAAAAAAAAACTGTTTAAAGTTGTAGCAGAAACCTAGAATTTAAGATAAAGCAGAGAAAAATGTTTATCTCTATAAAGTCTAATTTTTATGAGGAAACCTTGTACACAGTGACACCCAAAAAACTGCAGAATAGGCAGACGACATTAAAGAAATGAATGTTTTTTATGTTGTTACAATGTAAAACATTTTCCATGTAGATTCAAAATGAACTTATTATAAGTGAATTGGCTTTTGTCATTGGACTTTTTACAAAGTTAAAAAGTTTTCTTCCTAGGTTCCACATTTTTCTAGTTCCCACTGTATAGATGTATGAAAACTATGCAGACAATACAGGGTGTGCAGAATATATATTTTTATAATTTAACCCTATTCCTGCTGGGGGGGGGGTCAATTTGACCCCCCCCTGTAGTTTTTTTTACATAACTCAAAAAGTATTGGTCTGAGGCTGTTGAAATTTTCTGACTTTTCCTACATACCCAAAGCCCTCCATTTAGGCCTAAAACCGGGCTTTAATACTAACTGCCTGAGTCCTCAGGCACACTGCCTGAATGACTGTTTTTTCTTGTAACAAACTAAATCTTTGTTTTGACCCACTTCCACTTGTCAGATTTTGATAAGATTCAGCTTTTTGGAAAGCCTTTGACATAAGAAAACAAATTGCACAAGTTTTGCGAAAATAAATTGCAAATTTTTTGCAAACAACCTGACACAGGAAATTTGCACATTTTTAGTTTTTCTTGATTAAAAATTAGGTTATTTAAAATTTTGCAAAATTTTTTGCATATTTGAAATGGCATGGTCAAGGGCTTTTCAAAAATGTATAATTTTTCATTTTTTGGACAAATTTTGTTTTGCAAACATTTTTACTATATAACTGGATTTTGCGATAAAAATTTCAATTTTTGCAAATTTGCAAATTTTTTTGCAGATTCTAAAAGTAGAGCACAAGAGCTTTCCAATGATGTATCATTTGTCATATTTGGACACCAAACATGGGATTTAGAGGGGGGGGGGTCAAATTGACCCCCCCCAGCATATCCTGGTTTTCAAGTACCCCAGCAGAGATAGGGTTAAGAAACATTTCTGATTGATTGATAACGATTATAGAATTGTCGCACAACAATCAAAAAAGTTAAAATGCCAGTTCGGTATTTTAGCTTGGTTGAACATTAATATAAAAAAAAAGAAAAAAACTTTATTCATTTTATCTTATAAATTCTCTGCTTTAAATAAAAGATACCAAGTATATAAAAAAGTAAAAGTGACGACGACCACCAGCTCCTATATTTTTGTAGCTCTAGATTCTAACATTTGTTTTCTAGCTTCAGTCTCAGTTCACAATTTAAAAGTATAGTTTCTACCTGAAAAGACTGTAGTCCGTCTCCTGGGTAAGGAGCCATGTGTTCAGGTGTAAAAACTCCTGTTTTAACTCCTGACTCCTCCCAATCCTAACAACTATATCTGAACTATAAAATCTCTCCCCTAATGATGTTAAAGGGGGAAATCTGACCGGGTAGATAAGCAAAGTAAAAACAAATTTGCACTTTCTTTGATTTAGTTTCCGGGTCATAGAATCATTTTGAAATTTTTTACGAAATTATCAATATTTAACCTTTTTTTACAACCCTGTCATCTTCCCTTCTGATTGCTTTCGGCGAAACTATCTATCTATCTAGTTGAATCTTGAACCCCTCGTATCCTTGCAATTTCAGGAATGTAACTTGCTGTAAGCTCTCTGTAGAAAGCTTGCATTGTTGTATCAAAATTTAGCTGTTGAATCTTGCTGTTAGCCTCACTCATACAGCTAGACATAGATCACAATTCATATGTAAAAGGAACTGCACACTATTTTTTTACAGCCATAAATCTTTGCAACTTGTCGTCATAGACCTTCGATACAGGGTGTCCCACGTAACATTATTATTCAAATTATTTCAAAGAAGCTGTCTCCAGAATATCATAATTAATGGGACATCCTGTATTCTAAACAAATAGTTCTCCAAGTTTGAAGTTATAAGATATAGATAATTGAAAAGTTGAGATTGAGACATTGCAAATGGGACTGCAAGCGTAATTCCTAGTAACCTTCCATTTAAAGATGGCTCTGCCAGATTCACAACGATACCCTTGAAACCTAATCAATAATGTAGAAGATGTGGAGAAACCACATTTAAAAATATTCAGTTGTCTAAATTATAATCATCGATTCATTATTCATACTTGATCAAAGCCGTTGTAAATTAGACATTACCGTCTTTGTTTGCATGCATGGGTTACTTGAAATTACGCTTGAAGTTCTATTTGGGTTCAGGATCTAGCTTTAGCTCTATAGTATACTCAAAACAAGATGATGTCAGTTACAAGTATATGCATAAACAAACAAGATGATGTCAGTTATAAGTATATGCATGAATAAACAAGATGATGTCAGTTTCAAGTATATGCATAAACAAACAAGTCATATCCAAGACTTTTCTGACCGGTGAAATGCAAATTAAAAGGACTACTAGCGTAATTTTTGTAAAAAAAGACGGCAATATTCTATTGAATACGGTAGACTTGAAACCTTTCTGATGAATTCAGCTTGAAACGTGTTTGATTAATTATAGATTTTATTGATTTGATTACTGTAGGGTTTGCTGGGGTAGAAATGCGCAAGTCACTTTTGTATCGAAACCACAATTGAAATTAAGCAGTTACAACATTAAATATTGATATTTTATTCATATGCTTATTCAGACATAGCTTTTAAGGGTACCGTTGTGAATCGAACATTGGCATAGAGGATCACTTGAAATAACGCTGACAGTTCCTTTAAAGGGAACAGGTACAATTTCAGTAAAAATTGAATTTTTTAATCTACAAAATAGCCTAACTCCATAAATCAATTAGATGGAAACTTTCCTTGTATCTTATTTCAATTATCAAATAACAAAGTTTTGATTGTTAATCAGTTTATTTCTGTTATATTATATTAAATAAATAGTTATGAAATTTCTGTGCTGTAGTTGCAGCAGTGAACAAGAATCCTTTTGTGACCAAGAATCCTTTTAAGCACAGCAGCTTCCAACCTAGTATTGAACAATTCATTAATTACTTGGAAGAGCTTTATAAAGGAATTTCCAACCTAAAGTGGAATTCGACGACGACTTTATGCCCGGGTTTTAAAACAACGAATTACATATATTGCACAAACTGCACAAAATCATTTCAAATTGTTATTAAAGAAATAGGTCAAAATATTTGACTAGGAGGATATCTGACTAGGAGGATATCTAACTAGGATGATATCTAACTAGCAGGATATCTGACTAACATAATATCCGACTAGCAGGATATCTGACTATCAGAATATCCGACTAGCAGGATATCTCACTAGTAGGATATCTCACTAGTAGGATATCCGACTAACAGGATATCTGACTAGTAGGATATCTGACTAGTAGGATATCTGACTAGTAGGATATCTGACTAGCAGGATATCTGGCTAGCAGGATATCCGACTAGCAGGATATCCGACTAGCAGGATATCCGACTAGTAGCATATCCGACTAACAGAATATCCGACTAGTAGGATATCTGACTAGTAGGATATCCGACTAACAGAATATCCGACTAGTAGGATATCTGACTAGTACTATATCTGACTAGCAAGATATCTCATTAGCAGGATATCCGACTACCAGAATATCTGATTTACAGGATATCCGACTATTAGGATATCTGACTACCAGGATATCAGAATATCAGGATATTTGACTAGCAGAATATCTGACTAGCAGGATATTTGACTAGCAGGATATCTGACAACCAGGATATCCGCCTAATAGGATATCAGAATACCAGGACATATAATTAGCAGAATTCCTGGCTATTAAGATATTTGACTACCAGAATATCCGACTAACAGGATATTTGACTACCAGAATATCTGATTGACAGGATATCTGACCAGTAGGACATCCGACTAACAGGATATTTAACTACCAGAATATCTGATTTACAGGATATCTGACTAGGAGGATATCTGACTAGGAGGATATCTGACTCGGAGAATATCTGACTTGCAGGATATCCGACTAATAGGATATCTGACTAGCAGGATATCTGACTAGCAGGATATCTGACTAGCAGGATATCTGACGAGCAGGATATCTGACAACCATGATATCTAACTATTTGAATATCAGAATATAAGGATATATGACTACCAGGATATCAGAATACCAGGATATCTGACTTGCAGAATATCTGAGTAGCAGAATATCTGACTAGCAAGGTATCTGACTAACAGGATATCTGACTACCAGAATATCCGATTGACAGGATATCTGACAACCATGATATCTGACTATTAGAATATCAGAATTCCAGGATATAGGACTACCAGGATATCAGAATACCAGGATATCTAACTAGTAGAATAACTGACTAGCAGGATATCTGACTACCAGGATATCCGACTAGTATAGGGTATCTGAATACCATGATGTCTGATTAGCAGGATATCCAACTATTAAAATATCTAATAAAGCTAAAGAATACCGTCCATTGAAATTAGAATTTACTCAACATTGAAAATATCAGAATTTATTATACATGGAGAATACCAGAATTCAATATATCAGGAAAATTTCAGAAAATTGTAAACCTGTAGAATGCCAGAGTCTGTGATTTTGATTACTCTAGACGTTTTTCCGCTCTGAGATCCCATAGACTCAATCTTTAAAAAAAAATGATTTATGATATAAAATAAAATCATCAATTATCTAGAATATTTACCTGTTTTACAATATCATAAGAAGGCTGATCATCAACTCTACCGAAGACGACATGTTTATCATCAAGCCAAGGGGTCTTCACTGTCGTGATGAAGAACTGAGATCCGTTGGTGTCCTGAGATTTGTCATGGATTAGAATCATGCATTAATTATTAGAATTTTAAACTTCAAAAAAAGAAATTTAAAAGATGAACTTTCATAGACAGTATATTTCAGACAGAACATTTTTAAGAACACAATAAAATAGAAAGGACATTTCATAGATCTTAGAAAAAAGTGTCATAACTATGACATGTCCCATCTTACACATGTTCCATCAATAAAATCTCTTATCTATGACATGTCTCATCTCTGACATGACCAAGGTTGTATAATAAGGTTGGTTGCTCTCGATGCGCTCCAATGTACGCACAATTTATAGTCTCCGAAGACGGATAGATAAAACATAATATGACGTCAATTTAGCCCCTATAATCATTGACGTCATATGAGGTTTTTTATCTTTCTATCTACGGGGGTGGGGGTGTAGGGAAATTTACCCTCGGGGAGGGTACAGGGCGATGATGGGGGGAGGGTAAAAGGCGATCGGGTTGCGTACCTGGCCAGAGTTTGCCATACTGAGAAGACCAGGGCTGGCGTGCTTGATTGAAAAGTTTTCATCGTCAAACTTTGGTCCGTAAATAGATTTTCCACCTGTTCCATCAAAATTTTCAAAATCCCCTCCCTGAATTGAACAAAAATAGGTTTATGCAATTGTTGCAAAAACTTAATAAACAAATCTCATTAAATGACTGTCGACATAATTTCAAGCGAACCTCAAGTACATGCCCGATTTACAACGGTACCGTTAAGCCCTTCATTAGATAAATATATAGAAGATATCTTTGTTTTTCAGTCGTAAACAAATATACCTAGTAAACATTTTAACTGACTATATATGCCGATGGTGAAGATGTCGGGTGGACTTTATATTTTCGACAGCTGTTTTTCGGAGACTAAATGTGTGCAGGGCAATTTCTCTATATTTGCATAAAACCGCATGTCACTGGTAATAGAAATCTATTTTAAATAAGAAAACAGAAATTAATCTATAATTTTTAATCAGTTAAAAGGTTTAAAGGGTACCATTGTGAATCGGACATATCATAAACTATATGGAAAGGCTTCTATCCCTGTAATAGATGGAGATACAGGGTGTCCCAAGAAAAATGACATTTAATAAATAGTTATTTTTAGTTAAAAACATCTTTTGCTTCATTATATTTTACTTTGAAATCAATTTTAATATAACATGACTCCCATATAATATTTTTATTGATCTTTGGTATCAAAAAACTTAACAAATAAATAATAATGAAAAAAAAGACATTCTAAACTATTCACCAACTGTCATGTTTCTTGGGATACCCTGTATGTGCTTCAATTGTAGTTCTTGTAAAATAACTCAACTTTCTAAAATATATATATAGTATAAAACCTGTAGCATGAAGTTAGGGATCACACGGTGAAATATAGAGTTCTTGTAGGAGAACCCAGCTTCTCCAGATACAATCTCCTTGAAGTTACGCACAGTTAGTGGAACTACCTAAACAAAGGAACTTCACTCAAATGTACGCAAATTTGGAACTTTTCTCTCTGCGAGCAATGCTAGAGCGATGCTAGAGAGGTGCTAGAGCAGGACAGACCGAAGCCTTAAGAAGCACCAGTTATGTTATCCATTCCAAAACTTGTGTTCGAAAAAAATATCATTCTTTTATTTTTTAATAATCATTCCACTTTCCTTCCTTATAAGTGTATATTTTAACAATTTTAAGCCACAGCTCTCCATACCCCCCCCCCCCCCACATGAATAATGTTTTGCCCCTGGATTCTTTGTTTTGATCTCCTGCCATGCACTGTAGTATGGTAGTACTGCAGAATTTTGACGTGTCATATCAGATCATGTACGGTTCCTAGTCATGTATATTTTCTTGACCTAGACAGTTAAATCATACTTTCCTTTCTTTAGTTTTCATAGAAATTTCAGCTGGACTTGAAGCTTGGAGGCTACAAGTAAATCTCAATATTTCTGAATTGGTTTGATAATGCGCAACTGTTTTTATCTGTGTCTTTATATGACGTCTGTTCCATCTGTATTTGTACAGCAGCTGTTCCATCTGTATTTTTATAGGGACTGTTCCATCTGTATTTTTATAGGGACTGTTCCATCTGTATTTTTATAGCAGCTGTTTCATCTGTTTTCTAAAGATACGTCGTCAGTTTCGTCTGTACTATATAGGTATGGCGTCTGTTCAGTCTGTATTCTAATGATATGTAGTCTGTGCCGTCTGTATTCTAAATATATATTTGTTAACACAAATTCGAAATATAAGGAAGACGATTTTTCCGACTCAAATGCCATAGTTTTTTCTCAAGATGTGTGTATACACACGATCCATTTCCGCCATGAAGCACACACATGTAACCCTCGCTCCTTCTTTCCCCGCCTCACCCTCTACACACCCCAGCTCAGTCAGGTTAGGAGAGTTGAGCTAGTAACAGCTCCGACACAGGGAGCTCTTTGACGCAGATACTCAACTAGCAGCAGACAGGCTTACCCAAGGGTTCCCAGTTTATCATGCACTCCACTTTCAGAGACAACATAATCGCTCAAATCCAGCATGATAAAGCCGCGATCTCTGCCTACTAGGTTGGATAAGCCCTGTTGTTCCAGTTCCTGTTGATCTGCTCCACCAACATGAAGCTCTACATCACTCCCATGAAGTACCCACAAATATTCATCATTAATTCCTTTGTTAATTTCTAAATCAACCAATTTTAACTCCGCCTTAAATGCAAATATTTCAAAACTTTCGTTTTTAAATAAATGTTAGAAATATCCATTTTTAGATCTCTTTATTTTACTATAGTGACTTTTAAAGTCAACAATATTGTCTGTTTCGTCTGTATTCTAAATATATATTGTCTGTTCCGTCTGTATTCTACATATATGACGTATTTTCCCTCTGTATTCTAAATATATTACGTCTGTTCCGTCTGTATTCTAAATATATATTGTCTGTTTCGTCTGTATTATAAATATTTCATTTCATATATTTATTCAACTACAAAGCATGAGATATTACAAATAAGCAATCACAATTTACTATGCAGTTTGGACCCGCCTAATCCGGGTTAGTTTGTTTTGTTGTCTGTTCCGTCTGTATTCTAAATATATGACGTCTGTTCCGTCTGTGTTCTAAATATATGACATATGTTCCCTCTGTACTCTAAATATATGACGTCTGTTCCCTCTGTATTCTAAATATATGACGTCTGTACAGTCTGTATTATAAAGCTAGAGCGTCCGTTCTGTCTGTATTCTAAATATATGACGTCTGTTCCGTGTCTGAATTATAAAGATATGGCGTCTGTACAGTCTGTATTCTAATTATATGTTGTCACTTCCGTCTGTATTCTAAAGATATGGAGTCATTACAGTCAGTATTTTAAATATATGTTAATCCGTCAGTATTATAAAGATATGTTGTCTCTTCCGTCTGTGTTCTTAAGATATTTAGTCGTCTGTTCCATGCCTGTATTATGAAGATATGGCGTCTGTTCCGCCTTTTTTTATCTGCTGTTTCCAGTTGTCTCTATTCTTTAGACATTGGCGTCTGTAAATAAAGATGTCCGTGTTCATTAGACATGGTTTCTACTGTCTGTGTTTTAAATAATAAAAGCAATGTGCCTAACTTTGTCAAGAATCTTACCCAATTTTTCCCTTATTTCACTCTTGTTTGTTAAACTCATATTTACCTCATCGAATAGTTCCATGTTAATCTGTCCTAGATCCTGTCCGTCAGCAGACACACGGAAGTATACCCTAGATTATCATTAATCATAATGCAAAAATTATCATTATCAAAAATGATGATATTACTATTATCAGTAATAATAATGATAATAGTCAGGATAGTGATAATGGCAATAGTCATGATAATACTATTTATAATGATAATACTCATGATAATGCTAATGATAATCGTAATAATAATGATACTAGTCATGATAATGCTCATGATTATAACGATAATCATGAAGATGATAGTAGTCATGAAAATGATAATTATTTTATTAATAATGATAATAATGTTGGAAATTATGATAAAAACAATTATTATCTAATTTAGTCCAAAACCCAAGAAGTTAAACCGACAAAAGACAAGGAAGGACACATTTCATTAAATCATTAATATAAGTTTAAATAGTAATCATAATTAATGATTGGCTTACTTAGTTCTTTCAGGCTGCTGTTGCTGTTGTTGTTGACGGAATCCCTGTTGCGGTTGTTGTTGTTGCTGCTGAAATCCCTGTTGTTGTTGTTGCTGGAATCCCTGTTGTTGTTGAAATCCCTGCTGCTGTTGATCATTAAGAAATTGTCCAATTTGTTCCTGAATAAATAGCCTGAACCCTGATATTAAAGATACTTCTAAATTCAAGGATTTATACAAGAAACATTTCCAGCTTAATCGTTTCTCAAACCCCTTATTTTCATTCAACAGTTCACTGAACAGTTAACATTGAAATTCCATATATGAACAAACTGCTGTACTGTAATTTGTAAATGCGGGAACCCCAGAGGCCAAAACTTAAGACAGAGCATCGCTATGAAAACCAGTTTTGAAACCTAGGTTTTACGAATGGGGTTGGGCAGTTTTTTGGATATTAATATTTTTGTGATGAAATATTATTTTATTTAGTTTCTTCATATACTCCATTTTTAATCTCTTTAATAAAAATCTACACAAATGTTAAAACCCAAAAAGGAAACTCGGGAGTTTTGTTCAACGATACTCTTTTAAATTGTGGGCTCTGCTGTACATTAAATAAGTGAACCCCTGTTTTCCTGAACTCTACGAACCCCTGTACCTGTGTGAACCCCTGCTGTTGGAGTTGTTGAATAAACTGCTCCTGTGACTGTGCACTACAAGTAACTAAAAATGTATTTATGAGCTGATGAAAACCCCACGAAATTTTTTCACAAGTAATCCAAAATCTGTAATTAAAAAATATTTTGTATTACAGTACACTGTAAACTCCGCTTTATTTCCAGTACATGCAAGGTTCGAATTTAAGCAGTTAGATCCGGGGGGGGGNTGTGTGTGTCTCTACCAAAAGAGTGGGTGTAAGTAATACCGAACCACCAGAGGTGTTTACTGTAGGTATATAAGAATCTCGGCAATTGCACAATCTAGGAGAGTACATTTGTTTATTGTTAATTGTTTACTTGAAAATAAGTTTAATAGGCCTGTAATATATTATTTATACATTTAAGTCAACACTCTAAGCCAAATTTTCTTGCAAAGAATATAGCCTAAAGTTGTGTGTCTGTACCAAAAGAGTGTGCGTACGTAATAACGAACTCGTCTGCAAAGCAGTGCAACTGGCTTTCTCATGCCAGACCAGCGCCATTTCCCTTCCCTTTATTCCTATTCCCTTGCTAGATCTAGCTTTAAAGTACACAGACAGACTGCATAAGGCAAAACTAATAACATTTTGGGATTAAGCGTAAGAATGTAATTGTATAACCTAAAGAGTGTGGAAAACAAATAATAGTTAAAGGTTTGTAAAATACTAAACAAAAAAAATAAGGTAAGAAAAAAACAATATTTTTGGTAAATAATGAGATAAATACCTAGTAAACTAGGTGACTTGTAAAAAAGAATAATTGAATATAAATACTAAGTGGATAAAATATATTGCCTGTGAAAAGATTAAAAGGAATTAAGTATGAAAGATTGTTAAAATTGTCTTATATAAAGCTGAGATGATCTAACTACTAAACCCTGATTTCTTATTTAAATACCTAACAGAGCAAGAGCCCCAAGAACCACGCTTCTTCTCATCTTGGTTTGCAGTGCACTACTAACCCTGCCTGGTTTAATGTATACAAGGATACAGGGGATACAAGAGATACAGGGTACACTTATACAGGTCAATCTTGGTTTCTCTCTCACGCTGCAGTGGACAGATCCTTTGCACAAACCAATTGATTAATTGATCAATTAATTTTATAATTCTGATGGTCCCAACTCCCAAGTGGTAAAAATTTCGAATTCAATTGAAAAATAAAAATAAGATTTCTACCAAAAAAACCGTGGTATATTATATGAACCTGACAGGTGAAAGTTTAAAGAAATGTGAACATTTAAACTGATATTGTTTACCAGTTGTATCTGGGTGTAGATAGATAGATAGATAGATAGATAGATAGATAGATAGATAGATAGATAGATAGATAGATAGATAGATAGATAGATAGATAGATAGATAGACAGGCAGACAGATAGAGGGAGATTAAACTAATTAAAAAGCAAATCGGCATATTAATAATTTATCTATCAATTTTAACCTGAAAAATATTTATTCTTATTTTTTACAAATATATGAACATATATTTTCACATTTATTTTGCAAGGGTTTTTCAAATTTATATCTGTAGCTCAAATATTAGAAAGACCGTTTACCCTTTTGAGCACCCTCTATCCTATACCATATGCATACAAGATTTTATAGTGGAAAAACTACAGGGGGGGAGGTGGAAAACACCACCCCCTCCCTCCAATCGTGAAAGGGTTAACTAGATATGGACTTTTTGTTTGTATCCTGACATTTCTTTTTTGTATCTCTTTAAAATACAGGGGCGGATCGACTAGATGGGGGGGGGGCCTGGACCCATGGCCTCCCCTCAGGATATTCACGAAAATAGTATTGTAACAGTGGGCGAGTTTTGTTGATCTTTTACGATCAGCAATTCAAGGATTTTTTGGATCGCTGAGATCATAGCTACCAAGGGGAATCATGCCCCCTTTCCCCCCCCCCCATCTTTAACCCTACGGTTGGACTTTAGAGTCCTATTTTGAATCCTAACGGATTTATTTGAGTTTGCATTTGGATTCTATAAATAACCCAAGCGACGCCGAATTTTCCGTTATCTTGAAGACCCAAGCGTTGGGGAGGGGGCGGAACAACCCCGGGGTAGCTAGGGTTAAATGCGATCCTAGGATGGAGCAAAATCGAAGGGGGACAGGCAGTTGTGATTCAGCTCCCTTGAATTAAGGTTCCCTTGAAGAATTCCCCTACTAGATGAAAATGATTTGATTAACAATATTTAATTTGTATAAGTGAGACGATGAAGATGAAAATGTAAAATGTCTCCTGTTTGATAGAACTGATTAGATTCATAATATTTAGTTTGTATTGGTATCGTTCGATTTAGAGTTTGTATCTTTTGTATATAAATATATTGTAAGAAAAACCGACTCGTTGAATATTTGAGAAACTCAGTGCATTGCTTTATTGATTTTTATTCATATACTATAGTATTAAATAAATAACCTGAACTGAAATATCTTTTAAATTGTTTTCTCATACAGTGATAACCAGAAAACAATGGAATAGAAAGACAAAATCATAGCAATTACTTAAGCGTTTTGATGTTGTTACAAAGCAAATATTTTTACCAGTAACAAACAATTTAAGTGAAATGGGTCCATTTACATTGTACAATATCTATGTCTGTAATCAATATCAAGTAACACAATATTCTGTAAATCTGAAGTACGTTGTACATTATTAACTATCTACGTTTGTAATCTTCTACGTAAAACCCATTTATTTGAATTGCGCTTAATGTGATATATATATTAATGACGTACATCCTAATTGCACCTATTTTAACTGTGTTGTAATAAGTAACATGACTGCCTTAATCATGTGATATAGATGACGTTGTAGGAATTGCACGTCTTCTAATTTAACTTGTTAACATTGGTTTGGCGTTGATAGAATACTAGCTAGTGTCTGGTTGACATCGATAGTTCATAAGATTGTGTCCAAGTGGTTTGACGTTGATCGATTAATAGCTAGTGTACTTGTTGACATCGATAGCTGACGAAATCGAGCCCATTGGTTTGGCGTTGATAGAATACATGCCATTGTCCATTTGACATCGATAGCTCATGATATAGTGCCTAGTGTTTGGTATTGATTGGTTACAAAATTGTAACCGTGTTTAGACATTGATAGCTAAATGTAACTGAATTGTACCTGGATAGATACGAGTTCAAGAGCAGTTTATGGAGTAGGGTATTTACTACATGTCTAATGTTCATTGAACTAGTTCTAACTTGAGTTTAAAGTCGTCTTCCTATACTTCAGAGTTTATGTGGTTATTACTGTAAACATTTATGAACCTCGTGATAAGCGCTTAAAAAAGGAAAGATATAGTCACTAACATTATTACCTTTGATTAGATATGTAAATATGTTTCATATTGTTTGTTATGTAACATCTGTTTTAATTGGTAAACAGTTAAACTTCCTAAATTATGAATTGGACTTGGACACCCACTTAATTGTTTATTTTTTAATCAGCGATAAGATTCTTATGCTTAATCGATCTCAATAAAATGTTTCATTTTTGATATGTAAATCTCGAAATGTGATAATAAATAATAAATTGGAAATCTACTGTTTTTCGTTCAATTTAAAGGGAGGGGCCCAACAATTTTGGGCGCTTATGGTAAAAACAGTTATATTTTGGGTTAAAGAAATTATTATATTTCAGTCAAAAAAGGATATATTTCTGGTCGTTATATTTTTGTCAGTTATATTTTGGTCGTTATATTATTAGCGTGATATTTTCCCCGCTTAGCTGTTTATAGAAAATAAAAAATTTAGATACATTGAAAATATTGAAAATTAGTTTTATTAGAATAATTTTACTATAACATAAACAAACAACAATTTATATTCTTTAAGATTGTTTATATTATTTTTTCAAACCAATGAAATTAGATTTAAAAACAAATTTGATAAATTAGATAACTGTAACTACAGTAACATTTCAAAGGAATTGAAATTTTGCAACTTTTCAAATTTTCTAATACCTATATCTTCGCAACCTGATGGTGTAAACCTTTGATATTTCAAACTATAGACTATGTATGATCTAATAGATTTTCTTAGTTTGAATTAGCAAGGGTCTACGACATCGGGTTTCAAAGATATAATAAAAAAAACTAATTCTGAAAACGTATCCACTGTCAAAGAATTTGCGCTCAAACTCAGAATTTACAGATCTTTAAAAAGTTTAATATGTCTCAAATGAATCCGAAAGAAGTTTTCCATAACACTGCATACTCAGTTAAACTACATTACATAGCCGGTCACTCTCTTTAAAGTCAACTTTCTATTCCAAAGTAATGTTGTGATCTCTGTATGTATGCATTAATTAACTCTATCAAGATATTTAACTGGGATAAATTCATTCAGCCTAAATAAAATTCTGCTGGTTAACTGAGATTAAGTAGTGTTCAATGATAGTTTCCGTTGATTTTGATTTCTTGATCAAATCTCTCATCTTCGATCTCCTCTTCCTCTCTACAAACAAAAAGTAAAGATTAAAAATTGTTATCAACCGATTTCAGAGACAACTGTTCAGCTTTCTAGTATATTTTCCAAATTTATGGTTCCCTGCAGGTAACCGCCAAAAAAGTCCTTGGAAAAAAGTTTCCGGAAAAAAGTCCTAAAATTTCACACTAAAAGAGTCCTGTGGAAAAAAAGTCCTTTAATTAAAAAGTCTCCAGAAATAAAGTCCTACCAATTCGAGACTTTATTTTCTAGGACTTTTTTTGGCTCCAGTATGATTTTATACAAAAAAGTCCTCGGATAAAAAGTCCTCTAACAAGTGAAAATGCATGATTCACAATTCTAGGTTTTTCTTTTCCTCGGATTTCTTTTCTTCAGGACTTTTTTTTCCTGGGATCTTATTTCCTGAGACTTTATTGGCAGTCCCCATACTATTTTAGGAAAAAAAGTCCCAGGAATCCAAAACACAGGACTTTATTTCCAGTGACATTTTTTCCAAGGACTTGATAAGATTCGGACTTTTTTACAAAGTTTATATTTCTAGGTTTTTTTTCCAGAAACTTTTTTTCCCGGGACTTTCTTACATAGATTCTTGCTGCAGCTATGATACCATTTTTACCTCAGATAAATTTAATCTGCCTTCTGCGTGTTTAAATCAATTGACATCGCAAAAAAGAAACCATTGTATTTGGATATCTACCTCATAAAATCTATAGATTTGGAAGAATACAGGGTTATCCACAAAGGATGAGACTTCAGAGACGATTGGACAGCCCTATTTCTTGCATTTAGGGCTCCTTGTATGACAAAACTAGCTCATTTCTGTGCTAAATCATTTAGTAAATCATCAAAATACTCAATTGAAAGCTTCCTATTGTCATATTTTTAGAGTTTTAGGTCATCTTCACAGTCTTATCTTTTGTGAATACCCCTGTAACTTATTACTTTGGTACCTTATAACATCTATAGATTTGGATGATCTATGTGGAGACTTGAGATTCAAATCAGGAGATAAATCTGAGATATCTAAATAAAATTTGTAATAATTGATAAAATGGCGGTAAAACCTGTTGAAGTTTTTATGACAATGCGAATAAAAAAACCTTATCAAACGAATCGTGTAGTTAAACAATTACACAATAACATTATATTTATTCGTTTAACATGCTTGCTTAAAGAAAGTGTTCGCGAAAAATGAAAATTTTAGAATAAACCGCTTGATACAAAAAATACGTTTAAACACTGACAATTGATGCCCATTTTTTTGGCTCACGTACAAAAGGTAGAATTACAAAAGGTAGAATGACAAAAGGTAGAACAATCAAAAGGTAGAACGATCAAAAGGTAGAATAAACAATAGGTAGAACGTTCAAAAGGTAGAATTACAAAAGGTAGAACGTTCAAAAGGTAGAATTTTTTTATTTTTGAGAAGGAAGAAAAGTTTCTAATTTTTAAAAGAAAATCCGCGAGTTTTAAAAAAAAGTTCACAAAACTGCATTTCTCGGTTAAATTCAGCATGGAGAGGTTGGTCAACTATGGGGTGAATCAAAAGAAGAAAAGAACAACATTGATTGACGACCAGAAATATGAATATAATTTTGAGAAAATTAAGAATAGAACAAAGTTCAGCCAGTGGTGCAAACAGCACTGAGAACGCTCGCAAACAAAAACAGAGAGATAAACGTACTAGGATTAAAAACATGACTGAAATGTATAATAATATCCCTGCACCAGACTATATGAAACAGCTTGCCACAATTATTGGCATGGACTAAAATCATGTACATTTGTAAAAAAAAATTAATCCTAATAAATAAGAAACCTTATTTTTTGACTTTTTTTGACATTTAAAAAAAAAATTTAATTTGGAAAATTCTACCTTTTGAACGTTCTAACATTTGTAATTCTACCTTTTGTAATTCTACCTTTTGTTTGTTCTACCTTTTTATCGTTCTACCTTTTTTCGTTCTACCTTATAATCGTTCTACCTTTTGTCATTCTACCTTTTGTAATTCTACCTTTTGTAATTCTACCTTTTGTAATTCTACCTTTTGTACTGGAGCCCATTTTTCTCAGTACTTCTGTTAAAAATGGGACCCATAGAACTGCGGAATAAGAAGACGCAAGTTCTGCAATTTAATGTGTTTTTAAATTTATTATAAGGCATAGTTTTACTAGAACCTTGAAAATTGACTTGTAAAGTGAAATGGGTGTGCGCACATTACAATGAGCATTTGCTGTGTTCCTTACTCTTCCGACTTTTAAAAATCAAAATTTAGTAAAAAACCCGGCGTCTTTTTAGTCCACATTTTTATGTTTCCCACTGTATTATACCTAATGGCCCGTCTTCATACTCAGGATCCTCCCTGGGATTGGATCTAAAACAAAACTAGTCAGAAATATAAAATATATATTCTTCTCAATAAAAAAGAAAATAATCAGCAGTACGTCGAGTGTCTTATTAAAATGGTTTTTGACATTTTTAGGATTACCCTTAAAGGATGACACTGTAGAGACGACTGTATACCGCGTCTTTTTCCTTGCATTTATGGTTCCTTCACTACAACTTTCTTTCTTTGTCTAATCATTTTTTTTCATTATTTAAAGGAAGGCAGAACAGAACCTTCAAATCATTATGGCCTTCATTAAAGTCTCATCCTTTGTGGGTAACTATAAGCACACACCTATCATTATGTTTAAAATGACGACTGTTAAACTTAAAATCTTAACCCTAAACAGGCTGGGGGAGGGGGGGGGTTGATCTCTAGTTTTTATTGTCCTAGCACTCTCATTTTTGACACTATCACTGTGAAATTTTGTGACTTTAAATGAAAAGAAATTTAAAGGATTTGTATTAAAATCTTTTTTTTAATGCATTGGGTAGGGTATAGGGCGGTAAAAAGCCCAGTCTGTTTGTAAAAAATCTAATAAAGCTCATAACTTTTCTGTGACTAAACTGAAGATCTAAAAACTATATTTTTGAAAAGCTCTTGAAAATTAGATGTAGAAACATGTGTCACACTTTGATATTTGTTTAGAAAAATATTTTTACATTTTTTTGCTAATTTTTTTGGCCTTTTTTAACCTAAACTATTAAAGTTATCGGTCAAATTTTTTTTTCAAAGAGCTGGCCTTTAAAAATTGGGCTATGAACATGCATTTTAAACCTATACCTATTCTCAAAGGCCTTTTCCNAGCTAACCTTTCCTAGATATATAGTTGGTCGTTACATCAGCTAACCTTTCCTAGATATATAGTTGGTCGTTACATCAGCTAACCTTTCCTAGATATATAGTTGGTCGTTACATCAGCTAACCTTTCCTAGATATATAGTTGGTCGTTACATCAGCTAACCTTTCCTAGATATATAGTTGGTCGTTACATCAGCTAACCTTTCCTAGATATATAGTTGGTCGTTACATCAGCTAACCTTTCCTAGATATATAGTTGGTCGTTACATCAGCTAACATTCCATTGATATATAGTTGGTTGTTACATCAGCTAACCTTTCCTAGATATATAGTTTGTCGTTACATCAGCTAACCTTTCCTAGATATATAGTTGGTCGTTACATCAGCTAACATTCCATAGATATATAGTTGGTTGTTACATCAGCTAACCTTTCCTAGATATATAGTTGGTCGTTACATCAGCTAACCTTTCCTATATATATATAGTTGGTCGATACATCAGCCAACCTTTCCTAGATATATAGTTGGTCATTACATCAGCTTACATTCCATAGATATATAGTTGGTCGTTACATCAGCTTACATTCCATAGATATATAGTTGGTCGTTACATCAGCTAACCTTTCCTATATATATATAGTTGGTCGATACATCAGCCAACCTTTCCTAGATATATAGTTGGTCGTTACATCAGCTTACATTCCATAGATATATAGTTGGTCGTTACATCAGCTAACATTTCATAGATATATAGTTGGTTGCTACATCAGCTAGCAAGTGGATATTGAGTTGACTCTTGGCAGAAAAAAATAATATATCCCAACCCCGACCGAAGCCTCAAACTAAACTACAAACCAAAAACCTCTGTTGTGATTCTAACCTGATATTGATTAATGACTCGTTCTAGTTCATTAAGCTTGACATCTCTAGGATCTACGTAGTCAACCATACTAGGGAGGGAGATGGAGTGCTGCTTGTTTAATGGAGGTAGTTTAGGTATACTACTGGTAGAACTGTCTCCTCTACCTCCTCCTGCACCTAAATACTTTTAAATTCAAAATCTGTTTACAACTAGCTCAGTCGGTTCCTCTCCCCCCTTAGCGGTTCAACCCTAGACGATGTATGCCGCACACCACTCTAAAACTTGCATGATCCAAGCCGGTACAACATGTACTGTATATGCATTCAGTCTCGTACTGTCCAGTCGGGACAAATCTGTGTAGAGTCGACCCAGCACGTTTTATGCAACAAATGTAGCCTGGCAAGTACAGTGACCGTTTCATTCATGTTCAAGGATTAATTGTCCTCAATGGTCCAGGGATGGACAATTTCACTAGTTTAAACCGTTAAGCCCATCCATTCTAAAGTTTACTCAGTAGATTGAGTTAAGTGAGTAAAGCTAAACACTATCCAATACTGAAGTTATACATCGGAGATACAAGGGACTTTGCAGGGTACCTGTTTTTTAGGATCGTTTCCAAAATATTGTCAAATAATTTTTTTTTTAACAGAAAGAGAATCTTTTACTCCTTTAGGTTATTGGAAATACAAACCATGGAAAAAGGTTTATATTTTTATTGTTTTCACCTGAGGCAGGTCTAGATCCTGTTCTTGAACCTGGTCTACTAGGTCCATAGAAACTAGGTAGAGATCCAACCATAGAAGATCCAGGTCTAGATATCATCTCTCCAAACCTAGATATTATAGAAACTAGTTGGATATCCAATCTAAATATTATAGAAACTAGGTGAATATAAAACCTAGATATTATAGAAAATAGTTTAATATCCAACCTAGATATTATAGAAACTAGGTGGATATCCAACCTAGTTATAATAAAAACTAATTGGATATCCAACATGGATATTGTATAAACCAGGTTGATATCCAACCTAAATATTATAGAAACTAGCTTGATATCCAACCTAGATATAATAAAAACTAGTTGGATTTCGAAATTCCATATTATATAAACCAGGTGGATTTAAAATCTAGATATTATAGAAACTAGCTTGTACCCAATCTAGATTTTATAGAAACTAGATGAATATAAAGACTAAATATTATTTAATATTGGTGTATATCCAACCTAGATATCATAGAAACTAAGTGGATATCTAACCTAGATATTAAAGAAGCTAGGTGGACACCTAGATATAATAAAAACTAGTTGGACATTTAACCGAAATACTAAAGACTCTAGGTGGATATAAAACCTAGAAATTATAGATTATCATTCCAAATTTAGATATAATAAACACTTCAGAGCTGAAAACTTTAGAATGTGATATCCTTAAACCCGATCTGTTAATTAATCTGGAGATTCAATTCATGAGGACCACAAAGCAATATTTAATCTGGAGATTAAGAAAAAGAGTGGATCAAGCATTAATCCCGATATCCACCATTCTAAATTTCCCAGCTCTGGAAATATTTATCAAATTTATAATCTTGTTATGGATATCCTTCCTTACTACAAACCAGATACAACAGAAACTATGTCGATATCGAAACCGAATAAGAAAAAATTCCAAGTGGATAGCAACCCTACCTACGTAGATATCAACAATAAAATGATATGAACTAGATATCAAGATCCAGCAGAAAACCCTCCCAGAATAAAAAATAAAATAAAAATATGATTTGATTTGAAAATTTACCTGACACTCTCAGTATGTTCTACAACCTGTGCAAGAACTTCATTGTACACATAGATCTTGTTGTCTAAACATAGATCTTATTGTCAACATAAATATTGTTGTCTAAACATAAATCTTATTGTCAACATAAATATTGTTGTCTAAACATAAATCTTATTGTTACATAAATATTGTTGTTTAAACATAAATCTTATTGTCAACATAAATATTGTTGTCTAAACATAAATCTTATTGTTACATAAATATTGTTGTCTAAGCATAAATCTTATTGTTACATAAATGTTGTTGTCTAAACATAAATCTTATTGTTACATAAATATTGTTGTCTAAACATAAATCTTATTGTTACATAAATATTGTTGTCTAAACATAGATCTTGTTGTCTAAACATAAATCTTGTTTTCAACATAAATCTTGTTGTCTAAACATAAATATTGTTGTCTAAACATAAACCTTGTTGTCTAAACATAAATCTTGTTGTCAACATAAATATTGTTGTCTAAACATAAATCTTATTGTTACATAAATATTGTTGTCTAAACATAGATCTTGTTGTCTAAACATAAATCTTGTTGTCAACATAAATCTTGTTCTCTAAACATAAATCTTATTGTCAACATAAATATTGTTGTCTAAACATAAATATTGTTGTCAACATAAATATTGTTGTCTAGACATAAATCTTGTTGTCTAAACATAAACCTTGTTGTCTAAACATAAATCTTGTTGTCAACATAAATCTTGTTGTCTAAAAATAAACGTCGTTGTCTAAGCATAGATCTTGTCTAAACATAAATCTTGTTGTCAACATAAATCTTGTTGTCTAAAAATAAACGTTGTTGTCTAAACATTGATCTTGTTGTCTAAACATGTATATATATATATAAATATATATCTAACGTTTTATTCTTAAATATATTTCTAAACATTTATTTATTTCAGCCTCCTTGTATGTGTCTCCAGTCTTATTGTTTGAACATAAATCTTTTTTGTCTGATCATAAATCTTGTTGTCTAAACATAAATCTTGTTGTCTAAACATAAATCTTGTTGTCTAAACATAAATTTTGTTGTCTAAACATAAATCATGTTATTTAAACATAAATCTTTTTGTCTCAATATAAATTTTGTTGTCTAGACATAAATTTTGTTGTCTAAACATAAATCATGTTGTCTAAACATATATCTTGTTGCTTAAACATAAATTTTGTTGTCTAAACATAATTCTTGTTTTCTAAACATATTTTTTTTGTCTAAACATAATTCTTGTTGTCTAAACATAAATCTTGTTGTCTAAACATAAATCTTGTTGTCAACATAAATATTGTTGTCTAAACATAGATCTTGTTGTCTAAACATAAACCTTGTTGTCTAAACATAAACCTTGTTGTCTAAACATAGATCTTGTTGTCAAAACATAAATATTGTTGTCTAAAAATTAAACGTTGTTGTCTAAACGTAGATCTTGTTGTCTAAACATAAACATTGTTGTCTTAACATAAATCTTGTTGTCTAAACATAAATCTTATTGTCTCAACATAAATCTTCTTGTCTAAACATAAACCTTGTTGTCTAAACATAAATATTGTTGTCTAAACATAAACGTTGTTGTCTAAACATAAACCTTGTTGTCTAAACATAAACTTTGTTGTGCTGGAAGGCGAGTTTTTGATTTAACATTTAAAAAAGAAATATTTGATTCAACAACTTACAAATGTACTTTTCAAATTACCTAAGTATAGTTTATCGTACTGCAGAAAACAGTTTCTTTCAGGATTCGCCTTTCTTATCTAAATTTGATATCAAATAAAATCATAAATAATCAAATTGATCAAAGTAATTAAATCAAATTAGATATTTTCAAGCGTGTTAAAGGTTAAAAAGAGGGAAGGGTTTATTAATTATCAACCGATCGAGAAAATATTAACTTTTTTGTATTTTTGGGATCTTTAGAGTACATTTTCTTGTTCAACACATTATTTTATTTTTATATAGCAGAACAAACTGTGAACTGCCCTATTCATAATAATAATTCAAATAATAATACAGAGCTTTTTTAAGGAACAGTTCAGCTGAATTAGTTGATAGGTTTAAAGCAAAATAAATGATTTATAATATTGATTACAAATACAAAAAAGTACGCTTGCTAAAATTTACAATTTACTTTTAGTATTTTATGTTTTTCGTGAAATTGATTTTGAATCATTTCGACGGATGAACAGATAAGAAAACAGTTGTTATAAAACTACGCACTATTAACGTTATCATGATAAATGTTCGCAAATTGAAAAAACTTTTCGACTGGAAACGAATCATCTTGACTCTTCAAGAAATTTACTTTTTAAAAAATTATTGAAATATAGAATACAGTCCTTGTAATTAGGAGTTATCACGGTTCAAGTGCTCAAGACGATTTTTAAAATCTAATGTCAAGAATTTAATAAAATGGTGTAGACCAATTAAATACATCTTCTGAACCCTCCACCTTTACCGTAAGTCGTCTTTACCAAAACCCAATCGGAGACAAATCTCCAAACCAAAGCCAGTCCCCACTCAAATTCATCGTACTCTCCAACAAAGAAACAATAAAGAGTGAAACGTTTTACCAGGTGAAAGATTAAATTTATAAATAAGTTTGCAATCAACTGTTAATTCCACTTAAGCAATCGGGTTTATATTTCAGAAGTATTTATAAATGTTTTAAACTATCCCATCAAACCCTGAAACCCTTAATCACTCCTTTTTTACTCCGACAAGGAATGCTAGTAAGTTACATTACTAAATACCCAACAATATTAACATTGTCATTAATTTTATTAACATTGTCATTTAAATTATTTATACCTACCATTATTGTAGGTTTAAAATATACGGATTTCTATGTATGTTTGTAACTAGCTGCGTCTAGAGTAGATGAGATAAGTCAACAAGGCAACGAGCCTACCTATCAATTAATCAACCGGCCTCACAGTCCATTATCAATCAATTAATCAACCATACTTACAGTCTACTATCACCGACGCCTTCTATTGTTTTACAAATGGACATATCAATTTATTTATTGGTTTATCAGTTTAAACCTTTGACTGTTCAAATTTTCATGGAGGGTCATTTGAACTACGCCTACAGTCCCTTTAAGTTAAGTATCTTAAAGAGACTGTAGAACGTGAGTTCAAGTGACCCACAATTAAGAGAGCTCTATGTACAATTTAGAGAGCTCTATATAGTGTACAATTTAGAGAGTTCTATGTACAATTTAGAGAGCTCTATGTACAATTTAGAGAGCTCTATGTACAATTTAGAGAGCTCTATGTACAATTTAGAGAGCTCTATGTACAATTTAGAGAGCTCTATGAACAATTTAGAGAGCTCTATATAGTGTACAATTTAGAGAGCTCCATGTACAATTTAGAGAGCTCTATGTAGTGTACAATTTAGAGAGTTCTATATACAATTTAGAGAGCTCTATGTAGTGTACAATTTAGAGAGCTCTATGTACAATTTAGAGAGCTCTATGTACAATTTAATCCTATATCAGAGTAACAATGAGAATGCACTCTCCTAAAATAATATAAATTCTCTTAGTTTCCTTCGTTGTTTGTTTTGCATAAATTCGCGAGTCACTTACTAGAAAACCAACAATTGAAAATAGTCATTTTAAATCTAAAAAAAGAGAATGACATATTTATCCTGGATCAAGCTTTAAAGGTTTAAAGGATACAATGTAAATTGAACAATGCCACCAATCCAACTGAGTTCATTCATTACAATAAAAAAAATATGAAATTGGCAAAAATAGGTCGTCATTGCTAATTTTGTAATTAGAGCAGAAGATAACGTGGTTTAAAGAGGATCTTAATGATTTTCTTGCATCAGTTATTTTATTATAACATCTGAACTTATTCAATTTTAAATGTTAGATTTCTGCTAAGGTTACCTCATTATTTGAAATACACATACATAGATAGGATATAGAAAAACATATAAATAGATAGGATATGGAGAAACATATAAATAGATAGGATATAGAAAAACATATAAATAGATAGGATATGGAGAAACATATAAATAGATAGAATATAGAAAAACATATAAATAGATAGGATATGGAGAAACATATAAATAGATAGGATATGGAGAAACATATAAATAGATAGTATATGGAGAAACATATAAATAGATAGGATATGGAGAAACATATAAATAGATAGGAGAAACTTTGCTCTAATATTCTGAAAGGGACAACGTTTTTAAGGTACCGTTGTTAATCGGGCATTACCATACTGAAATGGAGGTTCACTTAGAATTATAGTTATAGTTCTTTTAAAGTCACCTGTCTCATGAATTTCCTTAATTCATTTCTATTCTCACGGGTTCGCTTGCTAAAATAAATTAACATTCAAATATAAAAAATATTCAAATATCTAAGATTTAATTATTTTTTTCCTGAACTAGAAATTATATATGTAAATCAAATGTTTGAAATTTTGTTGTAAAAGATGATTATTTTACAATTTACATTCTGCTAAAGTAAAATCTAAAAATTTACCTGAGATCCTCTTCTACATGAATATTCGCTTTCTTTTAAGATTATTTTATTTGAAATTAAACTGATGTCCTTGTATGCACATTCATTTATAAAAGCTGTTTTTTCTTTGTATCCGACTAATCTTTCAACATTTATGCAGATTGCAGGCTTGCGTAGTTAGGAATATCATTTACTCTCAGAAAAATTGGAACCAGTGGAAGAGAATTGAGTTTTTAACACAAACTTAGATTCTCTTAACTTTATATCTTTGCAACACAATGTCGTAGAGCTTAGATATTTCAAACTATGAATTCTTCCAGATCAAATAATCCATGTTTGAAATATCGAAGGTTTACACGATCTGATTGCAAAGGCATGAGGAATAGAATTTTGAGTTTTTGGCAAATTTGTGGCAAAGACTCAATTTCCATAAACTCCAAATGAATTTAATGCAAAACTCGAGGACGTAGCCAGCTTTTTATAAAGGAATGTATTTTGAAAGAAAACAAATTGAGTCTTTGTAACAAACTCTGATTTTCTAATCCCAATATCTTTTCAACCGAATGTCGTAGACCTTTGATATTTTAAATTATGAATTTTGTCAGATTAAATCATCTAAGTTTCAAATATCAAAAGTTTATATCATCATGTTGCAAAGATAAAGGGACTTTGAGTTTGTGGCAAATATTTTTGAAATGTGCTTTGTACAATAATACAACTGAAATAATCCTTTCCTTGAGCATTCGAGCTTTTCTGAGAACCTCGTCCCGGTCTTTAAAACTTTCAAACGTAACCAGGACGGGTCGTGTTCCTCTTACATCCGGACCTAAACAACAAATAGGGTTGATGTAAAAAAAACTATCCCAGGAAATTAAAAAGATTTTTGGCAAAATTCTCTTCTTTTTACGTGAGATCACTTTGGGTTACCGGAGCACTTGAAACTTCTATTATGTCCTAATTCATTTTATGAAGATTAAGAGTTTAGGTATTTATATTATTTATATTTAAAAAATTAAAATGACGTTTGTATGATATTTAATTTGTATGTGGAAAAAGTAAAAATCTATTAAACGTATATAACAGTTTCTCTAATATTTTTTTTAAATGGATTTTCTTACTTTTATAGAAAACGTTAAGCACAGTAATTTTATATTTATCTTCACATATCAGAATATAAATTTAAAATTTGAAGTTTTAAATTTGCTAGTTACTATTATATTACTGTTCCGTTAGTTGTATTAAAAACAAATTTAGCAGAAGAAAAATATGTAATAATAGTTTATGTATTTTATCCCTCCGTAGTAAAGTTAATGTTTGGTGGTAAAGGTTTCATGCTAAAGTAGATTTATTCGACTATAAAGTTGGCTCCCCCCCTGAATTCTTTACACAAGCAGGGGGGGGGGGGGGGGAGGAAATAATATTTTCTATTTTCATGAATGAAAACAGAAATGATTTATTATTGAAAACCTAATTGGCCTAGTTATATAAAGCAACCTAAGGGAAAATTATAATACCTGTGAAGACCCGACTTGCTTTAGAGATTGGGATTTCTCGCTTAATGCTGATATTTGATTTAATGATATGAGCAACTTTCTGATTCAAACTAGAAAACATACAGAGGTGAGCAAATCAAATAGACAAGCTTTACACAACACTAAAAAAAGTTTGCTAGTTAAATATAAAAAATGTTAATACGTAAACTAGATTCAAAAATATGTTATTGAACAAAGAACATAAAAAATCCGTAAATCCATTTTCTTGTGAAAAAACTAAATTTTAGTGATGATATATCATAGCTCATTAATTTGAAACTGATCTGTGGATTTCGTTCGATTTAAACATTTTTTGGACATCTCATTGAATTTTAACATTTTTTGGACATCTCATTGAATTTAAACATTTTTTGGACATCTCATTGAATTTAAACATTTTTTGGACATCTCATTGAATTTAAACATTTTTTGGACATCTCATTCAATTTAACCATTTTTTGGACATCTCATTCAATTTAAAAAGATCTTTCAGAGTTATTAGAATTCTTAAAATATTTTTTAACTAGTAACGTATAACGGTCTTTAAAAAATGTCGTTTCCCTATTTTACCAAAATGATAATAACATTTTTTAAAGAAAATAATTTAGATTTGATTGATTGGTGTTAAAAAAACTATGTTTCACATATTTTTTTAACGGTATCGCCTAAAACGTTTAAATTTCCATTTAGATTTTTGCAAGTTTACAACTGTTCTAAATATTCGGTTCATAAAGGAATTGAGATTTTGCCACAAACTCTAATCTTCTAATCCCAATATCTTTGCAACCTGATGGCGCAAACCTTTGATTTTTCAAACTTAGATTATTTTATCTATAACTATTAATAGTTTGAAATATCTAAGGTCTACGACATTGGGTTACAAAGATATAGAGATTAGAAAATCAGAGTTTGTGGCAAAAACTCAAGTCCTTTAGTAAAAATAAAGATTAGAACTAAAATATCAATTCAATAATTAAAGGCCTGAAAAATATTAAAATTAAGGTTCATACATAGTTAAAAATAGTTGTTTATTTGGTTTTCAACTAAAAAAACAAGATGGCTGGCATCGTTTAAGGTTGAATCTTAAAGAAGGGGAAATTAATTGTCTGAAATGTAAGATTTAATATACAAAAGTGTTTTTTCTTTTATAATATCATATTTTACTCATTTGTCTTTCCAAAAAATAAATTTATTGCAACTGTTTCGATGACAAAAATTACTTTTAACAATCAAAATTATAAAAACGTTTCTGAACAGGGTATTCTGTCCGTGAAGTTTTAAAGTCCAAAGACAAAGTTCAAAATCTGATTTCAAAATTGTAAACTCTCCCTTTAAATGAAGACCTGTCCGAAGTTTCTGGATGTTCTGCCAGTACACCGTGGAAAATAAGATTATTCTTTTTATTCTGCTCAAATTCATAAAGTTTCTCCTGAAAATTAATGTTAATGCAGTTAATGCAGGCAACATCTTGAAATACAGTAAATGTTACATAATACACCTTTAAAGCTGAAGCTAGTTTCTTTCCAATATTTAGTATTTTTCAAGCTACCTTTACAATTCATTTAGAATTTAATTGAAACCTCCAGATAGGATCAATTTAGTATGTAGGGTTTTTAAATTTAGAAATTCAAGACAATTTACTTAGGAGTGCGCAAAGTCGACAAATTAAAATAGTATTATTTTCATTTAATTTATAAATGGTTCAATTTTGTAGGTTTATGCTTTATTAAAATTCACATTTTTCACATAATTTTGAAGCTTTGACAATTTGTTTATGATAAAAACAAACAACCCTCACACCCATCTAATTCTAAATATTAAAACCTTGAATCAATCTTTTGTTAGGATAAGACAAATAAAAAAGATAAAATTGTGTACAATGAACGAACGTATAAATGTATATTTTTAAATCTACAATAGTCAACTTATATTTTTCACCTGAACTTCATCCAACATCTGGTTCATCGTCTCCATTCTCTCCTAGATCAAAATTGAATTTAACATTTTTTTTATCAGCCAGCAACACTAGCAATAAAGCACCAAATAGATAAGAGTCTTTAGATTTGATGATAACTGGGACATTTGTCATTAAATTTTAGACAAATAATTTTCAAATTACAAATATTTCTACTTTTCTGTCATACCGTCCCATAGTATAGAACTTAATGAGAAAGTCATTTTAAAATTTAAATTTTTATTTTAAAGCAGAAAAACATTGTGTCTAAAGAAATAAAAAAACTACCTTTAGTCTCGTGTACTCAGTGTCCATGTCCAAAAATTTAGCTTTGTACTCACGCCTCTAAAATTTGATAAATTAACAAAAAAAGTAAAAGTAAAAAAAGAGATATGACTTTATTTCCCCAGTCCCTCTGAGGAAAATATTTTAGTCCCTGATAAATATATTGATGTGTTTTTCTATCTGAATTATTGTAATCTTACAATTCTCCATACGTAAGGCTAAACCCTCTTTATTAAATGATTCATTTTAAACTAAACGTAAAGGAACTGTCTTCTAATCCTTATATCTTTGCAATCAAATATCGTAGACCTTAGATATTTCAAACTATGAATTATGTTATACCAATTAATCTAAATTTGAAATATCAAAAGTTTACACCATCAGGTTGCAAAGGAATAGGGATCCTCAAATTTGAGTTTGTGGCAAAAACTCAATACCTTTACTTAGACGGTTATTGTGACAAAAATCAGAAAAATAAATCAGTAGAAAAAGGGCATTTTGTTCGTAATTGTAAACTTAATGTTCTTAATTTTAAACTTAATGTTCTTAATTTTAAACAATATGTTCGTATTTTTGAAGAAATTGTTTGTAATTTTGAACACAATGTTCGTGTTTGAACAAAATAATCGTAATGTTGAAGATAATGTTCGTAATTAGGGTTAAGAAGAGCATAAGGCAAACGATTGTCGTCTTCGTTTAACCTGGTAATTAGTAATGGCCCAGCAGATTTTGTACCTTAATTGTAAAATTGTTTTGACTGATTCTGTGAAAGTTTTCAGCGCATATTTTAGAAATACAATATGCGCTGAAAACAAAAAAATCCGAGCGACGTTATAACTATTCTACTTTATAATGTTTTGTATATTATAAATACCTGCTCCCGAGATACATGAGCCAACTCATGGATTTTACCAGTATATTCAACTTTACTGAATATATTTTTATAAAGTTAATATTATGTATTTGTACTTTAAAAAGAAAAGTTTGATTTTTAAATATCTTTTAAAAATATTCAAATTTAAGACAAAAATTGTGTAAACCCTTTAAAAATAACTTTAAAAGATAATTTAGGATGAATACTGCAAAAACACTAAACAGTCCCTTAGATTACCTGTCCTTTACCCTGCCTTCAAGCCAACCCATTATTTCTTTGGTTTTGTTCGTCTCACTAACTATTTTATCCAACTGAAAAAAAAAAATTCAATAATGTTCCGGCAGAAAAGAATTCGTCAGAGGTTAATGCATATTAATATTAGTTTGTATAGATTTCCAAAAGATGCACTGCAATGAATAAAGGAATTAAGTAACACCTTTCTTAATCATGAGCCCGGCCGTGATGTTTATTATTTTAAGTATGGAATTAAAGTCGTGCCTGACAATCAATTTAAAAGTCGCTAATTAAAGGGACTACTGTCGTAAATTTAAGTGACCCCCCTTTAAAGAGGGACATGCCCAATTTACAACGGTACCATTGAAACCTTTAACCGATCAATAATGTGGAAGATTATCTTAATTTATTTATTGCAAAAAATCCACGAATGAAAAAAAGATTTTTCACCTAAAAACCATATAGATATTTTAATTGATCAGACAAATATCCAACATGCTACTTGGTTTATGAAGGTTCACTTAAAATAATTTTTACAGTCCCTTTAAGTTTGAGTTTATTGGGACTAGCTCCGTATACCTTGTCATGGTTATCCTCCTGAATATCCCTGAGTCCAACCTGCAGAATATTAAAGTTCTCTTCAACTTTAGCAAACTTTCCGCCATACTCCTCACTTCCTCTAAACAACAGATGTTGGTTTTAAAAACCTAAATATTTTTCTTTGTTTTTATATTTTCTATTTTTAAATCCAGATCCAATAGCAGAAATGTTTGAAGATAAAAAAATAAAAATAAAAAGATGGCGAGAGACGGCCATCTTTGAAAGAGCCATAAATGGCGATCTTTGAAAGAGTCGTAAACGGCCATCTTTGAAAGAGCCATAAACGGCCATCTTTAAAATCTTAATATGCAAAATATGTAATTTTAAACTTTATATTTTTATCCTTAAAATGTAATGTAAAACACCTGTTACACTCTTCACTTATTCCACTTATTCTTTCACTGAAAAATTAAATTTATATTTCTAAATTTTACGAAAACTGAAATTTATCAATAATCAAAACCTGATTTCAAGGATTTTTTCGCGGGATTCCTCCTTCAACTTCTCTAAAAAAAATATTTTAAAACAATATTTAAGCAAACAATGATGTGATTCAGCAAATAAATTTTTTATAAAACATGGAAAACATACTATGCTCAATTAAAAATATTATTCTAACGTAAAAAGGGGGTTAATTTTGTTTTATTTTAGAATAATAAAATGTCAGGACCCAGTCCTGCATAGTCTTGCTTATTGCAGGGTAAATTAGTTCCAAAACTAACACTTGGTCCATTTCTAACTCTGAAAGTTAGAACTGGACCAATTATGCAAAGTTTTTTTCATATACATATTTCATGTACATATTTCATGTACATATTTCAAATCCAAGCCGAGTTAAACAATACCATGCATTTATTAAAAATAAGCAATGCTGAGCAAAACTGTGCAGTAGGGGTAGTAGTTACTGAGGAAACAATTTTCTCTCTAGTTTTACAATCAAGGTGGATATACCCCCTCCTTACCTTATTCATGATTTATCAGCATTGTTTTGTTTAACATGAACACTGTACTGTACAGTGTACATCCATCTATTTATTTACAATTCTTATTCGCCTATAATGGGCCAACCAATCATAACAACCAACTCTGGTTAGGCGGGTCCAAACTACATAGCAAATTGACCGCTAATGTCATCCGCCAATTTTATTCTAAGGGGTCATTTTAGGAGGTCAAATTATATAAATAGCACACAAACAGCGTCATGGGTGTCAAAATAGGGTTAAAAAATTATTTTTGTGGTCTGGGCAAGGTATTCGTAGCTTTCTTTCCGTTTTTGTAATGCATATTTTATTTTCATTTCTATAGCTCCAAAAGTAATGATCGCTGATCAAGTTATGATCTCTGATCCGAAATTGGTGTAAAAAATGGAACCTAAGATTAAAAGCTTATGATTTAAAATAAAAATTTCGAAAATCTTTATTTTTTAACTTATTAAAATCTTTTTAACTTACTAAAATAATTTATTTTATTTACTTTAGGAACAAAAGAAAATGAGACGTAAAAAATCGAAAATTTGAAAAATCCGGGAAGTCGATTTTCGACTTACGCTCAAATAATTAATTGTAACAAAAAAGTATGAGGCCTGGAAGGAGAAAATTTACATCATGAAATAACTGAATTATAGAGCTTTCTAATGCAACCTTGATTGTAAAATAGAACAAAAATTGTTTCCTCAATACCCCTAGTGCACAGTTTTTTTGGGACACCCAAAGATATTTATCGGGTTTGAGTGGGGTAAGACATTGAATTTTTACCCATTGACTCTAGGAAGGATTCTTGTACAGTTTTATTATGATTTGTTGCATCATCCTTTATCTCCTCAATCCGGCCTTCAAGGCTCAGTATTCTAAACAAAATAATTTAAAAACAAAAGTTAAAAATTCTTGGTTTTTAAAACTTTTTACCTAGTCCCTAGATCTTCAATTGTTTTCTCATATTTGTCTTTCTGACTCTCTATCTCATGTTCTGAAATTAAAACAGAAATATTAAAATTTAGTTCTCCTAATTTAACTTTAGTTTCCAGAAGCCAGATATGTAGTTGTTTGCCATTAATATTTCGGTATTCAGTTTTAAAGTTTTGATTGCTAGATTGCTACCTCACAACATTAGACATTTAAATTATGTTTAGATTTTAGATTCTTTAAGAATTATAAGTTAATTTGAAATTTTTACTCTTAAATGTGCTTTTTGTGAATTTGGCCATGACAACGATTTTCTAACCGTTTTTAGAAGACATTTACCTAGCCCTTGAATTTTTGCCTCGTAAGTTGACAGGCTTGCTTCTATCGAGGCAACTTTCTCTTCAGTACTTGGACCTTTCTCAGCTATAGATCTAAACATGCATATATGCGGTATGCTTTAAATTGATATGCTTGACTTATCCAAATAAGGCAAAACAGCTGAACCGAGTGGGTCCAAAGTTTTTTCGGGACCTCACTGCAGTCACACGGCCCAGGTTTTGGTGTCTAAATTTAAGTTTGCTACAGTGGTAAATAAAAAATGTCGTCTTTTTATTTGCTTTTTATCAAGAAATTAAACATCTTTTTTATTACATCAAATATATCGATGAATAACATTTTATTTGTATTTATTTATTTATCAAAACCATTATTTTTCAGACTTTTAAAAACGGAGGTTAGTAAATTCTACAAATAAAGCTGAGGATTGTTTTTATATATTTAAAAATGTCGGTTTCTAATATAAATTTTACAATACCTTCGTGGAGGACCGGGATTGGATTCTATATCTCCACTTAAAAGAATTCGATCTCTGAAAATAAAATAATTCAAGTTTTTGACTAATTTAAAGGTTTGTTTTGTGAGTCTGCAAATATATCATCTGATCAACAAAATTTTGGCAACCCTTCATGATCAGATCTCGTTGAGAACCCTCAGATATTCATCAGAGATCCCAGTTTTCATTTGAGGCCCAGATACGCTCACTGTAGCCTCCTTGAATTTAATCGCTGACCCAAATTTGTCCATTAGAAACCTCATAACACTCCCCTTTTCTGAATCACATCGGAACCCGGCCACCTACTTAACTATTTTAATCGGAGACCCCTGTATTTTCATCTAATACCCCTGGGGGTTACTAGTGACATAGTGGGGGTTCTTGGATGAAAGGGCAAACCCGGGTTTTCGATGCATTAATGATAGTAATTTCTTTCCTGGCTCTCATTCTGCTTGAGTTGGTTCTGCAAAATACGTGTATCTATCTAATTTTTCAAATAAATGGATCTAAAACATGTGTTACTGTTTAAAAACAGCATACTGACGTATACTTGGTACAATTGTTCGATATGAATTCTCTTACCACATTGTACATAGTACAATATGTACATACGAAAATATGTACATATGTAATATTTAAGCTTGGTTTCATGAATATATATTATTACTCCTTTAATTTCTAGTGTCCTGGATATTTATAATATACATCAAAGTGTTCTAGATACTTCTAGTGTCCTGGATATTTATAATATACATCAAGTGTCCTTGATACTTCTAGTGTCCTGGATATACATAATATACATCAAAGTGTCCTGGATATTTATAATATACATCAAGTGTCCTGGATAGTGATACTTCTAGTGTCCCGGATATATATAATATACATCAAAGTGTCCTGGATATTTATAATATACATCAAGTGTCCTGGATACTTAAAATATACACATGAAGTGTCTTAGACTCCCTTGATACTCCTAGTGTCCTGAATAGTTTCTAAGCAACGCACTTGCGAAGTGCAGTTCAATGTGCATATGATTTTCTGCACTTGTCTTTTTGTACTCTTTCTGTAAATCTAAAAAAGATCTTTTTTATATTTTTAATGGAAAATTTTTTAAATACAGTGATAATCAGAAAACTCTGAATTAGGAAGACGACTTAGAATCAAGGAATAACTTTAAAAGTCCCACGAGTATGAGACACAACAACTGTGCAGTGAAAACAGACCCATTTCACTAATTTAGTGATTAAATAAGTGTCTAGTAAAACTATTTGCTTTGTAACAACATCAAATTCACTCAAGTTTTGCTAAAATGTCGTCTTTCTATTCCATTGTTTTCTGGTTATCATTGTAAGCATGGAATTCTTACTTTGAATCTGGGGTTGCCTCGCATGTCTTGGGAGTTTTTATCCTCGCCTACACGTTTTTCATGAAGATATATATCCAACAAATTTTTTGGAGCTTATCTGTAAATCTAAATTTTTAAAATAAAATATACTTTGAAAAAACTTTCCTTGTATACTTCAAAGGACTGTTCGATCTCTCCACACAGGAACACTCTCTCACCGAAAGCCTGATTTTTGTATTTCAGAATTGTATTCCAGATATTGGCCTGAGTTCAACATAGACTGTATTTTTTTTACTGTTTAAGAAGAGAGCAAATCAGATTAGTTGAGAAATTGATAAAAAAAACCTTTGTGACAGAAACGAATTTCAAAACTGGAAAGTGTCAACAAAATCAATAGTTTACCTTTGTCAACTGGCCTAGAAGGCAAGAGGACCTGTGGGGCCTAAACAAATCTTGATATCAAAATTCATTTCAAAACAACCTACTTTATTAATTTTAAATATCGTATCAAAATTCATTTCAAACAACCTACTTTTTTAATTTTAAATATCGTATCAAAATTCATTTAAAAACAACCTACTTTATTAATTTTAAATATCGCATCAAAATTCATTTCAAAACAACCTACTTTATTAATTTTGAATATCGCATCAAAATTCATTTCAAAACAACCTACTTTATCAATTTTAAATATCTATCGAAAAAAAATAAAATTTTCTAACTGTACAATGTACATTGTAAAATGTACATTGTACATTCTCCCTAATTATTCCTTTTTATCGTTTTCATGGGAAAATTAAAAATTGCCATGTTCTAAATTTTTTATCTGAAAAATATATTCGGTAATAAAGAAAGTTGATTACTTGGGTAAAGTGATATAATACAAATTGATTCTTTGCCACAAACTCTGATTTTCTAATCTCTATTTCTTTGCAACCCAAAGTCGTAGATCTTAGATATTTCAAACTATAAAGTTTGCTAGATTAAATAGTATAAGTTTAAAATATTAAAGTTTTCCAAAACCAGGTTGCAAAAATATAGTGATTAAAATTTTTTAGAAAATGCTAATTAGAAAATTCGGAAAATGACCCGACTCTCAAGACTTCTTAAAAAAAACACGATTTTACTTATCAAACATAATTTAACGTTTATTTATTATAATTTATCTTATATATAGATTTTACCTTACAAGTTGAGAAACTATCATTTTAACACAAACCGCTAATCTTCCTAAATAAAATTCTAAATAAATTAGAAAAATTTCGTAAAAGTTTTGCTCATTGTAAGACGAAAAACAAAAACAATATAGTTAGAATTATATAACTTTGCTATATTACTCTGCTTCAGTAAACTTTTTAAAAGAGAAAGGTATAATAAACCTGAAATATATGTACTTAGAAACTATGATTAGTAGTCTGTACCCTCCTGCTTCTGTCTAGTTTAGAAACTATGATTAGTAGTTTGTACCCTCCTGCTTCTGTCTAGTTTAGAAACTATAATTAGTAGTTTGTACCCTCCTGCTTCTGTCTAGTTTAGAGAAACTATCATTAGCAGTTTGTATCCTCCTGTTTCTGTCTAGTTTATAAACTATAATTAGTAGTTTGTACCCTCCTGCTTCTGTCTAGTTTAGAAACTATAATTAGCAGTTTGTATCCTCCTGTTTCTGTCTAGTTTATAAACTATAATTAGTAGTTTGTACCCTCCTGCTTCTGTCTAGTTTAGAAAATATGATTAGTAGTTTGTACCCTCCTGCTTCTGTCTACCTTTGAAACTATATTTAGTAGTTTGTACCCTCCTGCTTCTGTCTAGTTTAGAAACTATGGTAAGTAGTTTGTACTCTCCTGCTTCTGTCTACCTTTGAAACTATAATTAGTAGTTTGTACCCTCCTGCTTCTGTCTAGTTTAGAAACTATGATTAGTAGTTTGTACCCTCCTGCTTCTGTCTAGTTTATGAACTATAATTAGTAGCTTGTACCCTCCTGCTTCTGTCTAGTTTATAAACTTTAATTAGTAGTTTGTACCCTTTTGCTTCTGTCTAGTTTAGAAACTATAATTAGTAGTTTGTACCCTCCTGCTTCTGTCTAGTTTATAAACTATAATTAGTAGTTTGTACCCTCCTGCTTCTGTCTAGTTTAGAAACTATAATTAAATTAGTAGTTTGTACCCTCCTGCTTCTGTCTAGTTTAGAAACTATAGTTAGTAGTCTGTACCCTCCAGCTTCTGTCTAGTTTAGAAACTAAAATTAGTAGTTTGTACCCTCCTGCTTCTGTCTAGTTTAGAAACTATAATTAGTAGTTTGTACCCTTCTGCTTCTGTCTAGTTCAGAAACTATAATTAGTAGTCTGTACCCTCCTGCTTCTGTCTAGTTTAGAAACTATAATTAGTAGTTTGTACCCTCCTGCTTCTGTCTAGTTTATAAACTATAATTAGTAGTTTGTACCCTCCTGTTTCTGTCTAGTTTAGAAACTATAATTAGTAGTTTGTACCCTCCTGCTTCTGTCTAGTTTATAAACTATAATTAGTATTTTGTACCTTCCTGCTTCTGTCTAGTTTATGAACTATAATTAGTAGTTTGTACCCTCCTGCTTCTGTCTAGTTTAGAAACTATAATTAGTAGTTTGTACCCTCCTGCTTCTGTCTAGTTTATAAAGTATAACTAGTAGTTTGTACCCTCCTGCTTCTGTCTAGTTTATAAAGTATAACTAGTAGTTTGTACCCTCCTGCTTCTTTCTAGTTTATGAACTATAATTAGCAGTTTGTACCCTCCTGCTTCTGTCCAGTTTAGAAACTATAATTAGTAGTTTCTATCCTCCTGCTTCTGTCTAGTTTAGAAACTATAATTAGTAGTTTCTATCCTCCTGCTTCTGTCTAGTTTAGAAACTATAATTAGTAGTTTCTACTCTCCTGATTCTGTTTAATGGTTCAGGAAAATCTTATTAAAGGACATGTCATTGTGATTTCAAGTATGCCCTATTGACAATGGTATTCTTGCAAACCAATTCTGATTAATATTAATAATGTTTTTGTATTTCTTTCATTTTTTTTAATTCTGATAATTTCTCCATTGTTTCTCAATCAAGAAATGTGCAAGTCACTTTTGTTGAGAAAAATCACAAATGAAAACAAACAGTTATTTAGAAACAAAAACATGAATATCTTATTCATACTTGATCAGTCCAGATTTTCAAGAGGTCCGTTGTGAATCGTACTTTTTTAATCAAATGGTCACTTAAAATTAGATCTTTGCAAAGATAATGTCACAGAAAAATTAAGTGTATAGTCCCCTAGTTTTGAATATATAGTACACACATTACCTCTTCTTCTACTATTTTTCAAAATAAATAAAACAAAAGTTATTTAGTTTTACCTCCGACACATTCACATTCGGTGGATGGGAAAAGAATGGCTGTGGAGTTTTGGCACAAGTCACAAGATCTCAAAGGTTAAATATTTAGAATGAGGATACACCATTCACAAACACAGATTAAACAGTTAAAGTTATCTGTCGTTTTGGCACAAGTCACAAGATCTCAAAGGTTAAATACTTAGAATGAGGATACACCATTCACAAACACAGATTAAACAGTTAAAGTTATCTGTTGTTTTGGCACAAGTCACAAGATCTCAAAGGTTAAATACTTAGAATGAGGATACACCATTCACAAACACAGATTAAACAGTTAAAGTTATCTGATGTTTTGGCCTTAAAATAATTTGGACGGCATTCAGCGATTTCAAAAATGTATTTTACACATAAAATTGTTTCTAATAATTGAATAGCTTTTTTATTTGGATTGATCAGCACTCCTGGCACGTGAGGTCTATATTAATTATCTAGAGTTTTTATTATTTGTACCAAATCTAATCCACCTGGGTAAACAATTCAGTTTCTAGTTTCTACAATTATTGAACATAAATCTTAAACCTGAATTGCTCTAGCAACTCAAAAAATGTTTAAAATATAATCTTTAGTGCATTGTTGTTTTTGAGATTATAGTTTAAAATAATAAGAAGGTTTACAAAAGTTGTTTACAACAAAATCTAGATTAAACGTACTTAAAGCGTGTTACAAATTAAGCTTTTAAGCGTTAATTTTATAATTTTTTAATTTTACAAGATGTTTGTGTTTAATTGTTTAAGCTCCAAAACAGTTTTAACAAATAATTAAGAATTGTTTAAAGATACTAGAAATTCAGGGCTCTTCGCACCCTTCTTTCTAAGCTTCTATTTCAACTTTTAATTGTGGCTTTATCTCTGAACATCTTCTCTTTGTACAGTATAAAACAAAAACAAAAAAAGTTTGCGGATTTCATAATATTTTTTTGCGCATTTTAAAAATTTTTCAAAAATAAAAAACTTTTAAACATAAATTTTTAAAATTTTGATCAGTCATAAACCTTCCCTGGGGTCACGTGATGTCCCACAAAAAATTTGGGCCCGATCGGTTCAGCCGTTTTTACGTTTATTGGATACAAACAAACAAACAAACAGACAAACAGACAGACAGACAGACAGACAAGCCAAATTTATATATAGATTAATATGTTTATAATTTCAATTACTTGAAGGTAAGAACTAATAATTTACATTTCTGAAACTTGTTTAAACTTTCTGAGGCCGTATTTCAAAAATTTAAACCGCGTTGCTGAACCGCCAAAAACTGGTTTCAATTGAGCACCGGCTCAATTCAAGAAACCTATTCCTATCATTGAAAGCGTACAAAAAATCGATATTGCTAGCAATGTGAATGTCATTTGGGTGCTACGGATGACTTACATTCAAATGATGGACTGAATACAATTTTAAGTGGAACCAACCATGTATGATGAGCCGCGTCTAAAATTTAAGACGCGGCTCAAATTCTTTAAATTAGCCCTCTGTGTTAATTGTTGAAACCAAGATGACTCTACATACACATAAGAAACATTTGAGTGACATGGCGGATTCACAACGGTAACCATAAAATCTTCACCTGACCAATATAGATATAATTTCATAGCCTTTATTTTTGCAGATAATTAACAAATGGTATTTTCTACTACAGAATCAATAGAGGAAATCGTCAAAATTAATCTTTCTTTTCAAGCCAGATAAATTTCCCCCCTTCCGCGCATTATTAATATGATACGATAACGGTTGTGAAGGTACCGCGGTGTGAATCCGCCATGTCTCTCTATTAAAGAATGGTTACATGAAACTGCAAAGATATTCCTTTTCCAAGTTCTTTTTCATAAAAAAACTATACAAGATTAAGATAATTTGTTGATTTACTTAATTTTGCTTTTTAAATTCTTCTTTTGTATTAAAACTGTTAGGTTATGGTTTTAAGGAGGGGGGGGATTATGTTGACAGATTTTGCACAATCGATTAAAGAAAAGGCTTCACTCTCTAGTTCTTTAGTCTAGGATTCACAGATTATTAACCCTGGTTATTCAATTCATTTAGTGGGGTAGTAATGACTTTAAATTTTTTTAAAAATGATTTGTCTCTTTTTCCGTTTTTAAATTTGAGAAATTTAGAATAAACTATTTGAAATCATGCAAAGCAAAATTGATTACGTTGTACATAAATTAGTCTTATTCTGAAATCTAATTTACATTTTAATCCTTTTATAAAAATTTGGTACGATTACTTGAAGCTAAAGTAGGTAAGATTAAAAATGTTAATGTTTTAATGTCATAAGACCGTATATTGAATAGGTACTGCTGAAAGAAAGAAATAATGCTTGTATTTCTAATTTGTATTCTCATTACTTAAGGAGCTCGAGGTGACAAACTGGAAAAAATAATATTTTATAAATTTTACTTCCAACTTCTTCTGTCTATTTTTCAGTGTCTTGCATTACCAAAATATCTAAACTATTCGTCTGAATATTACTCACGAATTCTCACGATATGCAAGTATGACTCTAATCAAATAAATAAAAACCTTTTCCTTATATCTGCAACCCCCATAGTAACTAGAGTTATTATCTGAAGTTATAAGATACAGAATATAGTGATATTAATATGTACAGTCCGTACAGTACAGTCAACAGTACAGTCAATTGTACTAGGCCATGTAACTATGTACTGTTTATTGTCTGGTCTATATAAATCATTGTACTGGTTTGACCTGTTATGACCTGTGTACTATATACCAACTGTACTAGACTATTTAACTATGTACTGTTTATTGTCTGGTCTATATAAATCATTGTACTGGTTTGACCTGTTATGACCTGTGTACTATATACCAACTGTACTAGGCTATGTAACAATGCACTGTTTATTGTCTGGTCTATATAAATCATTGTACTGGATTGACCTGTTATGACCTGTGTACTAAATACCAACTGTACTGGACTATTTAACTATGTACTGTTTATTGTCTGGTCTATATAAATCATTGTACTGGTTTGACCTGTTATGACTAACTATTCTATGGTATTTTCTTGCACTGCAAAACTGACTGTTAAGGGGGGTAACCTCATGCAGGGGTAAATATATTCCAACAATATACTTTTTTATTTTTTTTTCTTGTTTTTGTTTTCATTATCAAACTCAATTCAGCGAAAAAACGTAATCAATTAATTCTTCCTGAATGAAAAGTTAAAGTTTAATTTTATAATTTGCTTAAAAATTAACAAACAATGCAGGAATGTTTACAAGGTAACTATTAATCCCTGCTTTTACTTTTTAACTTTCAAGGCTTCTGTCCACTTCTAAACAAGTAAAAGGAGAACCAAGGGAATATTGACTTGATGAAAAGACAATGGTGTTCCTTGTTTTTATAAACAAACTTTGATTAATATTCACCAATAGAGCAGACATAGAAACTAAACAAACTTAAAGGGACTAAGTGACGTAAACGTAATGACCCTTTAACAGTTGCATATCTGAGCAACGATGAAAAAGATTTAAAAAGTGGTGAATTTCAGTAATTTTATTCTGTTGCATAAATTCTCTTTTAAAGAAAAGTTTGTCACAAATTAGAATTTATAATCCTTTTTTCTTTATACAATCTAATGATGTAAACTCTCCATATTTCAAAATTAGATTGTTTTATCTGGCAGAATTCAAAGTTTAAAGGTCTACGGCATTGAGTTGCAAAGATTTGAATTTCATGTTTTTTTATTGTAATTTATTGGAAAAACATTTATTTATTTTGTCAAGTAGTTTTTCACATTTGTTTGTTTGTGTAACTAATAGAAATAAACGAATTCTCAAACTTATTTACATAAGTCAATCTAAATACTTGTAGATATATATGCATAGAGAATAGAATATATAGAGAGGAATTAAAAGAATCTCTCGGTATGTATTTTTTCAGTCCCTTTCAGCTTGAAAGGGAGTTCAATGTGTACAAATCATGTAAATGTTCACAAATTATATGAAGTAGGGAACATTAATACAGTATGTTCCCTAGACTGTCCATTTCAATTTCGATTTTTTTAAACTGTTAAATAAACTTTATAATAAGTTAGGTGAATAAAAACATCATTTGATTTATAGTTATAACGGAAAATCATCGATTGTAAAGTGGAAGGCATAGAGTCTATGTGAAAGGATCATAGGTCAATTATGAAACCAGCCTATTTCATAATTTGGTTTTCTTTTAACAATTATTTTAGATTTTCTATAAAATGATATTCCAGGGCCCAACAGGTTATATAGCATAAATATGTGAAGTACACCTGCAGTATGGAAACAATACAACAAAATGGCCGTTTTACACTTTTTTTCTAGTTAATTCCTCTCTATATATTCTATTCTCTATGTACATATATACATCTTTTGAAAGATATATCCACATACATATGCACTTCTAGAGAAGTTTAATCTACAACTCTTTATTCCAACATAATCCTATTATTAAAAACTTTTTAAATTAAAGTTTATACTAAATGTTATTACCTTAAAGGTGGTACAATTAGTATGTTGGAAAATTAGCTATTTCTCTATCTACTGTTTACACGCAAATCTGCCCCTTTAGTAAAAGTAAATTGAATCTATATGAAGCATAAAGTCTGACTGCGTCAACCTTGTTGCACCGGCTAGTCCTGTCCATAGAGCTATGTACAGTTCAAACTGGGACCGGAAAGGTTGACCCGGCTCGGAAATTCAAATTTACTACGGCTGCCCCTGTTTAGCGGTTAACAATGGTTGTAAGCTGATCAGTCAGAAAAATAGAATAATTAAAAAAAATAAAAGACTCTAATAAGCCAAGAAGATATTGTTAATATCGAAGGGATAAAGACGACGTAAAACCCTTTACTGTCCAGTAACATTATCTGTAGTTGAAGGGACTATCTAGTATCTATATATGCTTTGGGCCCAAATTTTGTGTGGGACCTCACATGACCCCAGGGAAGGTTTATGGATGATCGAATTTGAAAAAAGTTGCCTCTAACAATATTTGATTAAAAAATATTTTGAAAATTCACGATTTTTTTTAAACCGTGAAATTTTGTTTGTTTTTGATTTACAATTTATACAATGATCAAATGATCAAATGATTGAAATAAATGATGGGCGCGAAGCGCTCTAAAAGTCCTAGTAGATGTAAATTCTAGTAACTCTCGTGTTATTTTTAGCGCACGCACGTAGATCCAGGCAGATATAAAAAGTTGCATCAAGTTTTAAAACTGGGTCTACTTTGTAGAGTCTCCACGCATTTGCCTTTGTATAAAAAGCCTTTCTTTTTAAATAAAGTTTTATAGAAGTAATTGGCAAAATTGGCAAAATTGCAACCTTTTGTATCACTGCTAATGTTACCCTTGATTGGTATGCCAGATCAATTAAAGAAATATTTAAAAGCTGTTTTAAAAAATTGGTTATTTTTAATTGTAGGTTCGTTTAGGGGACTTGAAGATTTCATGAAACAGATGAAAGAAGAAAATTGCAATAGTTAAACACTTTCCAAGCAAGAAAAATTTCCCAGTATTGACGACGTAAAGCTTTAAAAATCAACATTATGAATCGGGCTCTCTTTAAAAATCAACATTGTGAATCAGGCTCTCTTTAAAAATCAACATTGTGTGTCAGGCTCTCTTTAAAAATCAACATTGTGAATCGGGCTCTCTTTAAACATCAACATTGTGAATCGGGCTCTCTTTAAAAATCAACATTGTGAATCAGGCTCTCTTTAAAAATCAACATTGTGAATCGGGCTCTCTTTAAAAATCAACATTGTGAATCGGGCTCTCTTTAAAAATCAACATTGTGAATCGGGCTCTCTTTAAATGGAGGGTCACTTGAAATTATAAGAACATAAACATAATTGAAAATATTTCTTACTTTAGGATAATAGTAGGTTGCTGTCCTAGTTACTGAGAACTAACTGAACAGGTTTTATTGGGGAATTCAATGTTGTAAAGGGAATATTTTCTGGAACCAGACAAACAATGAAAAATCAACTAATCTATTCATTAAACCAACAAACTTTTAGATGCATTTGGGTCGAAATATTAAAACTATATAAAGAAATCTGTATGCTAAATGAATATATGTGAACAATTTAAGATTTTGTACATAAATTCTTGATGTAAGACACAATTTACTAATCGTACACAACTTCTTATGGGTATTCAATCGTAGTATACTGTTCTGAATATGATCTATATATTAGTATAGTGTACGAATTTAATGAATTTAAGTCTCGTCTCAAATCCCTCAAAAACCGGTTTCAATTGATCGCCGGCTTAAATATTGAAAATTGAATACAATTTTAAACGGAACCAACCATATTTGAGCCCCGGCTTAATTCTAAGCCGCGGCTCAAATTCTTTAAATTCGACCGTATAACCCTTGTTCTATTGCCATTTGCTCAAGGTCCATCTGCACAGAAATTTTATTCTTTTGCTATATTTACATTTTTTCAGTTCACGTTAAACTAAAGTAATGTGCACGGAAGATTGATATATTATGTGTTTTCAATAATAACTTCTCTTTTAGAAGGTCACACCGTCGTAATGTCGCACAAATTTTACCGTCTCCAGTTTGGAGTGCGTTTTTATAGAGATGAGCTTCGTTTTTGTGCATACTACCGAACTTTTTTATATGAACGACCTGGATTGTTTTAAAGATCTGGGTTTATAAACGTACGAACAAAACAATCTTTTTTTGATTTTTTTGATCATCTTTTTTTTAATAATTTGTTTTTACTCAACGAACGATTTTTCGATTAAACTTCGTTCAGTGAGAAATCGAAAGAGATGGAAAATGAACTGTAATTTTGAGAACTAACAAAATAATTTATAAATGATGAACGAACGAAACGAAAAAGCCGAACCCGCCCATCACTACGTTATCCTTCTATATAGATAGTGTTAGATTAGGCCACTTGATTTGTTGCATCGACCTAGCAGCGTGGCTAGAATAGGGTTTAACGCAATGAATGTAAGGCAAGGAAAGTCATTTCAGTGGTGTACGCATTTTTTGTACTGCAGTGTACTGTCTTTGGGTTCTAATATAAACACAAGAGTAGGGGTGTCACAGCCTGACATGGGATCCATCTTTCAAATAAAAAATCAATGATTTATTCTGGTCATAGGAATTTATAACATAAATTATCAAAATTAAAAAAAACTTTAAGAGAACTGGTTTCAATATGTACACAAAGTATACAAAACAGCAATTGACTTTCCTTGCCTTACATTCATTGGTTTAACGTGTTTCTTGTTTAGAGCAAATACTGCAAGAGGTTGTTGAGATAATTGTGTAATATAATGGCAATCGGGCAAATGGTTACACGTACGGGAACCATTGTCACATTTATGTTAACACATTTATGGATTGAATATAATCTTTCACACTATGTCACAAATAACAGTGAGCAAATTGATTTTCGGGAATAAATTTTCTCAAATTGTTTAAAAAGAAAAATTAAATTGTTAAAAAAGAATAATGAAAATAAAAATGAAAAGAAAATCTTTACTAGAGCCTTGTTAATTTTATCATATGTATATTAAATCATTTAGCATTAATAATTAACAATTATTAGACTTACGTATTTTTCATTTTAAGAGATATTCGAGGGCTCTATAACACCTGGGCAGATCATCTTTTCAGTTCAGAACAGTTTAGTACGCTGAAGGTAAAGCATTATATTAAACAATTAATTTATACACAATTATAAAACACCAAACTTAACAGACAATTTTACACTTTTCATATTTTTCTAAATAAATGAAGTTTTCTGCATTGAGGCAAAGCACAAGGGAAGGAAATGAAATTTTGTTTCAAACTCTAATTTTCTAATCCTCATATCTTTGCAACCCGATATCGGAAACCTTTAATATTTCAAACTTTGAATTCTGTTGATAGAAAAGTACAATTTTGAAATATGCGAAGTTTAACATATCAGGTTTATCAAAATAGTTTAATCGCATATAAATGAAATAGCGATTACAAACTTTGAGTTTTTTACAAAAACATATATATATATATATACTTTTTTAAAACTTTTATTTTACTTTTTTGCTTTATTGAAAACAAGGAACCGGGCATAAATGTTATTCATATGTATCGTTTGGACTGGGATAGTAATAATTTTAATACTATGAATTGTATGTACTATAGGACTCAATATTAGATGTTAAAAATTACATGGATCGTGTTTATAAACAATGATTTGTATGAATTTGGTTTATTGTATTGATTAAATTCTCCGTGTATAGGCATTTAATAAACACGCTGTATGACTTTATTGGATGTTGTTTAAATAATATAGTTTGTATATGGACCTTGTTTAGATAATTTGTATCATATAGATAGTTTACTTCTTGGTACTATGGGTGGCATAATTTGTTTTTAAATATCATGGATTGTACGGATTGTAAAATATAATGTATACATTTTTTCAACATACTATGGATCGTTTGGATTCTACTTAATGTATTGTTTTGTATGGATCAAGTTTATTCACTTTTTTTTATGTATTGTATTTTTGTATATATCGTTGTTGACGGCTTGAAATCGAGATTCTCAAGATGAAATGATAATAGGCCCGCTGGAATCAGTCGTTGAAGGATATATATTCCCCAACAACATTTCCCGATTATAACAGCAGAGACACAACAAATGATCAAAAATCGATAACAAAAAATTCTCTTTATTTCCTGAAAAAAATTACATATATTGATAACGTGTACAAATGTTATAATGAATGTTTATAATGAAAAAATCCTTACGATCTAATAGCGGATGATAAAGGGGTTAACAATTGTTAAACAGTACTAAAAGACGTTTTTAAACTTCTGAAATAAGATGACAATTGATTATTAACGAAAGTCATTAATTCTTTATATGAAAATATTCTTTGTTTAACTTTTGAAATGGATTCACAATACGGGAGGTTGTTTATGACTCCATCAGGGAGAACAAAAAAAGTGGGGTTAAAATTTTTTGGTTTGGTGTCTCCGAGAGGGGACCTAAGTTAAAGACCTATTGTTAATGGTTGAAAATCGTGCATAGGAAAAAGATGTAATGATCTAAGAAGGGAAGTTTGGCTGCTCTCAGGGTTTTGGAGTGCTCCCAGAGTTTCGAGTGCTCCCAGGATTTTGGAGTTGCTCCGAGGATTTTGGAGTTGCTCTCAGGGTTTTGGAGTGCTCCCAGGATTTTGGAGTTGCTCCCAGGGTTTTGGAGTTGCTCCAGGATTTTGGAGTTGCTCCCAGGATTTTGGAGTTGCTCCCAGGGTTTTGGTGTTGCTCCCAGGGTTTTGGAGTTGCTCCCGGGGTTTTGGAGTGAAAAAAGAGCTCTGCTAACCCTTGTTTACTGTTATACATAGTTTTCCTCAGATATCTCAATAATTTGAAGATTTTTGAAATATTGCGCTACAAAAAAAGGCTGTGAATTTGACATAGAACAATTCTACATTTGTTTTTTTAATGGCAACAATCAATTAAAGATTTTTTAAGACGAAAAATTTTTTTTTCAAAAAAGGAGGTTTATTTTACATTTACTAATAATTTTTAATGTGAAAGCTAAAACAGGCTACTTGAACTAAAATTTGCGATTTTTTTCCCTGCAAACATCTGAACAAAGACATTAAAAATAGTGTAGCAGAGCGCTTTTTTCATTTTTCGGTTTTAAAGTACCCTTTTTAAAGGACTAATCATAAAAAGTCAGATAAATTTCCACATTTTACTCCTAAACCCTGGGACCAACACCAAATTTCTGGGAGTACTCTAAACCCTGGGAGAAGTTCCAAAACCCTGAGAGCAGCCACTCCTCCCTAATTTAAGTATCCTACGGTAGTAGGAGATTTTATCTATATAATGAAGACCACTTTCGATTTTATTTTTGATTTATATCAAGCTTTTAAACAGCATGGATACACAACAAAATGGAAACAAGAGAAGCTGTCAAGTAAAAAAGCTTCTCAATAATTGCTTGTAAATATGTAGTTCGAAAAAATCTAGTTATCAATTAAAACTTAAATAAAAAGTCGTCTTCATTATATTGCTATAATGACCGACAACTTTATGTAATATTTGTAAAATATGTATGGATCATATGTTTTGTAAATATAATATGTATTAATTACATTATGTGTATGGATCGTTTTTATTGTATGATCATTTGTATTGGTTTCACATTAGTGATCAATATGCGTATTTTATTTTATAAAGTCATATGGCTTTGTGGATCGTATGTATTGTATGGATTGTATGGATTATATGGATTGTATTGATTGTATGTATTGTATGGATCGTAAGTATTGTATGGATTGTAAGTATTGTATGGATTGTATGGATTGTATAGTTTGTATGTATTGTATGAATTGCATGTTTTGTATGGATTGTATGTATTGTATGGATTGTATGTATTGTATGGATTGCATGTTTTGTATGGATTGTATGTATTGTATGGATTGTATGCATTGTCTGGATTGAATATATTTTATGGATCGTATGGATTGTATGGATCGTATGTATTGTATGGATTGTATGTATTGTATGTATTGTATGGATTGCATGTTTTGAATGGATTGTATGTATTGTATGGATTGTATATATTGTATGGATTGTATGTATTGTATGGATTGTATGTATTGTATGGATTGCATATATTGTATGGATTGTATGTATTGTATGAATTGTATGGATTGTATGTATTGTATGGATTGTATGGATTGTATGGATTGTATGTATTGGATGGATTGTATGTATTGTATGGATTGCATATATTGTATGGATTGTATGTATTGTATGAATTGTATGGATTGTATGTATTGTATGGATTGTATGTATTGTATGCATTGTATGGATTGTATGGATTGAATATACTGTATGGATTGACTATACTGTATGTATTGTATGGCTTGTATGGATTGTATGTATTGTATGTATTTTATGGATGGTATGTATTGTATGGATTGCATATATTGTATGGATTGTATGGATTGCATATATTGTATGTATCGTATGGATTGTATGTATTGTATGGATTACGTATATTGGATGTATTGTATGTATTGTATGGATTGCATATATTGTATGTATTGTATGGATTGTATGTATTGTATGGATTGCATATATTGTATGGATTGCATGTATTGTATGGCCAGGGGCGTAAATAAGGATTCTGTAGGGGGGTACGAAGCGCGGCGAATTTTTTTAACCCCCCCCCCCGGCCCTAGAATTTTTTTCACCCCCCTAGAAAAATATCATGATGTTATCAAATTATTGGTTTTAGATGGGTTTGATTTGCATTTTCCATTCATTTCTGGCATTTACAAACTCCATTAAATAAAGACAAAAGATAAATGTCTTACTTTTTAAAATTTAATTCTTAATTATCTTGATCTTTTAATATTTTATTCCCCCCCCCCCCGGAAGATGCTTTATACTTAATTTGACATATAGTGCAAGTACGCTACTGCATTAAAAAATTGGATTCTTGGGTAAAATCTATGTATGTTACGTTGCTAAAGTTGATTGAGTAAAATTATATGCGCGAAGCGGCAACATTTTTTACATTTTTCCTTTTAATGGTAATCATGGACATGAAAAATGGAGATCAAGTTAATAAACGGGGATGTTTGTGTCCCCAAGATTATATGAATAGTATGGATTGTATGTATTGTATGGATTGTATGGATTGTATGGATTGTATGGATTGTATGTATTTTATGGATTTTATGAATAGTATGGATTGTATGGATTGTATATATTGTACGGAATGTATGTATTGTATGTATTGTATGTATTGTATGGATTGTTTGTATTGTATAGATTGTATGTATTGTATTGATTGTATTTATTTGATGGATTGTATGTATTGTATGGATTTTATGGATTTTATGGATTGTATGGATTGTATGGATTGTATGGATTGTATGGATTGTATGGATTGTATGGATTGCATGAATTATATACGGTGTATGAATCATATGTATTTTTTGGATTGTATGTATTGAATGGATTGTATGGATTGTATGGATTTTATAGATTGTATGTATTGTATGGATTGTATGTATTGTATGGATTGTAGGTATTGTATGGATTTTGTATTGTATGGATTGTATGGATTGTATGGATTGTATATGTTGTATGGATCATATGTGTTTTTTAGATTGTAGGTATGGTATGGATTGCATGTTTTGTATGGATTGTGTGGATTGTATAGATTTTATGGATTCTATGGATTGTATGGATTGTATGTATTGTATGGATTGTATGTATTGTATGGATTGTATGTATTGTATGGATTGCAGGTATTGTATATGTTGTATGGATCATATGTGTTTTTTAGATTGAAGGTATGGTATGTATTGCATGTTTTGTATGGATTGTATGGATTGCATTTATTGTTTGCTTTCGGTCATCTTCCGATATTACAGTTTTATTGTATTTATTGTTTGACTTTTATGCTGGATTGTACGTTTATTGTATGGATTGTACGTTTGTTATGCATTGTTTGTTTTGTATGTATTGTATGTTTTGTATGGATTGTTTGTTTTGTATGGACTGTATGTTTTGTATGTATTTTATGTTTTGTATGGAATGTAATTTTTGTATGGATTGTATGTTTGTATGTATTGTATGTTTTGTATGTTGTATGTTTTTTATGGATTGTATGTTTCGTATGTATTGTATGTTTTGTATGGATTGTATGTTTTGTATGGATTGTATGTTTTGTATGGATTATGTAGATTATAGCATGGACCACATTTAGATAAGGAATCACATATTTTGCATGGATCATGCTTAGCACAAATCATCGATCATGCAGATTGTTTGGATCATGTTTAGATATCATGGATCATGTTTAGATATCATGGATCATGTTTAGATACCATGTATTATGTTTAGATTTCATAGATCATGTTTAGATATTATGGATCATGTTTAGATTTCATGGATCATGTTTAGATACCATGGATCATGTTTAGATATCATGTTTATATACCATGGATCATGTTTAGCTATCACGGATCATGTTTAGATACCATGGATCATGTTTAGATATCATGGATCATGTTTAGATTTCATGGATCATGTTTAGATATCATGGATCATGTTTAGATTTTTTAGATTTCATAGATCATGTTTAGATATCATGGATCATGTTTAGATTTCATGGATCATGTTTAGATTTCATGGATCATGTTTAGATACCATGGATCATGTTTAGATTTCATAGATTATATGTTTAGATACCATGGATCATGTTTAGATATCATGGATCATGTTTAGATATCATAGATCATGTTTAGATATTATGGATCATGTTTAGATTTTATGGATCATGTTGTTTAGATACCATGGATCATGTTTAGATACCATAGATCATGTTTAGATACCATAGATCATGTTTAGATATCATAGATCATGTTTAGATACTATGGATCATGTTTAGATATCATGGATCATGTTTAGATATCATGGATCATGTTTAGATACCATGGATCATGTTTAGATATCATGGATCATGTTTAGATATTATGGATCATGTTTAGATTTCATGGATCATGTTTAGATATCATGGATCATGTTTAGATACCATGGATCATGTTTAGATTTCATAGATTATATGTTTAGATACCATGGATCATGTTTAGATATCATGGATCATGTTTAGATATCATGGATCATGTTTAGCTACCTTGGATCATGTTTAGATACCATGGATTATGTTTAGATATCATGGATCATGTTTAGATACCATGGATCATATAGAACGTGCACTGCTGGTGCTAAACTTATTGTTGTTGTTTCTCAGCACAGTAGCCAATGGTGGATTCCTAAAAAACAAGGAAATTTTGAACGTTTTTATATTTTTACTTGTTATCATTATGAAGGAATTGTTTCTTTGCCACTAAATAATATTTTCTAATCCCCATAGACTATTTGATCTAATATTCACAGTATGAAATATCAAACTTCTACGACATTAAGAGGCAGAGGTAGGTATATTGGATTAGAAAATCAAGGTTTGTGGCAAAGACTCATTTTATTTTTTATTAAAAAAAAAATTTCCAGTAAAAATTGAAAAATCGTCAAGTGCAACTGAAGATATTCAAACCACGGAACAGCTTAAACACATTTTAGCTTATCAAGTATATAAGATTTTAGTATTTTCCATATTTTTTTCTTTGGCTTCACTTTTAGCTTAAACTTTGTGTTGTGGATTTTGAGGGACTGATTTTTTTAGATTCATATCGGATATACTTTGATAAGTTTTGTTTCATTCGAATGTGAAGCCCAAATTTAAAAGTGTAACCCGACGAAGAAATTGAGCATTCGAACCAATTGATTGTTGTTAGTCTTAAATCATATTTCTGCAATAAATTTTCGGATTTTGACAATTTTCAGTGTTTCCAAGATCGCAGAAAAAAATACAAAAAAAAACGAGAAAAAAACATTAGGAATAAACACAAAAATAAACTCTACTAAAATCAAACTTTCAATTTTCCCAACAGCCAGTTGAGGAGGAGGAGTACATTCGTCTTGATTTGAATCATAACACTAGGATTGTCCGAGATGAAACAAAACCTTCTAAAACATTTGAAAGAATGAACGAAGTAAACCAAGACCTTTCTCCTAGCGGGATTATAAAAAGCTCTCGAGGGAAAAGGGAGTCAAACAAGAACAAACTGCTGTTTAGAACGGAGAAGTTAGTTGCCGCTGGACAGGGGAAAAGTGTGTTAAAAACCAAGGATGGAATGAAACAGGCTGTTGCAGGATGTATCAACCAATCTTGTTCCAAGGATGGAATGAAACAGGCTGTTGCAGGATGTATCAACCAATCTTGTTTGGACAATTTGAAAAAATTGCAATTCTGGATTAAAGGAGATTTTGCCAATGCGGAAAAGAGGTTCAAACGTTATGAGAATTTTGTAAAGATAACTGGTAAGCTTTCTTATTATTTTTATAACATCAGGTTGCAAAAATTTGAGTTTGTGGCAAAGGACTCTATTCCTTTGAAGAATTTGCCTAAAACCTAAAATCATCTATTTATGAAATATAACAAAAGCAAAATTGGGTGTTTCAGGAGCAAATACTTAAAAACCTAAAAAAAATCACCTAAATTCTTTTTATTCTGACCGATTCCTTGTCAAAAGCTCGACTGCCTAATTGCTGGATACTGGTCTATTTTTTATCCATATTTTAAACCTTAATGTTTTGAAGATTTTCCGATGGCTTTACAACTATCTACGAAAAAATAACATTAGTTTGACATTAAAGGCATTCACTGAAAAATATTCAAACCTTAAAGGGAGTGACCCGGCAATGTATGGTAGTTGAACTGAGAATATAGTATTGTGGAGAAATTTTTAGGTTTCATTTGAGACATATAAAACGTATTAATGATATATAATTACTGAGTTTGAGCGCAAAGTCGAGTTGCAAAATCAAAAATTCTACAGTAAACTAATTAGTTGTTTAGGAACAGGTTCAAAGGTTGAAGAAATAGAAATTAACTCTTATCAACGAAAATAAGTAATCTTATTCCCTTATTAGTTTTTGTAATCTCTCATTGTTCATAAACATTTTCTGTAGACTTTCTGGAATTTTTATTGAAAAGACGACATTTGAAGAATTTGTAGAAATCTGCGAACAAATTCGTAAAGAATAAGAAATTCAATATAATGATGGAAAAGAAATATTGATTCTTACATTGGTTTAGTCACAAATTTCTGTTGAGAAATATGTTTCTAAACATCCTATTAGTTTATAGTGTAATTTTTTATACATTTTTTGTCGTCATTATTTAATAATTTTAAAAAATTCGATTCTCAAAATTTTACCCAAATGGATGATTTTGAACTTCGACTTTGCGCTCAAACTCAGTAATTATACATCATTTAAATTTTTTATATGTCTCAAATGAATCCTAAAATTTCTTTCCAAGATACTACATTCTCAGTTCAACTACCATTCATTGCCGGTTTCTCCATTTAAAGAACTGTAATTTTTTACAATAACTTCTTCCATTGCTGCATTTTGCGACCTGTACTAAAAGCAAACTTGTAAAGATTTCGTTTAGAACCCCAGCTTTTCCACGAAATTAAGTTTTCCTTATAAAAAGTCAACCTACCAGGACCAAGGCAGAATGTCTGATAAATAAAGTCAAATAATAGGAAAATAAATTTATTAATTTTAGAGAAGAAGTTTAACACCTCTAACTTCCTAAATGCTTCAATGAAAGCTCTCTTACATGCTATTGGTGAAAAGGAAGCTGTTACGAATGGAACACCCATTTGTGGTGGACAATATGACACAGAAGATGGACAAAAGGTAATTTTTCATTTATCAGATTTTGAGAAGCAATTTCAGGAAATGGTCCACTATACACTCATGACATAATTCAGGGATTGGTCCACTATCTGAACATGATATATTTCATGGATTGGTCCACTATCTGAACATGATATTATAGTATATGAATAAAAATCAATAAAGCAATGCACTGAGTTTCTCAAATATTCAACGAAGGGGTTGGTCCACTATCTGAACATGATATATTTCAGGGATTGGTCCACTATCTGAACATGATATATTTTAGGGGTTGGTCCACTATCTGAGCATGATATATTTCAGGGATTTGTTCACTATTTGAACATGATATATTTCAGGGATTGGTCCACTATCTGAACATGATATATTTCAGGGATTGGTCCACTATCTGAACATGAGTTATTGCGAGAGTAATATTACTGAACAGTGCGTAAATCCTGCAGGTTCAGAAGCCAATAGGACAGCTGTTCAAGAATGTGTTAACCTACGAGAAGATATGAAGTAAGCATGTCAAGTTTAAACAGTTTTTATTCAATTGGGTTTAAATGGGTCACCCATTAGTACATTTTATAACTATTGTTTTATTTATAAATAACGATTTTTTCATGTTTAAAACCAAAATAATTCAAAAACGACAGCCCACATATACATCTTCATTGTTGCAAATGTATAGCACTGGGCCTTAAAATGAAAATAATTAAGGTTAATTTAAATGCACGATACGATCTGGGGAACCAAAACTAATTAATTATATATAATACATAATATTAGTTTATAAGATTAACTGAAAATTCCGGATATAACCATAAATTCACAGTTCTTTAACCAGAGGCGGCTTTTTTTTGGGGGGGGGACGACATCCCCCTTGAAAATTGAGGGAACGTCCCTCTCCCTGGAAAACTAGGAGGACGGACCCCTCCCTCCATGGAAAAATTAGGAGCGCAAGAAGGCACCTTCTAGTCCTTAAATTTTAATTTTAAAATAGATTTTAAAAACATTGTTCTGTTGCGCCACCTTTTCACTCTTTATTGCTACTGTTCTTTTTGCACTGAAATTAGGACAAGTTTTTTTTTCTCGAAAGCTGAAGAAATTCCGTCTTTCTTCAGCTTAGAACTTAACAAACTAATTTGTTTGATATTTTTCAACTTAAACTGAATAGATTTTGTGTAAAGTATTTTATATGATTACAATTTACAGGACCAAATATGATGATTGTTTAAATCAACCTCAAAGCATATGTTCGTGTGTGAGCCAAATTGCCGACTATCCGGCAAAGTATAAAAACTGCAGTGATCTAAGTAAGTTTTTTCCCACTGATTTTATATACAATACACAGATATCGTATACAGTAAATATATACAGTTACTGTGTAGTTTATATGCTACAATGCTCAGTTTTGTTTTTGTTTTCAAAATGGAGAGTTCAAATAAATGAACTTTTAGTTTTGAACTTTTAAAATTTAAAGGGAGTGTAAGCGTAATTTCAAGAGTGACCCTCCGTGCAAAGATAGCAATGTCCGATTTACAACAGTTCTCTTGAAATCTTAATCTGATAAAAAATGTTGTTTTTCCGACTCTAAAAGTGTTTATTTTAACTTTGGAAATACACTATGTCTACAAAAAAGAACACTAAAATTAATTAAACCTTTGCCACAAATACTGATTTCTAATCCTTATTTCTTTGTACCTAATGTTGTAGACATTTGATATGTCGAACTATGAATTTAGGTTTGAAATATAAAAGGTTTACACAATCGGGTTGCTAAGATAAAAGGATTAGAAAACTAGTTTGTGGCAAGAATTTAATTCCTTTATTCTTTTTTATAATTTAAAGTTGTAGTATAAGTTACATTTAAGAGCTAGCATTTTTAAAAAAGGGTTGCGCAGTCCCCTGTAAGTCTAAATTATCTGTATTAATATTTCTTTAAAAACTGCTTATTTACAGTTCTATACTGATTGAGTTGAAATATTGATAAATTCGAATTCAGGTGTTCAATTGGAAGCAGAAGCAAAGGACGCCAGAACTGTGTGCAAAGAAAAGTTTGCTGAATGTAAGAAGCTTGAAGATGGATCAATTGGTTATATTGCTAAATGTTACACATCAGCTGAAAATCTGAATCTAACCTTGACATCCTTGAAGGTGGCTGAGGATAAGTTAGAAAAAGTTACAACTAAAATAGACATGATCCTAAACGGAACTGCTAGGTAACTTATTTAAATATAATATTTTTAAATCTTAAGACTGTTTCTAATACTTTTTAAAGCTTTTTTCTTGACCCCGAAAATAAAACCCAAGAAGCGAATACAAATTGCTTAAAGGCGGAGGAAAACAAAAGCTTTCGATTTTTTCCAAAGTATGCAGCAAATTTCTTTATTATTATTGTTAACAAATATGAAATTTTCATATTTGAAACATTTTAATTCTAAGCAACTAGTGATAGCTACATGTATTTATTTCTGATTGTCATTTGTCCCATATTTTTTATTTCTTGCTAATCTACATTTACTTTAATGCGTTGTGACGCATGAGCTGCATCACTCCTCCGAGCACTCAGTATTTCTGCGTACACTTGACATTGACAAACCAATTTTTGCAGTCTATACTATAGTTATAAGTATGTAGAAATTAGTTAAGAGATCTTGATCTAAATATTCTGCACTATTTATGTATAAGTGCACGTCTAAAGCAATTTTCAAAGACATATAAGGTACCTTTCCTTGTAAGAGCCTCTGCTATACACTGATGAGCATATATGCAATAGGTTTTTTAAACCCGTTTATTATTCTTAAATAAAATATTTTTTACAAATTTTTCGACCTGGTGGCATGAGAGGTTTCTCAAAGATATGAAGTATTTATAGATTTATAAATTTATTAATAAAGTTCCAAGAAAATGGAACTCTATCCCACAAGAAGTTTAGCAGTCATCTTCATTAAATGATAAATTAAAATTTTTAAAAACGATCGTTTCGTTTTCGATTTTTCGTCGTCTTTATCATAACAAAACGATCGTTTTTCTGAAAAATCAAAACGTTAACATCCCTAGTAGTAACTGATCCAATCAGGGTTCATTCACATGCTTAATGAAAATTCAGAACCAATAGTATTGCAAAGGGTACCATTTATCTATCTATCTTTTGCATTAGATATGTTTTAATATGCTTTGATATTTGTTGTGTACATGTCAGAAAATTACTTTAAACTCTAGTTATTCGAATCAGTGTATAAACTATTTTGCATATGATAAATTTGCACCCTGATCTCTAATCGTTCTCCTTAAATCTATTTAATTGAAATATTTTGTTGTTATTATTAAAATTAGGTGGAAAAAATAATCAAAACAGCCAAGAGCTATTTTCCACCTAATTGCTTTATACTTGTACTGTTAATATAATCATCAATTTGTAATTGTAAACTCGTTCTGTATACAGATACATTTATTTTAGCAATAAATTTTATCTTATCTTATCTTATCTTATCATCCAATTAAAGATGAATCCATAACCCATTGCTAAACAGTAAATGGTGATGTGTACTTCCACTGAAACAAGATTAAGCTGCACACATAAATTTTACGAGAAGGAGATCCCTCTGGCCAGCGAGATGGCTGGACCAATTGGGCTGAAATTTTTCATAGACCCTAATGGGTAGCCTCGGAGTGTGATAGGCTTAAAAAAAAAAATTCTTTTTGTCTTCAAAATTTTTTTTTTCCCACGAGCAACGCCGGGCCCTTCAGCTAATTTATTTATATATCTTTATAATATTATTGAAAAATTGATTATGAAAATTAATTATTTTTTTAAAAATCTAAAAATTGTACACCCCCTGTTTCAAGGAACAGGGGATGGAAACGTTCTTGAATAAGAATGGAACAGGGATGAATCGTTCTTTGACCAAGATCGGAATGGAATGGGATAGACCATTCTTTGACTAAGAACATCAAGAACGGAATGAAATGGAACAAGAACAGAACTATTGGAAAAAAAGAACGAGAAATGAACAATCTACCTGAAGGCCCTCATTTTAGAACAGAACGGAAAGATTTAAAAAAGTCCAAAAGTGGCCAGCCCTAGCCCCTGGTGTATTTTTTTTAATCAAATCATTCTATTCTAAACCTGGCGACCAATTCTGCATTCTTTGTATATCCTAGATCTCAAGTAATCTTTTTCTAGAACGAAGAGAAACCTGATTAAAGCGACAGAATTAGAAGTAGTTAACACCCTTTCAGTTATCACGGTTAGAACAACAAGCACAGGTTATTATTCATTACTTAAATGTCCAGAATTAAAGTTAATTTAAAATTTTTTGGAAAAATTGTTGGTTTAATAAGTCTTGGAACATGCTAAATAGGAAACATTAAAATGAACCAAACAAAGAACTGTTAAGAGATCATCCACTATTGACCAAACCTTTTGTTGCAATATTTTCTATTGTATATGGTATAAAGTGCAATTTTAAAACTTTTATTATACAATAGTGTTGGTCACCATTACATTGCATTGTAAATGATATTGAAATATGTGCACGTACAGCAATAGTCAAAGATAATTAAAAATTGAAACCACAAACAAAACTTAAAATGAACCAGAAATTAGATGTTTCTTTCTGGAATGTTTACAATGCAAATGAGGACATTATGAAAACCTATCTAATAAGCATTGTCTATAAATGGCGGCAATCAGTCAACATATTTCTGTAAATTTTTAAAATGTTCAAAATGGTGAAATCAAATATGAATGATTAACAGTTGTATATTTTTAGCCAACATCGATTTGATTGGAAGAGATGAAACTTTATTCTCCGTGGCGAAAACATTTCTCTCATATACTCAAGTTATAGTTTCCAGCTCTGTCAGAGTACAAATTCTACAGAATAGGGTACAACTGCAAGTTATCATTGTAAGGATTAAAGCCAGAATCCAAAATATCAAAAGCATGTTAAAACAGCAATACAATCTTGAACCAGACAATGCTTTTGTTACTTTAATTATACCACCCCGAGTCCCAGACTCTTCTACTACTACTACTACTACTACTACTACTACTACTACTACTACTACTACTACTACTACTACTACTACTACTACTACTACTACTACTACTACTACTAAATCTCTACCTCTACCTCTACCTCACCCTCAACCTCAATCTCTACCTCTACCTCACCCTCCACCTCAATCTCTACCTCAATCTCTACATCTTCCTCTACGCTATCATATACATCAGGTACTATTCTTTGCACCTTGTCTGCAATATTATGTGTCACTTTTCAAGAAGGTACTTCATGTTCAAACCTATTATTTTTGAATTACTCTATTATACTTATATTAATTCTATCAAGCCACTTCAATAAAAAATCTCTTTTTTTCCAGATTTTTTAACGAAATTGTAATCCACAAATCGCAATAAGTTTAGCTTACTTGTGATCCAGAAACCATCATCAATTTAAACGTAAAAGGACTGGCTATGTTAGAATAAATGACCCTTTATTAAGGAGGTATTTGCCCAGTTCACTTTGGCATCCTTTAAACCTTTATCTAATCATAATTGCCATATTGTCATGATTCTAACAGAAATCATGGAATTATTCTTAAAAACTATTTTAACTAAATAATTGGGATTCTTAACAATATGTCAATGCATCTCATTATAATGCTTATTAGATAAAAATCTCAGAAGGATAATCAAGGTTTTAAGTTCTGCATTAATAAAATTTTATCTTTTAAGTGACATTTTTCTCCACCACAACATTCACCTCCATCTCTACTCCTACGTCTACCTCTTTTTCTAACTTAATATCTACAACAACCTCCACCTTCCCAACCTCCCCTACCATCACATCCTCCATCCAGTCCACCTCTATCATAACATCCACCATCCCATCCTCCTCTTCCATCACATCCACCATCCTATCCTCCTCTACAATCACATCCACTATCCTATCCTCCTCTACAATCACATCCACCCTCCCTTCCTCCTCTACCATCACATCCACCATCCCATCCTCCTCTACCATCACATCCACTATCCTATCCTCCTCTACAATCACATCCACCCTCCCTTCCTCCTCTACCATCACATCCACCATCCCATCCTCCTCTACCATCACATCCACCATCCCAACCTCCTCTATAATCACATCCACTATCCTATCCTCCTCTACAATCACATCCACCCTTCCTTTCTCCTCTACCATCACATCCACCATCCCATTCTCCTCTACCATCACATCCACCATCCCATCCTCCTCTATAATCACATCCACCCTCCCATCCTCCTCTACCATCACATCTACCATCCCATCCTCCTCTACCATCACATCAACCATCCCAACCTCCTCTTCCATCACATCTACCATCCTATCCTCCTCTACAATCACATCCACCATCCCATCCTCCTCTACCATCACATCCACCATCCCATCCTCCTCTACCATCACATCCACCATCCCATCCTCCTCTACCATCACATCCACCATCCCATCTTCCTCTACCATCACATCCACTATCCCATCCTCCTCTTCCACGTCTACGTCTTCATCTACCCCCACATCAACTTCCACACTAACTTCTACATATAACCTAACATCAACTTCCATGTTTACTCCTACATCTGTCTTTTCATTTGAGATCACTTCAACTTTCACTTCTACAACAGAAAAAAGTATATTTTTTATTTTTTTGGATTATACACTTTTATTCCCATTTGTTAAAATCAATTATATCTGTGTATTGTGTGTGACCCAAAATACTTCCAACACATGCGAAACTAGTCCTTCCTTAAGTTAATAAGAGTTAGATACTTTTACTGAAAAAAAGAATCTAGTTGAGTTGGCTTGTTCCAAGGACAATTAAGGTGAATGGATTGATTTCCTTATTTCTATGTAAGTATGACATCGTCAACTAACAGTCAAGTCTAATGGTTCTACAGTAATTACTTTAACTTAACATACCTGGGCACATGAATAATTATACATAGTTTACTTCACTCTTATATTCATTGTGAAAAGAATATTCAGCAATTTTTCAAATTTTTTGTTATCATTTACTAGCACTCCGTTTGGTGAAATAGTGTACATACATTTTACAAACATGGCATTTAATTGGTACATTGATTTTATACATTAAAACTTCATTCAAATTTTTTACAACTAAATCAGTTACAAATTACAAAATCCATAGAGTCATTTTGAAATAAAATGAAAAGTATGAAGACAACCGTCATTCCAGTTATCTGGTTACCACTAGTTAATTTGGTACTGTAGAGTTTTTGTAGGGAAAATACATGTTTTCGTATATAAAAAGTTTTATAAAATAGTTGACTTATACCCTAACAGAGTCGCCCACCTTAAATATACTCCAATTATTAATGACAGCATGCACATTTAAAAGTTATGTTTTACTTATTAAGTGACAAATTCCACCACTACCACCTCCCCCTCCACATCTACCTCTACCTCGGCCTTTACTTCCACATTTACATCTGCCTCTATTTCCACTGCTTCTTCCACCTTCACAAACACTTACATATTCACCTCCACCTTTACTGGCACATCCACCATAACCTCGGTCATCCCATTCTCTACCGCTGCTGACACACCCACCATAACAACTATCATACCGTCTGTCTCCACAGGCACATCCAGCACAACATTCACCTCCATCTCTACTCCTACGTCTACCTATTCTTCTAACTTAATATCTACAACAACCTCCACCTTAACACCAACCTCTACTTCCACTTTCCTGTCCACCTCTACCATCACATCCATTATTCCATCCTCCTCTACCATCACATCCTCCATCCCATCC